GACATATCAGGGCTCCCAACCGACCATAATTGCTCCAACGATCCGAGGGACCAGAGCCAGAACCAGGACCAGGACAATCGGGACACAACACCCACAACAAGCCGTCATCGCCGGGCAAATCGGCGAGGTAATTTAGTAGCAGGACCCCAAGAATATTCTAATATTCTTTCCGAGGAGGAGGGAGTGATGGAAAAGGGGGCGGACCTGAGGGGGGAGTGGCCAGGGAAGGAAATTGATGGGCAGTTTTTACTATGCTTTGAATACTTCAGACGTGACGTGAATAATGTGCACGATAAGGATCTCAAATACCTTCGTTCGTGGGGAGAGCATGCAAATTTTCGAAGATTATGCGCCGATTACCAGCAGTTAAAGTGATTTGGAAGTTTGTATGGGCATTGGAAATTTTACAGATTTATGTGCGCACATTTGAGGAATTTGTATATATTTCGGCGATTTCATATTTAAAGCATTATGGCCGGAATGCATATTACAGCAGCTCGATGTACCCAGAAACATCTGCCAATTTAGGGCACTTTAAGTTAATTTATTTTAATCACATTCACTTAGGCGGTATATAATCTGGACTTTATTTATTTTAAAGGCATTACGAAAATAATCGTAAATATAAACCCTATGTTTTTATCCATTTACCCACAAGCAAATCCTTTGAACTTTTGATTTATTGCCCAGCTTCCCAATCTCATTGAAATTCAATTCGTCCTGCGAATGTATTCCGCAATCGGATTTCCCACAATGTTTTCAAACTCAAAGGTGAATCAAGATGATTGCCGTGAAGGATCTTAGGTTTATATTATATATTCTTCAGCCAAAAATTTTCATACAAACTAGATTAGGATTATATACTCCAGTGAAACGCTAAATGCCAATCAAAAAACCTGCCTACATTATTATGCCAGGATATTTTGTCATGTGCAAAGTACATATGTATTTATTATCCTCCCCGGGAGACTGGCATGAATATCAAACTTGCACTTGCCGCAACGTTTCCTAATGGGATTATCTCGATGATAATGAACCGCACACCCGACAGTGCACCCGCAATTGGCCTTCCCATGACCATGGCGAACTATTTGCCCGGCCCATAAGCCTCTTTCCCGGATGGATGAGATCCTGGATGTGTGGTGGGCAGGAAAAGAGCAATTGTATTCGGGCATGAAATTCAAATACAAATAGCGCAGCTCGAACAATGCCGTTTATGAACCTGTCAATCCAAAATTCAATTGGGATTGGGATTGTGTGAATTGGAATAGCCGCGGATGGACTGGGTATCAATGCGATTGTTTAATCACTCGACACGACGCTTGTGAATTGGCGCCAGCTGCTAACTTGTTACAAATTCAATACCCATGAGTGCATCTGCGTGGGTTCATGTTTGCCCAAGTACTGTTCTCGGACTCCTGTGTTTGCTCGCTGCCGTATTAGCATTTGTTTGCTTTATCAAAACAAAATGCATTCTTTGGGTCCTTATTGCCATTGCAGCTCACTTAAAGAAAGGAGGTTCTCAAAGGCCCAATTCTCCATGGATAACATGGTAATAGAACTGCTTATGTTTTCTTATGTAAGATACGTCTCCGATCGATCTCATAGGTCTTTATTGGGGAAGCGGATCCTCTCAGTTTGTGTTTATTTTGTATTAACCAAGCCTTCCTTGGGTTATTGGAATATATGAGACTGGTAAGAATAGTGGAAGGGAAACTGCAAATTCTCTGAACAATACAAAGAATTATTATTTTTAAAACGAAATAATAAAGTCTGGATTGAAGGTAAGTTTAAGATAATTAGAGTATATACTCAACAACATAAAGGGTAGAAACTAATGATGACGTACTTACATAATTTAAGTTTAAAGTGGATTTAGTGCGTACATTTCATAGTTTGGTATCCTTTAAATTCATCAACACACCCTGGCAATCACCCAAATAACTTTTAGAGCTATCTGTTTGGACTAATTGGGGGTGTAATAGAGCTATTAACCGCTCCGAGTGACAACACCCCTCGATGTGGTCGCTCTGCGTTTAAATGTGGGCCAAAGGTAACACATTAGCATGAACAATTTAGGTAATTGCAAGTGGCAGGCCAATCGGCAACCCTCTCTGCGCCGTGGGGGTGGCTAATTTAAACATCGTAAATGTATATTTTAATGAACGGCCTGGTCGAGTTGGTATGCCAACACTTGACAAGTGCACCGGGATATGCACATAGCACTTATTAGGACATATATAATTACGATGTGTATTGGCCATGTGGACCGTTTTTTATTCGAATATGCTTAATGTTGCCCCAGCAAGAGAGGAAGGCGAGGAGTGACAGATTGCACGGCATGGCGAGAATTTTGACAGATGGCTTTCCCGATTCTGCTTTTTGATCTGACAATTTGTGGGCTCGAATTCAAAAGTGTTTTGTTATCCTTCAGTGCGCCTTGTTTGGTAAATAGGTAATTTAAATTTAAACGAAAAGGGGTGACGGATTATGACAAAAAAGTGTACACTTTACAATACAGTTCATGTCAATATTACTGTCACAATATTTGGGATTATCTAGATGACAGCCTTGTAGGTGTGGGGAACCTTTTTAACTTTATCCTATCAGATTGAAATTTGTTTTTTTTTTTGAGGAACTTTAATAGGTATGTATTTTTTATTTATTTTTAAATGCATATGATTAGCAATATACACATAATATAAGAACCACTTTACAGAAAAATTTAAGCTGCGCAGTTAGGTGTATAGTCTGATTGGTTGATCCCGATGTTTTAGCTCTAATAGTTTCGGAGATCTCAACATTGTACCGACATACAAACACGTCTAATGATATTGATCAACTAGTGATCACATATAACTATATAAATATCTTACTTGGTATGAAATGTTTTTCTAACTTTTTAAAGAATGCATAAAACCTTCTTATTCTACCAGTAAGGAGTATAAGTCTTCATAACAACAAACATTTTGAAATGCGCGCATTAATATACATAAAAAGGGAATCAGGTGAAAATGATATGACTAACCTTTTTAAAAATACTGTATCATTTCGATTGCAGAGAGTGCAAGCTTGAGTCCCATTAAAGTATGTACAATGAACTATTCTTGAAGTCGTTAATATAATCAAAATCATAACATCCCTAGGCGTAAATTATGGGTTACCACATGTTGGCTCGCCTTGTGGGTAGAAAAAACAAGCCCACGGGCGATTCGTTTTTTACGCCATTGGGGGCGTTTCTCATGGTCGATGGAGAAATTTGGGTATCGGCAAATTGTCACGTAGCCGTGGCCCTCGCCGCACTGGAAATTGTTTTTTTTTATTTTTTAGCAAATGTTGGGGGTTCCACTAGCAGTCTGCTGCTGCCTGCCCTGGAAGTAATTACAAATTCGAATTGCAACCACTTGGCACGCATATCGCGCTCAAGTCAATTTCGGGGTGGTCCGTGGGTAAGCGACCGTGTAATTCACGGTTCTCAGCGGAAACCCCGTCACTTGCGGTATAAAAGGCATTTAATTACGGTTTACACCTTCATTTGGATTAATGCGTCTAAATTAAGACTGTACTAGGACTTCATTTGCTAATTTTAATGGTTACTATTTTTAGTATTTGCATACATAAGAGAGGAGATAGCCATTGCCACCCAGAAATGGGAGTATCTTTTTATTAAGCCCAAATTGAAAACAATCCAAGCGAATATAACACATACAACATGGCTACAAAGAAATAATTACATTTTGATCATTCACAACAGAAGTTGGTATTTTACTCAAGTAAAATATACATTAAAAGCAAAAACTGTAACACGAGTTAACTGTTTAAACTTCAAAGGTCTGTAACTTTTTTTCTAATGCACGCATTTTAAAGAAATTAGTCATGTTTTATAGGTTGCATCATTTACTACTATTTAGCAAAATTAAAAGCCATTTGTTATCAGTTAACGGAAATGACACGCCAAACTTTCAGTATGTGTGAAGTTGAAACAATGAACTCGTGTTACAGTTTTGCTCGTCAGTGTATGTAGATAAATTACAGGAAAATGCAACACAGTTTATAGATGACGGATTTCTTTTACATTTATTTTGGACAAATTAAAAATTCAGAGACTTTCACTTTTAACTTTAAACTTTAAAAGATTTATGATAATTGAGAAGGCTAATGTTTTACCTTTAACGGCTAGATCTAGCAATTCCACATGCATACGGGTTTAAAAAAGCGGCTTTCGGAACTAAGAGATATGTCAAGATCAAAACTTCTATCAAACTTAATTTAGTTATGTCCTCTGAAATTCATATTTACGAGAACCCTCTTTTACCTTATGGATGCGCTAGACACAAGTTATAGTAAAACAGTAACGTACACACAGCCATATTAAATCTAAAATGCAATTTCCGGGATAAATTAAGGAAGAGGCAGTTAAAAAAGTTTTACGAACTTACGAACCAGGATCGCTCCTTACACTTCTTAAAAACCCATCCATTTTGTCATTTCGGTTGTCTTTTCTCAGTTTCTAAAAGTTCCCTATTGGGATTCTACACTTAAATCATTAAAAATATTAGCCTTTGCAAGAATAAATTCGATATTTCCGCAAAAAAATCTCTATTTTTTTTTATCTCCTAATGGAAAATTGTTAGCCAGATTATGTCTTACTACCCTGTAAAATATTATAACTGAAAGCCCTACAGTTCCAATAAAAATTAAGTTTTAATCTTATCGTATGTTACTATGATTCTAAGAGACTAATCCTAGGAAAAGCTCCTGTAAAATTAGATTTTGTTTCATACGCATCGCTCTGTAAGACAAGACGAGATAAGCGCTCGCGAGTCGCCGATCGCTCGGCTCGTCCCTTTACATTTCGGTCTCTATCGCTGGCAACACACAGTCGCAGCTTTGCTAAAATAAATCGTAGACAAAATCTCTGCCATTTTTTTGTTGGTATAATTGTAAAAAAAATTATACACAAGTGTCCTTCTTTAATTTTAAAATAATCCCAAAGCATATGAAGTTCTTACCAAAGGCACATATATTCAAATTAAATTGAGTCAATAGGTTTATTTTACATAAGCTTTAATTGCTATGACTTGGTTAACGGAAAATTGCTAAGGAATTGTAATTATGAAATGCTAACAAACAAAAGTGCACCAACTAATACAAACTACTTATTTTGCACCGTCCTGGTTTGTGGCTCCAGAAATGAAAACAAGCAGAACCACCGGTACGATGTACATCCACTGAAAATTAATAATTAGGTTAGAACAAAAGATATTAGTGGAATACTTTCACTTACGTATTTGGCGAAGAAACCACGGTTATCACGGACTTCACCACGCTCCCTGGCTTCTCGCTCCCGCTCCACTTTCTGAATAAAACCAGCGGTATCAGGCACGGGAGCCAGTTCAGCGTGGCGGATCAGGACGTCGGTGCTAAATTGCGATTCAACCAGCTTATCCACGTCCTCTTTGCTGCACTCAACAGTGGCGGGAGCAGAATCCTGGGAGACAGTGATGCCGGTAACGTACCCAGAAGGATCGAGCGAAACCCAAAGTACATCGTTCAGTTGTGCTTGCAGCAGACGGCAGGCCTTGTTGGAAGTGATGAATTGGGCCTTGGCGCCATTCGAGTAGACCACCGTGGCCTTCAAGCGGTAAAACTCATTTTGCAGAGCCAGTTTCTTAAACAGTAAGAAATTACAAGGTAATATAAAATAAGATCATGTAAGTGTCAAAGACTTCAATAAACCCCACGGGCTGTTCCAATTTGCCGGCTACTAAAAACCACTATTACCTTCAGCAAACCAAGCTCGGCATTACTTAAAGATGGTTGTTCCACATTAGCCAGTCCGGAATTGAGACTTGGAATAGTCACATTCCCGCGGAAGCCAAAGCTATCCGAGTTGGCAGCCAGAGAGTGTTGCAGCTCAATTGTAATCCAACTATCATGGTCCAAAAATGCCTACACGTAAAATTATTCAGTTATAAAATTTGTAGTTTACATTGGTTTATAACTTACCCAGCTGCTAGACACTACGCCCAACAGAAGACAGAGCACAAATTCAAACTTCAAATTCATTTTTCCTTAATAAATGTCAATTTTTATTTCAATTTGCCAATGGTACGAGGGATGTTACGAATAGTGTGGCCGACTCTGACTACTCATATAACCATATAATGTCTAAAGAAACATACTAAAATGATTGAGCTCAAGTTTGGGGTATTCTATTTCTTCCGAAATACCCGTTGATAACTGCGTGTAACGCAATTTAACAATTTCTAATAAGTTTGGTTATATGAATTGAAAAATATATACATATTTTAGTTGGAAATTAGTAAGCTAAGAACTATGATATTTTTGTTACAGGAAACACCTTAAGAATTTCGTTATTATTTCTGGTTATAATTAAAAAAAGATATTAAAAATAATTACTATTATTTGAATTTTGTTTTTTAAAACAAATTGTTTATCATTATTTATAAAAGAAGGCTTAAAGATATTTAAATGCGATTTCATGTACACTTCCTCTTATAACTTAAACAGGGTAAAATGTTTTAAAAACATGTGTATTTCCCACTTTTAATGTTAATTTGTTTAAGATTTATAAGTTTAACACCATTATCGTAACCTGTGGTTTTTACTCTCATTATGTTGGGACTTAGTAGGCCAGTAGAAGATTTATAAATATGGCTGTATAGCAATAACTGCTGATCTAAAAAATCCCAACCATAATGGGGGCACACGCGGATTTCGAATAAGTCCCGACTTCTTTTAAGGCTAATACAAAACTGACAAACTATTTGAAAATAACCTGTTCTTTTATAGTTAGCGATGAGGAATCGGTAATATCGGATTTAGCATTCAATATATGATGTAATGGAATATTCATAAATATGATGACATCGTTTTTTTACTTTAACCCTCTAAAAAGATTTTGCTTAACTTTTTTTAAAGTAAATGCTGACTTTATAATCATTGCAACTACTGTCTCGATATTTTAATTTCGTTAAGGTAGCCGAATTTTTGAACTAAAGTTGAAAATATTAAAAAAAAAAATGCATTAATATTTTATTATGACTATAGTGTTAAAAAGATATAAAAGTGAAATAAGATAAAGGTGCTTTTGTAAGGTTTTAAAACGAGGCCGAGCTGAAATCCGAGAAAATCGTCAGGCATCATTGACTTTCGACTTGCTTGATAATTTTTAGTTCGGCAGCTCACAAGCTTTTTGTTGAATTAAACCAACAGTTTTAAAAGAAATCGCAGCAATAATGGTCATTTAGCTAACATTTTAATTTACATTAAAACGGATGCATTCCCATTAAGTGGTAAGACCCCATTTGAGCACTTTTTGTGTTAAAAGAATAAATATTAAAATGAAATATTTTTATTGTAAACGCCTATAATATATTAATATGTAATGACAACAGATTCATGTAACACTTTTCAAGAGTCGGAATTTTAAAAATATTTTGGAAATTTCATGCCATCAGAAACTGTTTTCTAGTTGTGTACAATGGAAACGTATAAATGCTCAGATTTAAAAAAAATAAAAATAAAAACATTAATATTAACGTTAATATTAATATCAAGTAAAAACATATCTATGTAAGATTTATTTTCCAAATCCGGAACGCTTTAAATATTTGGGAATTTCATGCCATTACAAACTGTTTTTGAGTTGTGTACAATCGAAACGCATAAATGTTCGTTGAAGTTCAGATCTCGAAGCAACTAAAAAAAAAATAATTAATTTTAAATTCTTAATATATTAATTTTATTTTATTTACCTTAGGTGTTACAAATAAATACTGAGCAGAACCGTGCTTTGTGGCCTCCTTAAGGAGTAAATCAAATATGTGGCGCTCATTTTTAGCGTCCATGCCCTGATTTATTTCATCGACGCACCTGAAAAATGGCAAAATGTAATCTACTATTAAATAAATACTTTGGTTTATAAATACCTGAATGGCACATGAGTAACATGTTGCAATGATAATGAGTAAATTGCAATTGATACGGCCCGTTCGCCTCCAGATTGAATGAACTTATCCAATGGCTGCAGCTGGGCACCTCTCCTAAACTGGACCATTATCTGAATGCCGTACGAATCGAAGTCGAACTGAAAAAAGAAAATGGCATTGTAGTAAAATGTTCGAAAATTATTTAACGCAATATTACTTATTACCTTATCAGTTTTGGATAAAACTACTTCCCCAACGTATTCAATTGACTCCATAAACTCGCTGAACTTTGTACTTATTGTTTCTACTAAGCTGGTTAGTTTGAGTACCCATTTGTCGTATAAATTTGACATTTCAGATTCGATGTTTTTGGCTTGGCTAACAGATTTTTGAATTCCCTCCTCCAGCGTTTTGACTTCGTTTTGCAATTGCTGATAGCTGTCGATTGCCTGGATATTCATTTAAGAAAAGTAGATCCTTTAATTAAATAATCAGTTTTGTAAAGGGTATTTATGTAATCTAAATAATAAATAACAACTAAATAATCTATAGTAATTAATAAAATAAGCATTTCTTATATCCACCTCGGAGTTAACGCTTTTCATGCACTCCAAACGAGCCTGATAGTCATGTATAGCTTCAAGTATTCCGGCCAAATCCATGTTTTCTAAATCCTTGAATTCCTTCTTAAATGGAAATTTCGAACTGGTTGGAATTTCTCCGTCACACAAACGCTGAATGTCGCTCTTTCGTTTGTTTATATCATTAATCTGATTTTCCAAGCTCTTTATCAATTGTTGGAAATCTCTCTAAAAATAACAACTTTTAAATATTGAATCCAATCTTTGAATGTTCGCTTACGGTTGCTGATAAACTCTGTTGCTCGCTTTCCTTGAGTGCTTCACTTTGACTCTCATGTTGCACCATATAAACAGATGCCATTGTCTGGGCTAATTCCTTTTCAATCGTAAGACGACTCACTTTTTCCAAGCAGTTTGCCAATTGCCGCTCGAAATTGACAATTTTTCTTAAGTCTGTCCTCATGCTTTCATGGAAATTGTCTTTAAGAGCGTCCAGTGCTGAAAATACAGTTCATATATGCTAATACTTTGGCGCATTGATCAACACTTACCGTCATTACTCTGAAGGATTTCCAACTTTCTCCTGAGAGTTTCAACTTCGCTTTTTAGGTTATTAAAATGAGTTATTTTTTGGTCAAGTTTTCGTTTCTTTTCTTGTTCATCCTTTGTTACATCTTGCAGCCGTTCAAACTCATTGTCGGTTTGGCTTATGGCGTTCCTAATTTTGTCACTTTCTTTCACGGCTTCGAAACACAGTTTCTTGACCTGCTCTAGTTGTTGTGAATCCACTGTAATTAGTTGATTTTTTCCCCTGATAGTGCTTTCCGTAAGAATTGTATCGGAACGATAGCGAGATGCCGTCACAACAAATTTCTTATTTCCTGAAATATTCTACCAAATTAGTAAGATTCGTAAAGGAAAGACTCTAATAAACAATAAAATTATTAAAGTATACACACCCCCAAAATAAACTCGAATATTTTTCGGAATGGCTGAAGTATTATTGCCAACGGCTTCTGTGCCAATGGGAATATTATGAATCGAGTAGGAAGCACAAAGCTTGTTTATTAATGGTATCGGTCCGCTTACGAGCTCCACAAGATATGCACGAAAACCCAAGGGACTGTAGGGACATTTAAATAATTATCTTCACTTAATTTAGATTTTATTTGATCGTTTACATACCGCAAATCATTTCTTGAAATACTTGGATTGTACATTACTCTATCGGCTGGTGCGCAATATATAATGTTGACTCCCAATTTTTGTTTCACACACAACTCGTTTATCAAGTCCGACATGTCCTCTTTGTCCTCACATGCAAATGCAAATAAGTCTCGCTGAGATACAACATTTTCCAGGTATTTGGCGTCTTCTTGATTTTCTACGGTAAGCTAAAGGTGATTTATTTTTAATACATATTAGTTTTAGTGTGCAATAATGCAGAAAGCTTACCTCAAGTACCATTGGATCGTATACGTTCAATTTGTATCTCTGTCTATTTTGTGACAACCAATTCATAGCTTTAACTAAATTTGGATTACGCATTCTAATTTCCTGAAAAACATAACATGCAGTATATTTTGTTAATGTAAACCAAAATATTTACTTCAATTTTCTGCAACTTGACGTTTTTGAGTCGATCTATTTTGTGCTTATAAGCTGTGATTTCTGGAATCTTTTCATCATTTAGTTGTTGCTCAAGTTGTTTTCTTCGCTTATACTGTTCCATGGCTTTACGACGTGCTGCATCGCATGCTGTTTTAACTCTTTCCAGTTCCGAAAGGATCTGAGGCCTGCTTTTATTGAAGTCTTCTAACTCCTCGTTTTTATTGTCCACTAATTGTTTCACTTTGTCAGCTTCTGCGGCGTTTCTAATTGATTTTTGGATGTTTTGCTATTTAACAGAATAAATAATATAAATATATACATTTTGAATACTTCAAAAACAAATACCAACCTCTAATTCAAGTTCTTTGCCCCGAATTCCTTGTCTTAGGGAATCAATCTGACTTTCTAAAGCATTTTGTTCTGCTACAGACTTATCTAATGAACGCGTCTAAAAAAAGATACCAATCAAATAATTTTGTAGAAAAATTGCATTCAGCCAACAATTACTTTTTCCAAGCAGTCTTGTCTCAGTGAGACTTTTCTTCTCTCAATTTGTTCTTGAGCCATGACAAGTTGGTTGTGTCGCTCCTTCATTATGTCGCTTTGAGTTTTGGCTTTGTTAACTTGTGTTTGCAATTGAGCTGCCTTTGCTTCTCCATTCTGGGTCTCAATCCACAATTTCTTCGCACTAAAGACTTGAAGTTTTTGTTTGACTTCCTCGCGTTCCTTATAGTGCGCAACAGTCATTTGCAACCTACAAAATAAAATTTGGAAATGCATTAAATAGTCTTGTAAATCATTAGTACAGAAAGTTATGACTTACTGTTCCAATCTTTTTTTCTTTTTCACCAGATCACTTTTCTCCTTTTCCCGATTGGTATTGGCATTGGTCTGTTGTGTGCGCAACTGCTTTAAAAGATTGAAATTGCTGGTCAGCTCATCGTCACATACGGAAGACATTGTGTTCAGCAAAAGCTCTTGAGGATTCATCTTGGAAAAGTCCTAAAACATAAATATAAATATAATATATAATATTAAGATTTAAAAGTCAATCAATTTCAAGGCAAATTACCTGAACCCGATCCTGCGGAAGGAACTGGCACAAATTGCTGACTTGTATGTTGTAGGAAGATACGGCAGCCAGAAAGTTTTTCTTGGAGGTGTCCTGGCCGTTTACAGAGAAGGTGGAAGATCCATTCGAGTTAATGATGCGCCGGAATGACTCCGTGCTGTTTACTGTTCGTCCATACACCCGGACAATAATCGTGGCCGAGGTTTTGTTGCTCTGTATGTAGTCAGCAACACTAGCGGATCTATCCAACAGAATCGGTTCCCCGCCCAAGCCCAATATAATGGCAGACACAATTGTGGACTTGCCACTGCCATTAGGACCCGTCAGGACGTTTAAATAGTGCTTCGGATGAAAAGTAATCTCACTGTAGGACCTGCAATTTGAATTTTAAATAAAAAGATCAGAGATTTACGAATCGGACCATTAAGACTTGAATTTACACGAAATCTTTGCAGTAAACTGAATGAATACGTCCCGCCAGTTGCTTGGAACTTAGGGCACGGTGTCCACCCATAACGACGAGTCAGCTTCACTTGTTTTTATCTTCAACTTTTTAAATAGAATACAATTCCTTTTAAAACGAGTCCGCGCTTTCTGGATTTCTGTTTCGCATTAAGGCAATAAGGCACGTTAAATAAATATCGATAACATTTGAATAAAAACATCGTTGTAATCCTAAGAGGGCCCCTTAAATATGTGACTCAGTTTTATTTAGGACAACAGCACTGTTCCCACAAGCTCTTAAATCAAAGCACAATTCTTTTATCTCAGTCCGTTTGCTGTTCTTACATTTGCTAACACCAAAAATTTTTGACAACATATAAATTTAAATCAATAAATTATTTTTAATTGAATAAGATTATCTTGATTCGTTAGTGTGAACAGCCTATTCTATTCCGTCTACATTATTTTAATAAATCGATAGCTGCTGATGTCTATCGCTATGGTTTTGTTTCATCTCTATTAAGCACTCATAACTATTTAAACTAAGGCAATTAAATATGAATTTTGGCAAAATAAACAGTCTAGCCAGACTTCCTGCACTACAGTCATGCTTACAATACTCAAGCTCTGCAAAAGCCGAACTGCCGGCAGCCATGGTTGGTGACGAGAATGACCTACCGGCATATCCCCAGGCGGTGGACAGATCCGGCCTGCAACCACAACATAAAAATGTGCTCCTGAACAAATTGCCCTACCAAGAGCCGCACTCCTGGATACATCGGACCGAGAAGTACCAGAGGCAGGCCTTCGGACGTTACGGTGCCGAAAGTAATGTGAATCCAAAGATCTGTTTCGAGTCCCTTGGAGAGGAAGACAACAGACAGGTTATGCAACTAGAAACACTAATGAAAATGTTGCAGAAGAACCGCGCTCAGAAGGCCGAAGAGCTGGAGAAGATCACTGCACGCGAGGATGACATTGCGAAGAAGATGGAAAAGTTAAAGCAGTGGAAGGCGGATCTCCATGCGAAGGTCGCCAAGCGGGAGGCGGATGCCGCGGCAGCTATACAACGTAAGGAACGCCTGGTGGAAGAGGTGCGTCGACACTTCGGCTTCAAGGTGGACACACGCGACGAACGATTTAAGGAGATGCTGGAGCAAAAGGAGAAGGAGGACAAGAAGAAGCAAAAAGAGGCCAAGCGAAAAGCTAAGGAGGAGAAGATGATGGCCAAGCTGGTAGAGAAGTCATCTGCGTAAAGTTACTATAGTTGCTAGTACCATCGATTTAAGCAAAGAACTGTTATCTGTTGCCGTCAATAATAAATATCCAGCAATAGAAAAATATTTATTTTACCGGATTCCGTATACATTTTTTAAAATTTCAAAGAATTCAAAATCGAAGTTAAAGCTTCACAAATTTTCGGTGTACAAGTAAGCTTGAATTCTAAATAACTAAACTTTTAAATGTTTGAGGAAGTTATCGCTATCTTCATAGATCTTTCCTTATAAATATATAAAAAAAATCTTTTTACATATCAAATTTAATGTATAATTAAATTTTAAATATAAATTTTAAAAAGCGCAGATAATATAAAAATTCATTAGTTCATTTTAAAATATTTTTTTTGGTTATCAGTAATTTATTATCACAAATATATACATAGTGTCTTGTTTTCAAAATTATCACGTTTATTATCGTCTAGGATACTATATTAATTATATTATTATTATTAAAAGTTATAAAGTTTAAACCGAAATAGATAATTTTTTAGAAAATCATATTATTGTGGTAACAGTAGACAATACGAATTCAAAAATATTTTATGGCACCTATTTTGGTATAGCCATTTTGGTTTTATTCTTTTTATTTCACTGAGAATTTATAAAATCTTTTTATCAATCTTCAAAATCGCTTTGACGTAAGGACAGGGAACTGCGAACTGATTTTTCACTCTCACGCCGGCTGTTTGCCATAACACTTTGCTTTTTGAAATTAAATTCCTCCTCGTTACAGCTTATGCAAACATTTACAAATTGTTGAATATCCTTTTCCATCAATTTATCCGCAACTTTTATTAACTTCTCTAGAGCTTCACCGGTTCGTTCGACCTTGTGAAGAGCGGCATTGGCTTTAATTATCAGTAAATAGCTGAGAAACTGCCAGATATAGCTGTTACACTTGATGGCCTCTAAAAAGTATGATTAATAATCTAAAACTTTACAGTAAATGAATAAAGTATCGAACCTTCAATAGACTTTCGGGCACTAAAACAGCATTCGTCGAATCTATGAGATTGCAGATGCACACTGCCAATCTGATGAAGAAGGTAGGATCTTTCGATAGGGTACTTTGCGAAAACCATCCTTTTCTCGAATCGGTTTACTATTTGACTGAAAATGATTAAAACTTATTAGGATAGGTCAATTTAAAAATGTATTTAAAGTTAACTACCGCGACTTTGACATGGCCGGATCGCCTGTATCCAAGCCCTGATGCGTGGTACGGTCCCCAAATACGAATGGCTTAACCTCCAATGACTTGTCCATGGGAAAGCGAAGCAAGCGGAGCAGAGCGTTCTTTTCCGCAAATCGAAAGTTCTTTGGAACAGTGTACTGATCTACAAAGGCTAATGCCAAAATGTTGTATACCTCGTTCAAAAACTCAAACTTCCAGGGCATAATCCTGTGGGTTTTTTTGACCACATAGTCGCCCATTACTTCCTCCACGTAGTTAGCCAGTTTCTGAAAAGGAGAGTGGCAAAATATTATAATTCTTATAAGGCACAACAGTTACTATGAGAGGTAAAAGAATCACCTAAAGAATCGAATCAAACCTACAAAGTTAATGTAAATTTTACGACAAGGAACTGTGTTCTCAAAAGTATTTTAAAAACAAATAAGCTAAAGCCAAATCCTTACTGGTAGATTTTTAGTTATTCGAAGATAGCGAATAGTGCGCAGAGCAGAGATCATATTTCGTCTGGTTTGGTACTGAACTCGATACAGATATTCCTGCCGAAATTTGTCCATTAACTTCTTGTTAGTGAACTTCTGGTAGCGGATATTGTACATGGGGCTGCGTGCTTCTAGCATTTTCTGTGTCAAATAGTAAAAAGATTTAAATATGCTCTCTTCACATTTAGTAACCGCTTCACCTACCAAAAAACCCTTGAGCTCGTCATATTTCTTCGTAGTGATGGTCTGTAAGAACTCATAGCTTTTTTTACACTGATCCAAGAGCAGAGTAGGATTCCTAAATAAGATAGATATGTTGATCATAAAAGATTTAAATAAATCGGATAAGGGGCTTACTTTCGAACATGTTTCAAAAAAATCATATCTAGCCAAGACCGATCTAAATACATTTGGTTAAATACATCGAAGGCACGATTTCGCCTTGCAATTTCCAAGGGAGAAAGCATTTCATCCTAGGTGAAGAAAACTTGTAAATAAGATAAGTACAAATTCATCATAAATGCCAACTTCTATTTCCGGGATACTAAGGACATCGCATTTTTCTTGTTCCTTCAATATTTTCCAAAGCGGCCTGGTATCTTTCTTATATCTTCTTAGTTCTTCAGCTATCTGCACTATAAGTTTGTCATTTTCAGATATAAACTGAGTCATCGAAGGACCACACGCATCTTGAATATTTTCGTCCACCTAAGATAACTTTGTAAATAAGGGAGATATCTCCGTAATTTACCCAAAAATCAATCATACCACAACCAGAAGGCGTTCAAAAATTTTGGTTTTGTTACCAGTGAACAGACGAGCATTGTCGTGAAGCTCGGCTTTGGAGTTTTCAAAGTGATTCAATTCATAGAGGGCATCGCAGACTTCCAAATTAATCGGCGCATCATTACGTTGCAGACTATTTAATATTCCTTCACGGAAATTAAATAATTTAACATATTAACATTTTGGAAGAGGACAAATTGTAACTTACGCTGTGCATCCCGACAATCCTTTAAAGCACTTTCTGTCAAGGCATTTTTCCTTTTTGTCTGACTTCGGCGATATAGAGTGGTGAAGTCTGTAGGTCCGAGAGTGAGGGCTTTGTTAAAGTAATGTATGCCAAGATTTTCCCGGCGCCGGCGGCAGTAGTACGTTCCCCAGTCCTTGTATATCTTCTGTTCAATCTCTGGGCTCCAGTCAATCTTAAACCATATTGGTATTGCTGCTTGGACGCCCTGAGCCTGCGGAACAAAAGAGTCGGGTTGTATTATTGAAGTCATTATATTATTTTTTTGTTTTATTATTTTGTTGTTTTTCCATCGAATATTTGAAGGCAACTGAATTACATTACAGAACGGATTCTAGGACGTAAGAGTGTAGTAGAAACGGTACTATGATCGAACCTAGCCCTATGCTGGCCTTGATCAGTTACATACATTGATGGTGATACACATTGATGGTGAGACTTCCTTTTTCCTTATTGATCACTTCGAGTGATTTTGTCAAAACTTAGATGCCGCAAAAATAGTATAAGGAGAAAAGCTTGCATCCTTATTAGGCTAACATGATTCTGAAGCACTTCGGTTTGCCCCAAAGCCACAAGTATATCTGAAATTACCTCCCACCTTCAGTTCCACTAGCATGGAAGTAAATGTAGGAATTCGGCTTCAACGCCTGCGCACTCTGCCGCCCAGATTCCCTGCTCCTCAAGCTGGCCAGAACAATTGGATATGCAAACAGTTGCTTCCCACCTGTCGTTGGCCAAGCATCCTGCGGGAAATAAGAGCCTTTCCGTGTCTCGGCAACTTTGATATGTGCACTAATTACGAAAATTCGAGTGTCAAAAGAACCCAATTAACAAGTGTTAAGTCAGAAGTAGTTATGAATGGATTAGGAAGTTCTTCAGGTGCAAGTGGTAAACCAGTGAGAGATTTTACGTAATTTTCAAATTTACAAAAGCACGTTTTCTTAACATATGCACTTATATGGCCATTTGTTATAATTTTAGTTATGACAGTAATTTGTGATAAGATAAACGACTACTATCAACATTGCGATAAAAAGATTGGTATCCATTAAATAAATAATTTATTATGGGGAGATTGAATTAATTAAAAATGCTACTACTTATAAAAACTTAGGAAAATGTTAAATCACATTTAAATAAAAATCCAATGACTAGAATTTAAACTAAAAACTAAAACTAACTTTAAATTCGATAAAAAATAAATAAAAGTAATACCTAAAAAGTGACTCATTTCAAATATATACGATCATTCGAATATTTTAAAAAATAAACACTTATTTTCAAATTAAAAATAATTATGTTATTATTTTCTAAGTACCTTAATGGAGGTGCAGTATATATATTTTCAACATCAACTGGGAATAAATATTTACACATGTAAATATTTATGTATGCACCGATAAAAGCTTTCTTACATATAATTCTTTCATAGTTTGCTGAACTTTTGCATGTGGTTCCAGGTGTTTACGGTTAAACATGTTTTTATTGTACTACATAAATTATGAAAAATAAGTAAAGAGGATCAAAATTACTCTGTTCAGCAATCAAAATCCGTTTCAAATTAATCTAAGATGGGCTTAGGTCCTGTTTATTACTCAAACACTTCGGAAGCTTTGAATAAGACAGCAACCTCGCTAAGCCTTTTTACTTATTCATCTTCATTTGCACTCAATAAATTCAATTGAAGCAAGTACCTTGGCAGAAAGTGCTAAGAAAACTGCCAGATGTACATACATAATTATTTTCCACTTGGGGCGACACTTGACGTCTATTACCCACATAAATACATATGCAAACTTGTGGGTTTCGGCACCCAAGTAATTAGCAACACGTGGCTTTGGTCACTTCTCGGGTTCACCGAAGGGGCTGACAGAGAATGGGGTTGGTCACCGCCTAAGTGTCCCTAATGATTGGATGCTGGATGGGATTGCGTGTCTCAAGGGTGCTCTGGACCCTCCAGGGTCTAAATTGGCTGATTTAATGATTTAGTGCTTCGCTAGGGGGGAAGCTCCTAATGAGCCACCTGCTATTTATTATTTTATTATCTTTGAGACTGTCGTACCTCGAGCTGGCTTCCTAATTACACGTGTGCCTTCCTGTTTGCATATTTTGTCAAATTAAATTCACGTCTGAGTACACTTAGTTGGAAAGTTAGCAAGTGCGTAAAATTGTATATAGTAGTTCGGTTCGCTAAGCCAAAATGTCTCAGTGTTTTGAGTTGAGTTTGTCTCGGCGACATGTTCATTATAATGACAGAATCTGTGGCCAACACCGATGCAAACTTTTCTGGCTGCGAGTCTTCGTATTTGTGTCTAAGCTATTGTTAACCCCATTTAAAGTGGCTTAATAAATCTGGCCAAGATGCTGCTGCCGACACTTGCAACCACAATAAAACTAAATACCTGTGGGCATATTATATTAAATTCCCATCTGTCTTAGGCTTTAGTAAACAAGGCCTTAAAGTTCTTTGGCTGGTGGCTTTAAAACGAACTGAATTAATAAAACATTTTAAAGGAATCTGTAGATATCAAGCTGTTCGCCTTATTAATCTGGCATACAAAATTAACAGACAACATTTAAGACGTGCACACATCGCTCGATATACTTGTATTATATATATCCATAGAGCAGTTTATCTAACGAGATGTGAGTCAGTTGATAAGATAGCATCTTCAAATGCAAATAACGACAAACGTTATACATATATAGGCTTTCAGAGGCTGTTAAATTAAATTAAATTAAATTAAATAGAAATAATGAACGTGTGTGCCGGCCACTTCAGGCTAAACCTTTGGAGGCAGAATCTCCCATGCCCTCTTGATTTGATAACTGACGCTTGTTGACATTTCCACTTAATCTATGTGTAGAAATAAAAGATATCCGGGTACCGTCGGAATAATTCTTTGAAGTTTTTATTTAAATTAGAACACCCAGTGCTCCTAAAGATCAAGGGTATATTGCTTTATCAAAAATCACATTTGACTTCAAAAATATCAGGAACATCTGAAGTCATATACGATTGCCATTTCATTGAAACATTTCCTTTGTGGTACCATTTTTATTTTAAGTCATTACGATATTAAAAAGTTCATAGTTTTGTTTTAGCAAATATATATATAGCCAAAAATCTAAAAGGAAACTATAACACCAAAAAGATCCTCAAACATTTGGTATTCCTTGCATTTGTTTAACATCTGATCAACTTATCTTTTAATTAAAGATTAAATTTTGTTGTTTTTGACGTAAACACAGAAAATTACTCATTCTGCGGCATGAACATTATGCCATACCTATATATGTATCTGACCACATACATATATGTACCTAAAATATGTACTTGTTGTTTATATATGCCCGTGTGTATGTATTTATTTACAATTTAGCCTAAACCATGCCATCTTATCTTTTTAGCGCTAGACTGCGGACAGTAATCTGTGGCCATCTACAAGATACAGTGGCTGTATTATACGATAGCGCACCGCGTATTTTTTTCACCCCATAAAAAATTAAACGGAAATTAAATCGTCGTGTGCCATGGGATATTTTAATTTTAGCAACGGCCGTTAAAAACTGTTCCACTTTTCCAAATAAACCAACAAGAGTTTATTGTTAAAATGAATTCCTCGACAAATCCCACGTTTCCGGAGTTCAATACAAGTTTTAGCAATACTCCAGATTTATATGCAACTAGTGTTAGTGTAGAACCAACCAACGGATTAGAAACAGACGGATACTATGCCTGCGGCACTTTCAACTGCTCCCCAACGGAATTTGTGGCTTTCGTTCTTGGTCCGCAGACCCTGCCACTTTATAAGGCGATATTGGTAGGTATTTAAGATGTTGTTTAAAGTTATACTCCTACGTTTAACTCCTTATTGATTTCCTATAAAAACAATTATTACAAATGTTGTTATAATAATTTATTTTAAAAATGACGCACCCTCACGTTATCCAAGTTAGAATAAAAAATCTGTACTCAAAAACTGACATTCAAATTTGATTTAAATTTAATAGATTTATGTACGTCATTCCTATGTTTTAAAATGCTGTAAAAAATATAATAATTTAAAAAACCAAAACATTTTTACCAAAACCCCCCTCAGATAACCATTATATTTGGAGGCATTTTCATAACCGGGGTCATTGGTAACTTATTAGTATGCATTGTAATCATTCGTCACTCGGCAATGCACACTGCGACAAATTACTACCTCTTCAGTTTGGCTGTCTCTGATCTGCTGTACTTACTATTCGGTTAGTTGAATACGCAAAACTATAAACCTGAAGATTAAGAATGACTGTTTTAATTACTACTAGGACTACCAACGGAAGTGTTTTTATACTGGCACCAGTATCCAGATCTCTTTGGCATGCCATTTTGTAAAATTCGCGCTTTCATTTCCGAGGCGTTAGTATGAATAAACTCTTTTTCTGTGATAATCACTTTAAAGCAACATTTCCTTCTAGGTGCACTTATGTCTCTGTATTTACTATAGTAGCATTTTCCATGGAACGATTTTTGGCTATTTGCCATCCGTTGCATCTATACGCTATGGTTGGCTTCAAACGTGCTATTCGGATAATAACAGCTCTTTGGATTGCAAGTTTCATAAGTGCCATACCATTTGGATTACTCTCGGATATTCAGTACCTGAAGTATCCATTAGGTATGTGACTACATTTGATTGTTATTATTAATCGTAACATGCTATAAATCGCTGATTGAAAACCTTTACCAGATGGTTCCATCATTCAGGAATCTGCATTCTGCTCCATGTCTCCCGAGAAAGTTAATGTTATACCAGTATTTGAGGTATCCTTTTGCATATTCTTCGTCATTCCGATGATACTTATCATATTACTCTACGGACGAATGGGAGCTAAGATTCGGTCTCGGACCAATCAGAAATTAGGCAAGTACTTGGCTACTTCTATTGATCCTAAAAGATCCGACTTCAGGGAAATCTTTTAGGTGTTCAACATGGCACCAATAACAGGGAAACTCGAAACTCCCAAATGAGGAAGAAGACAGTTATTCGTATGTTGGGTAAGCTTTTGGGTTGTTAAGTATTATGAGAAGAATCCAATAAAGTAAACCTTTTAATCAGTATAGCCGCTGTGGTGATAACATTTTTTGTCTGCTGGTTTCCATTCCACCTGCAACGGCTTATTTTCCTGTATGCCAAGAATATGGAAAACTATTTGGATATAAACGAAGCTCTCTTTTCAATTGCGGGATTTGCGTACTACGTTTCATGGTGAGTAATTAAAATATTTTAAAAAAATAAATATTAACTTATTTCTTTGACAGTACCATCAACCCTATAGTATATAGTGTAATGTCTCGACGCTATAGGGTGGCTTTTCGGGAACTTCTCTGCGGAAAAGCCGTTGGTGCGTATTATAACAGTGGATTCGCAAGGGATCACTCTAGCTTCCGGGAAAGCACGGGCACCAGTCTGGGTAACAACATCAATTATGATCGGGTCCATTCCGTCGGTTACTTTTCACTTTTTTACTAGCGTGATTCTCATTCGAACTCACTTTTTAGGTTCACGTCAGATCAAGCCGGCATCAAAATATTAAGAATGAAGCTGAATCCTTATCTGCAAATAGAGTGCTGATTAAGAAAACATACAGTCTTCCGCTACCAAAGGTAAATTATCAAATTCAGTTTTTCAGTGCGAAAATAAAATATAATTTTACTTGAAACTTAACTACAGAGCTTGAGCTTTAAAAATGTCCATGCATGAAACCCCCGTGCAAGCAAGGTTGATAACGGTCATAAGTTAAGGTTACCTTTAAAGTCTTTCGCTTATATTTTTTAGGTCATTCATTAGAAACCTCATGGTTATATATACTATATATTATGTTTAGTAATCTAGTAATATTATATTATAGTTGACCCTTTGTATGAATAAATTTCCTTTTTGTTGCTGAGTTTCAACAATTATTTTCAAATTTTTTCCGTGTCGCCAGACTTCTTCTTCAAAGATACATAGCTCGGTGAATAAATCAAATTAAAAAGTTATTTAACTCTGCGTCAATTCGTGAAACTTTGTAATTCCCAATGCTAAAGTTGCTTGGCACTCTTGTTTTAACCTTGTTAGGTTGATTTCCCATTGTTTACATGTGTACCTATGGGAACCTAACTTTTTCGTTACGTCGCAGGCCAAAGGAATTAAAGAGGTCGTATCTGATTGTCTGAGTTCTCAAAACACGTACATATGTAAATATATTACATGTTGCTTTCACTTATAATAACCTTGAAATTTGTCTTTATTTGCAGAATGCGGATTCCACTGTTCTGAGCACAACAGACATTGTAATTGTACTAGAAAATAGCCACACAGTTTGTGAGGAGCCCAAAGTTGAGAACGATATTTGGATCGAAAATGAGGAAACTTGTATTTAAGCAGGAAGCCATTTCAACATTTCTATATTAGGCTTAAGAGGTCGAGTGAAAAACCTAAGGTTATGTGCACAACATTTTTTGTAGTATTAATTTAAGAGCTTAGATTTGTCTATGTAGAATCGTAGGTCCAAATAAGTTAGTCTGTTCCAGGAATTCGACTAATTTTTAAAAGCTTAGCACAAAGGAGATTAAATTATTATCTTATTGAATAAAAAATAAATGAGTTTTATAATTACGAGGCGTTTTGAATCACGGAGATTTTATAAATATTTATTTTTGCGAGAAAACACTTTTTCATCTTTACATGTTTTCTTAAAACAAAAGAATCCCAGATGATTGAAACTTGATGAACCAAAACTTTTTAGGCAAACAGAAATAACTGGACTTTTATGAATGAATATATTAACAAATGATTACGGTTTTAAACGTTTTGCATAACAATGATTGAAATTATCGTTTTCATGGCTTGTTCTCTCGAACAGCAATGCCAAATTGACGACAAAAACGAAAGTTGTACCCATTATCCCAGTATCTATAATTAAAATACATTTTCACTTTTTCTTGAAGATATAAAGCCAGAGGTAAATAAACCTTAAATTTAAAAATGTCTTATCCAGTGATCTAGCATTGTGTATAAGCAAATTAATCTTTGAACTTTGAGGTATTTCCGAATGAGATGCCGCCAATTACGCATAGGGTCTAAAAATGTTTTCTTCTCGATCACCTCCGAATTACTTTCTCCTGCACTTAAGATAAACAAATTAAAAAATAAATCAGGCAAATAGATCTGTAGCATCTGAAGCGATACCACTGTGCCCCGATGTTCGAGTGTCTCGGCTTCTCGATGATCTCTCGGTGGCCACCACATCCACATTTCCTCTGTAGCAGAGTCACAAAACTGGTTTAATGGCCATTCCGACGAATTCCAGCACAGCTGGCTCAGAAACGTTCCATTTGCAACTCAGTTGCTTTCCAACCAACCGACGAGACCACCGAATTTTAAGAAGAAAGTGATCGGATGGATGGTCGAGACCCTCGATTGATTAACGGTTCATCGGCGTTTAAACAACAGGCTCTGAAAAATGTACCCATGTAAAGCTAAGGCCAATCGGTTTTGAATAGATCGCTGCATCTGGGTCTGAAGACGTAGCTCTGGCTCTGACTTTGTATTTGGCTGCATTGCCGCGAGGCGTTCCATTTTTATTTTAAACGATTGGCCGGATAACAAAGAAAGTGAGATCAAGTCTGCGAGATCGTGGCGAAAGAAAAAGAAGCTTCGCATGTGTGCGTGGTTAATTCGAAAGAAACTTTTTTGCTTTTGGCTGCGGAACTGACAAATGTCAAATACCAATAGACCGTCGTGGAATTAAGACGCGCCTGTCACCAAGCGGACTTCGAAAATGACGAAAATTGCCATCAAATTAGCCCCTCTTTTGGAGGTTATAGTTTTATTGATATTCCTATCGGTCGAAGTGCAGTGCGATGACAACGATCTGAGACAAGCGCGCATAATGCAGTTTCTAAGTGAGCCCCAGCCACATTTTAACCACAACCGACCTCCAGGTCCTGGACTTTTGCCCCGAATAAGACCGCGATCAGATAACTTGGCTCTTCTTTCGGGCAGCCCCAGCGCCAATAAATTCCTGAGATCTCCCCAACCTAAAACCGTTCAACATATCATGCGCCGCGAGCAATTCGGCAACTTTCCTCCGATGGATCAGACTAGAAGGTATCAATTCGACCAGAACCAGCCCGGAAGATTCGCACATGTGAAGGATACTCCTGTCCTGGACGTGGGAAAGAACCAGTTTCCACCCCAATATTTCTCCGAGCAGTATATACAAAACTTGAAGTCCTCACCGCGCTTCAACGGCAATGTGATAATGAAGGATCATAAGCCAGTATATGCACCAATCCAGCAGCATGCGATTCCAGTTCAGGCATCTCAGTACCTGCATTACCCCAAGCTATTCGAACAGCAGGCTGCCAGTTTCAGTCTGGTGCCCTCACAGCAAACCGCGCTTCAGAATAATCAGTTCCCGCAGGAAGCGAACAGTTACTCGGTTTACGAGGAATCCGATAGTCTTCCGAAACAGGGGGTCAACCAAGGGGTTAACTATCGCCAGGCCGTGCCGCCCGCGAAAGAGTCGAAGGAGGCGCAGGACTACCTACAGTTCATGAGTACCAACGAATATTTCCTGCCGAAGAGGGATCCTGACTACAAGAAGTTGGATGTTGAGCGAGATCAGCAAAAGCAGCTTTACCAATATCCACAGCAATACAATCAGCATCACCAACAACAACTCCAGCAAACACAGCAACCACAGCAACACCAGCATCTTCAGCACCAGCAGCCGCAGCAACATCAGCCGCAGCAGCATCAACCTCTGAAGCAAATTCTTCCCTATAAAACTGCTGGTCTAGACAACACTGTCTCCTCCAGTTACAATGAACCCATACAAGTCTCCGATTTGTTCTACCAGCAAGATCCCGCACCGGCGAACTCCGCTGTAGTTCGCGGCAGTTACCAGGCTGGCCAAGATGTTTTTGTGGTCAAATCCGACGGCAACAAGGCGGTCAAGCATGTAGTCTCCACTCCCATGTCGGTCCAAACATCTACTCAAACCCCGCCTAAGAGCCACCACCTTGCCAAGAGCCACAAGAGCTTCACGCCAGAGCCCCTTCGATTTGAGTTCACTGAACAGGATGCAATCAGGGGATCCATGAAGTACACCACATCCCCACAAGCGAATCAGTACTACTACGACACGGTGGCCCAACCCGCCCGCGAGCCCGTTAAATCTCCTGCTCCGATCCTCGAACTCAGCAAGCCCATCAAAGAATACAGTGACGATCCAGAAGATAGTGCAGATACGGAAAGTGGAAAACAGGTGGGATTATTTTTTGATTTGCTTAAATAAAATAATTTACTCATTAGTTTGTTCGATTCAAACAATAAGTTATATTGATGATCCGGAAAAGGAAAAAGGAATTGTCATGTATCAACATTTGAAAATATTAGACTATAAAGTTTAATGTGAAATATATATGCTCTAGAGAATATGAAAAAAAGTATACAACATATTTACTAATTCCAGCAAGAGGATTCGAAGGTGCTAACTGGGACTAGTTCAGCGACTCCAGACAGTCCAAAGGATACGGAAAGTTACTGCGAGAAGGTGTGCGCTAATGTGTATGATGAGAACGATGAGATAATTTGTGGATCCGATGGGTACATGTACACGGGCGAGACTCAACTTCAGTGTTACTCAACCTGCCTTAATATAAGTATGAACTTTTAAAAACCTTTTGTATGAATATGAATTTAACAATTACGTTTTTATTTCAGGTGTGACGATTAAGAGTAAAGGACAATGCTCATAAAGTAGATTAATGTAATAACTATTTATTTTAATTTAATTTATTCTAGCGATTACAGTATAATTTGTCATCATGCTCGATTTATGTCGAAGGCAATGGTAAAATTTAGGGTTTTGTAAAAAGTGATTTCGATTGTATGATAATGTATCAAATATCGTGCACTGGTAGCTTTCCTCTTCAATTAATATTACTTTTTAAAACTATTAGTGCATGTATATTTAAATGCATGTATAAAAAATTCAAAAAATAAGTTTTAATAAACAAATTTACAAATCTAAAATAATGTGTAAAAAAGCATTTGTTTTTTATAAACAAAAGTAGTCTTATTTGCAGGATTACTTTCATAACTGATGTTTCCGTTACTCGAATATCTTCAAGTTGGACAAATTTCATTTACAAACCACAAGTTCCAAATCTTTTTTGGCGGCAGTCATCAGGTTTAGTTATAGAAGTTCATTTGCATTTATAATAATAAAATTATTATTATTAATAATAATTAAACAGCGAGTTTTGTGCTCATAACATAACTTTTCATTTCAAAGCACATTGAACTTTAACTCTTCATATTCTGAGAGATGGTTTTGTTCCGGTGGTCAACGAATGGAGAATTTAAACAAGCAAGTTAATGATAACTTAATTTTTTCAAGCTATAGGATCAGTGAATTTAGAATACAACGGTTTTATACCGATTCTAAATCTGTTCCAATTTTGATGTGATTTACAAGGTAATTTTCAGTTAGCCCAAAAGCCAATATTTTATATTTAAGAATATATATTTTAAAAAATAACGGCACGGGATGCATTTTAACAGAGACCTGAAACTACATCTGTTAAACGATTAGCAAATATATTAATTCAAATGACAACCCTTATCTGGGTGGCAACGCCGCCGATAACACTTGTGTAACAATAATGCGCTATCGATGTATCACGAACACAAGTAAACCCAGTTGCTTTGTAAAAAGGAAATTTAAGGCGAAATACTTTAATTTTCCGTTGACTCTCGCCCGCGTCCGTTGCAATTGAACCTTCTTGTGGCGTCGTCTGATTTCTCCTCAAGATTGCCCAATACCCTGTGCTGTAATATGAAAACTTGCTAACTCAAATTACCTTTGAACACTACAATCACAAACTGAAAACCTCGATGCGAATGGTCGGCCAGTCGCAGTACGAGCCCTAGTCCCCATCCCGGTACCGAATTATAATCCCGTCGAGTGGAGGACTTCCGGAAGGAGCGGCGCGGAACCATGACATCATAGACGTTGCATATGTTTCTTGCCCCAAATCAAATGTACATAAATATGTATGTATAGCCAGCGTACCGCACATACGCACATATCCCTCGCGACAGAACAGAACAGAACGTAGTGCAATCAAAACTAGTGATTCATGGAAAACATACACCTCGGCCTCCAGGAGTCGGCGGCTCTTCCTCTTCCACCCAGCTGTAAGCGATATTTCAGACGACGGCACACAGCAACGAACATATGTGGGTGGAATGGTCACCCCCTGGCCCAGCCCTTGGCCCTGCCATCCCCAATATTGAATACTGCCGGAATTTAACCTTGGATTGATCCCCTGCCCTTCTGTACTCATCCGCCACTACGCCTCTCATTCCAGATTAAACGTGGTGGTCTGCTGCTGAAAATCTTGCAAAATTGGACAAACCCTCTGCGACTTTGTACGACAACAAGAGGTCGTACCTGCGAACCGTGCTCGGAAGGGAAGCGCCATCAGCGAAGATGGTACTACCTCCTGCACCACGCAACCTCAAAGGTGGGTTAGAAGAAGTAGGGGATTTTTCAGGTTTTTTCAATGATATGTAGGTTAAATAGTTAAGAAGGGAGGGATGTTGGAAACAACAGGTATCGTTCTTTCTACCTAAAAGGTGTAAACAGCAGTTCTAGGCTTATAATACCTCTCGTTTATATCGTCCCATATTCCTGCATATTATGTCAACAATAAATGAATAAATATTAAAACTATTGTAAACCCTATTTGCCAAAACTCGTAAAATGAAACCCCCCTATTTCTGACATTGAGTGTTTATAAACAGTTTAGTATTTAATTATACGGAAATCGAATTAACATCCACTTTTGTTATTTTTTTAGGAATACCTCCATTTCTAGCGAGGAGCAAACTGTGCAGGGAGCTAATATACAAAAGTCGGAATACCGTTCGTTTAATAGGTCTGCCTCCTCTAGGCAAAACCAGAACCCGACATCTAAACTAAAAGACACACTGAGCAGAAAGCCCAATCGCAAGCAGGACGCACTTTCTGCACACACGAGCACCAGCAGCACTACATCGATCCAATCATCACCTATCGAACCAGCTTCCTCTCTGCCCACGCTGCACACCACACCACCGGCTTCCGGCAAAAGTAATCTTTTTGTGCGGATGCTGCGCCGCTTTTCCAGTAACTCTCTTTCCGGGAAGACGGCGGTGAGCCTAAAAAACGAAGTCGACGCACCTAAAGTTAACGATAACAACAACGGCGCTCTGAACAAACAGCAAACGACCGATGTAGAGGTGCTTTGCTCTAAAGACAACCAGCAGAGGAAACACAATGAGGACAAAATGGATGGCAAAGCAGAGCCAGCAGATGCCAAGAGCCGCCAGAAAGCTGGTTTAGCTTCGGGCAATCCTAAAAAAGACAAGTCGGCCAAGGGGACGTCGCAAGCTGTTGTTTCAGACACGAAGAAAATGGAGACCAGAAAGTCCTCCTCGGACACAGTGATCGAGCCGTTGATCAAACAGCAGGCACCACTGCACTCGTCCAAAACTACACCTACTACTCTGACGGCAAACTTCGTGCAAAACATTCGATTCGTGCGCAAAAATGTGGAGCAGTCGGGCAGGAACACTAATCCACTGCAATTCGTCGAGCTCGAAACGGAGTTTCCTCGCGATTATGATGATAACATCGAAATGCTGTCCCGCGAGGCGGAACACCTGGAGGAGCAGTTCCGCACGCCAACTCGGTCGAATGCTACAGATGCCACCTCCCACCAAGTGGCCGGCATCATCGACAATATTATTACCGAAGCGTCACGGAGTCTTACAATCGAGAAGACTGAGGACGATGTGCCATTAAGGTCCTCCACCAAGCATTCAAGCGGCGTCAAGCGCGTTGGTTTTCAGGTCGAGGAGAAGGACGATACCGAAATTCAGAGCGAAAAGCAGCCAAAGAGCATCGACGATATATCAAAGAAGTCAGAGAGCGCCGAGGTTAGCGCAGAGGAAGCTACTGTCACTGGATCATCCACGGATGCCTCCACATCCCTGCTGCCTTCCACGACGACGGTGTCAACCACTTCGTCAGCCACTTCGATCACCAAGAGCAAGAGTGATGAGGACGATGACCCGGTGGCCATGTCCCCTTGTGGGCGTTTTTTCAAGTACGATAAGGAAGTCGGACGCGGTTCCTTCAAAACTGTCTACCGTGGCCTGGACACGTTGACGGGTGTTCCAGTGGCCTGGTGCGAATTACTGGTGAGTTAATATATGGATAGGATAGGAAGGTTCCAAATATGCAAATTTATATTTATTAATTTTATATATATATATAATTTATATCTTAGTCAAAACGAACATTAGCCGAAATTCATATGCGTTGTGATAAGAAAGATAATAGTTATCATTTTTTTGATTTTTTTGAGTAATCCTATTATATAATGTATTAGAGTCCTGACAATATGAGAAAGATAGATTTATCAACTTATGCTATATATATATTTTTTTTTTCAGGACAAGCAAGTGAAGAAAAGTGAACGCACCAGATTCCGTGAGGAGGCAGATATGCTGAAGAAACTTCAGCACCCAAACATTGTGCGGTTCTATACATATTGGGAGTTTCCTATTGGCCGCAAGAAAAATATAGTACTAGTCACCGAACTAATGTTATCTGGAACTTTGAAATCGTAAGAGGATACCTGACTTTGGATTCTATTGTTTAGAAATATAAACTCTAATTTACTTCCAGCTATTTAAAACGATTCAAGAAAATACACCCAAAGGTATTGAAGTCATGGTGTCGCCAGATCCTAAAAGGCCTCAACTTCCTGCATACTCGTCAATTTCCTATAATTCATCGTGATTTGAAATGTGATAATATTTTTATAACTGGCACCACTGGTAGTGTTAAAATTGGCGACTTGGGCCTGGCAACGTTGAAAAACCGCTCCCACGCGAAATCTGTGATTGGTACGCCGGAGTTCATGGCCCCGGAAATGTACGAGGAGCACTACGACGAGTCGGTGGACGTATATGCCTTCGGCATGTGCATGTTGGAGATGGCAATCTCCGAGTATCCATATAGCGAGTGCAAGGGTCCGGCCCAGATCTACAAAAAAGTGATCTCGGGTATAAAGCCAGCGGCCTTAGCCAAGGTAGAGGATCCCAACGTGCGCGACATTATCGAACGATGCATTGAACTTAAAAAGGAGGATCGACCTAGCTGTAATGAACTTCTAGAATCGGAGTTTTTTGACGAGGACATCGGCATTCGCGTGGAGCCCACTGCTTCGGAACAGTTCCTTTCTGATCCGAGCATCAGCATCATCGAATTTCGACTGCGTTTTATGGATCCAAAGAAGCGCTCATCTCGTCATAAGGAGAACGAGGCGATACAGTTCGAATACAACATTAAACATGATGAATACGAGCAGATTGCGCAGGAAATGATGAAGGAAAATATTATATCGGAGGATGATTCTCGCGCTGTAGCTCGACTTCTGAAGGTGCAAGTGGTATCGCTGCTTAAAGAACGTGCCCAGCGTCAAACTCAAATCAAACTGCAGAACGAGAAGTCGCGATTGGAGAAACTAGCATTGCAAAAGCAACGTGAGAGTTTGCCGACCAACGTCGACGAAGATGAAGAAGAAGAGGAGGAGTCCGAGGACGAGGAGGATGGCGTGAAGTGGAATCAGCGTCTGCAGCTCAAGTATGACCTGCTTAACACAGATTCAGAAACTAGCCTAGCTCTCTCCACGAACAGCGTCGAGCCGCAACTGTCCACACGGTCGAGCACAATTCCAAATAGTGGTATTCAGCAGCCTGTTCAAGTCCCAGGTCCTGTGGCTGTTTCCCAGTTGATCTCGGTGCAGCCGCAGGCTATCGCGTCACCGGCTATTCCGTTGCAACAAAAACCAACGGTCCACTACATCCAGACGCCGCAGCTGGCCTCATATCAAAACTCGAATCCGACGATGCAGGAGATGACTAACAACCAGGTCATCTCACCGACGGGCAGTCAGCAGATGCAACAACAGCAGCCCATTGCTGCACCAACCGTAAATCATCAGATCATGCCGCAGCAGCAGGTCAACCAGCAACAACAGCAGCCACAAATGATGCAGCAGATGCCCCAGCAAGTTCAAGTACAGCAGGTGGCTCCGCAACAACAACCACAGACAGTGTTGGCTCCACAACAGCACGAACAGCAACCACAGCAACAGCAACAGTCATTGGTAGATCAGCAAAAGAGCCACCAAATTCCATTACAGCAACAATTACAGCAGCTTATGCATAACAACGTGCAGACACCGGAACTGGCACAACAGCAACAAATGGTTCAGCAACAGGCTCAGCAATATTTTCAGCAGCAACCGCAGGCTCCGGTTTCTATGCATCCAAATCAGCTTGCGCAACAACAACAGCAGGCTTATGCGATGCAACAACAGGTGGCGGTTTCGCACCAACAACAAATTTTGCAACAACAATTGGCCCAGCATCAACTACAGCAGCTGCAGCAGCAACAGCTTCAACATCAGCAGCTCCAACAACAGCAGCTCCAACAACAGCAGCAACAGCAAATCCAACAACAGCAACTACAACAACAACAGTTTGTGCAACAATACGCACAGGCCATACCACAGCAACAACACCAGCAAATCATCGCGGGATCGCAGGTGATGGCACCACAACAACATCAACAATCTATGCCGATCCAAGTTCAGATGCAAGTTCCACCAACTTCGGTGGCTCCTACAATGCAACAGACATATAACCAGCAGACCCCTCAAGTGACTCTGGGTGATCCTCAACAACAACAGCATGCGGGATTTTCAGCCGTACCTTCGCAGCAACCACAATTTGTTCAACAACCCACACAGCAACCAATACAGTTGTCAATGCAGTTGGAGCAGAAATTGCAGCAGTTACTGCATAGCCAACCGCCCCAGCAACAACAACCGCAGCAAACCATAAGTCAACAGCAACAGCCACCTTTGCTCCAACAGCAGCAGCCTTTGGTCCAGCAACAGCAACCTTTGGTCCAGCATCAGCAACCGTTGGTCCAACAGCAGCCACAACCACAGCACCCACAGCTGCAGCAGCAACAACCACAGCAGCAACAGCCACAGCAGCAACAGCCACAGCAACAACAACTTCAACAGCAACAACTCCAACAGCAACCGCCACAGCAGCAACAACAACCAATACTACAGCAGCAGCCTGTAGCCGAACAACACTCACAGATTCCTTCACAAGTCCCAATGCAACAGGAAAATCTGCAACCACTCCAAGTTAATCCAGAACCATCTGTCGTAGCGGAAGTCGTGCCTGTTAATAATATTCAAGCAAACCCCGAAAGTGCAGGGAAAACAGAATCCCATACACCTGGCGATGCAGATAAGCAGCAGAAACAACAAGGCACGGCAACACGGACTCAGAAACCAAGACGCTCGAACCGTAGCGGCAACGAAAGGATTCCCAAACTAAGTGTTACCAGTGTGGACGAGGGCAGCGTCATTAACTGTCACATGGAAAACAAACTTAAAACGATTACATTTAAATTCGACATAGGAGATGTTAATCCGGTTGAAATTGCCAATAAATTGGTGAGATAAACTCTTAATTCAAACAACACTCAATCATCAACTTTTTTTGAATTTCAGATCGCCCAAGATTTGCTTTCTAATTGCCAAAGTACAGTTTTTGTGGAAATGATCAATGAAATTGTTGACCAAGTCAAACAGAATCCCAATCAAATCCCTATACCGACCAATTATCGCCGCAATATTGAAAAGGTACATCGCTATTCCAAAATTATTTCCACAACAATTTCATTCTTACTCAATGAAGACTATTCTTACGAGTCCTTTGGGTTCGTTAAACGCAAAGATGGATACTGTTTGTTGGATGAACAACCCCTGATGAATGAAATGATCCACCGATTGTTCTAGAGAACAGTCTTTATATACTATATAACATTACATTGACAGCCCTTCTATCCTTTGTTCCTGATGGCATTACTTTTTCACGGCGCCACACATATTAAGTAGTCCGGTCTGTTAAAGAAAATTTTAGATTTAAAGAGTTCTCAAAGCATCATAAATAATTTTCAACAAATATAAATATATTTGTCCATATCACAGGTGTGATTTTTTACGATGAATATTACATTAGTTAATCCAACACTAAATGAATCCTCCTCCTCCTTTCCTTGTGAAAAGCAGCGATTCGATATCGAGAAAATGATGCGACAAATTTCATAAAATACTTAACTAAGCGACTTAAATATCCATATCACAAAATCCATGTTTTTTGATTGTCTATCCCTACTATAACAAAACAGGTCCGACACGCGTCTCTAACTCGACAGCGTTCCACGTTTAGGTCACACCAAAGACATAGATCTGTAAGTGTTGAGTGCACTGGGCTTATGTAAACACTTATTTTTTCCTAGCTAAAATGTTTCTTTACTTACGAGGAATTTTATTTTATTCTTAGACTATTTCAGAAAATTAGTTATATTCAAGTTATTTATAATTTAACGTATATTTGATGTTACTTTCAACAACCTAATGTTATGCCGTTTCAGGTTTATAAACGAGGCCCCACAAATACCTTCCCCCAAAAACCAATTATTAAATTTCAATAATAGATTTTTAATTCAATAACATTATTCCTTAAAAAAAGAAATCTCCTTTTCCGAAAATGAATATAAATACATTGTCCGGAATTCAACATTTAAATTATCTTCAACTCCGTAATCAAAAAACGCCTTTACTTCATTTAAATATTCCAATTCCAAAGCTTTATACCGATGAATATTCACTCAATCTTTTGCTCCTTTTATAATAAAATATGGATTTAAAATACTTTTTTTCTTAAGTTTCACGTCTAATACATTTTTATTTAAAATAATAATGTATATGCACAATTACTATTGATTGGCTCCTTTGACTCACATTTGACTAAATTATTTTAGCGGGATGAAACCGCCAGCGACATTACAAAGATGTTCGAACCCACTATCCATGGTGTTGAAAATCTACCTTCCGGAGGCGGAGGCGCTGATCCGTCGAACCCCAATTTAATTTTTGAAGCCAGGTCCCATGGATCCAACATAACGAATGCGCAAGAGCCCCAGGTAAATTTAGGAACCCCACCCACAACCACTTCGACCATGTCTTCCTCATCAACCGCATCGAGGGATGCGCCCAATAGCAGCAATGACGTGACCATCGGATCCGGTTCCGTGTCTCGCAAGACAAGTACGGCCTCGGAATACACTTCGCTTTCGATTGACTACATGCCTGATAGCAACATTACTCCAACTGGTCCGGAACCATCGCTTGACGATACCAAGGATAAGCCACTGGCTGTGCAGCAAAAGCCTTGCTCCCTTGCTATCGCTAGAATGCAAAAGCTTTTGGAGTCAACCGGCGGCGGTGCCCCCCGCAGTCTGAACCTGCCCCTGAATCGTCACCTAAAGATTCAAGAGGACTTAAAGCATACTAGAAGCCTTGACGACTTGACCGCTGTGAAAATAACCTTTGACATGCCCAATAAGACAACATTAGAACCTTCCGAGAATGTTCAATATACCACTGCATTGGAAGTAGAGAAGCCAAAAGATAAGTCCGCCCAGGTGGTAGGAAACCAGGGAACGGGAGCGGCCAACACCCTAGAACAGTTAAAGATAGAACTAGAGAACATAACACACGCCCACGCTTTTGCATCTGCGGTGGTTGCCTCGATCAATAACAGAGTTCCTCACCAGGCCTCGCCAGCCATGTCCTCACTTAAGGCTTCATCCGGACAACCGCACACACAAGAGGTAATTAAAAACAGTAAAAAAAAATATGTGAAAAAGACAAAATAAAATGAATGTTTTTGATTATTTGATATTTAACTCACTTCAAATAATGTGTTACAGATGAAAGTAATTTTAATGTGTTATTTTAAATGTCCATTTTCTACTTTCTTTAGATTAACAAGTCAAGTAACGGAGCAGGTACGTCCGCTCCCTCAGTGGGTCAAAATACTCCCACTGCGGCATTAACATCCGCCAGGGGCTCTGGCTCCTCCGTCTACAACTCACGTCGCACTTCCATTGACAACAGCATGGGATCTGATGTGCACTTGCACACTGCCACCAATCTTGAAGGGACAATTAGTAACTCGGATCCGACTCCAACTGAGGCATCAGTTGGCATTGCCATTGGCACGGGCCATGAGAAGCAACTGTCCAAGCAGCCTAGTTTGGAAAAACCATCGACCACTTCCATTTCGACCAACTCAAGTGATCCTCCTCATAGAAATCCTAGCAACGGATCACTCAATCAGAATTCAATAGCAGATTTGGAAAAGAAATTAGCAGCTTTGCGTAATACCGAAAACGCTGAAGAGGTACAATATAAAATAAAACTTCTTGTATCTATTTTTTATCAACTCTTTCCATTTTTAGTCTGCATCAACCACGTTAGGTGTGGTCCCCAAACCAATCGAAGAGGTCGTAAACCCAAGCGCCCGTAAAATTTCGCGTTTCAGTGTCAGTCGTGTGCAGGAGCAGAAAACTTCGACTGGTATGGAGGAACCTGCACTGAAGATCGACTTGCAGGTCGCAGGCCCTGGAGGCCAGTTACAGAGCAACAGCTCAATGCAGAATGGCAGTGTGGTTAACACTCCAACTGAAATTATCAGTTCTCCCATTCAAAATGTTCCACTGGCTATTAACGGAATTCAATTGATATACCAACAGCCCCAACAAATCCAACAGTTGCCTGGAGGAGCCTCCACCTCTACGAGTGGAGCAGGGGCTCAATGCATTGTAGTGCCCCAAGTAATAAATCAGAATGGCACCCATATGCAACAAATATCAAACCTACAACCACAGCAGCAACTTGTACATTCAAATATGCAACAACAGACGCCACTCAATGGCCATCAGCCCATGGTAAACACTCACCAGCAACAACCGCAACAGCAATCTATACCCATGCAGCCGATTCAGCCGCAGCAGCAGCAGAACCAAATGCCTCTCATACCACAACAACAACAACAGATCTTAATGCAACAGCAACAAGGATCTCAGCAGGGATCGCAGCAATTTAACTTGCCTGGCACACAACAAACCCATCCTCAGCATCAATTTATCCAGACTCAGACCAATCAGCTTCACTCGCTTCCACCCCAGGTGGTAAGCATGGCCCAGGGAATGCCACATCAACTTCCACCCATGCAGACTATGTCAGCCCAGCAGCAAATCATTTCGCAACAACAGCACCAGTTGCAGATGCAGTCGCACATGCAGCAACAAAGTGTGTCAGGAATGTACAACCAGCAGACCGGAGCTCATGTGACCGCTCCACAAAATTTCCAAAATGCTGTACCAAATCATTTGTTGCAGCAGTCTCCTCTGATGGCTTCCCAACAGCCAGCACAGCCTATGCAACACGTTATGCAACCGATCTTTAATGCATCGTCTGGGGAAGGTAAACTATTCCAAGGCAATAATCTTAATAACTGGCGTTTTGAATATGTTTAATAAGAAAGAAGAAATGACTACAGCATTTTTTCATAATTTTCCTCTATTGCAGTTACCGAAGAGCCTGTATCACTAGCAGCTACACATCCACACTTGTTACCAAGCGATATACAATCCGTAAGATCAAGCTAAGTAACATATCGTTTACAATTTGTTATTGTTTTTTCCTCTTGCAGGATATAAAACACAATTTAGACTCGTTGGTCAACCAATTGTGCAATACGCGCTTGGGTACTAATCAGCACCAGCGGCTGTTGCTGTTGCGTCAGAGACAACTTATTGAAGAGGACGAGCTGCGCCTGAAACATTATGTGGAATACGAAAAGTTTCAAAAGGCACTTCGCCAATGTAAGTTTTTTTTAGATATTTGGAAATATTCTTTTTTAACCCTTTGGTTTGTTCAGCAATCAGCACAAACGTTCCAGCGCCTGCAGCTTACTATTCAGCAGCTGCCGCTCAGCTGCCAACTAATTTGGCAGCTCCAGCAGCTCCGTCCTCAACGAATCCGACATCAACTAGCTCCGCGAACACATAACTGCGCTAAATGTTTTGCTTTATGCACCTTTGACAAGCCATACTAACAGCTCTTACTCTATGTTCTCGACAATATAATTGGCTCGAGTGTGAGGACGTGGACCTGGAGGTAGATTTTAAGTAAAAAGTTGTCGAATGTTACGGGGTTGTCTGTAAATATTAGTCAAACGCTTCTTGTTGATATGCCATTGTTTTATATTTTTCTTTCTGTTTCACTTTTAATTTAAAGTTTCTAATTTCCAATCTTGGCTTTCGTTTATTTGTTTAAAATAAATATTAAAATTTTGTATGAACTTTTTAAGGAAATTGTACATTTTATTAGTAAAAAAAACTGTAAATAAACATTTCGATAATGTAATAATATAACAATGCATATAGGAATATTATATATTAGTCATCATTTATTTAAAGTGGTGTATACATACTGTAGTTACTAAATAAATAACTTATTATACCCAACTGATTTTTTATATATCCATCTTTAGAGGCTTATTTATTTACTGCCGCTTTACTTGAGGCATTGAAAATCAGTCAGTTATTCAGTGCCACACAATGTCAACTGTAAAAGAAATAATCAAACAGATCAGCACAAATCGTTACTTTGGTTCACAATTCTAGTAGAAATTTCGAACCGTAATAACATGTACCCCGGAGTTAATGAAATAATATATCGCCAGATTATGAGTTCGCAAGGACCATACAAGGAGATAAAACCAGAGCTACATGTTGGTAAAACCTTAAATGAAATATTTATGTTTTATAAATAAAATACCTATTAAATTATGTCGCAGTTAAAACTATTTAAAAAGCTTTTGCCGTTTTAATTGTTTAAGCATGTAAGCATGCAAACTTCAGGAATTTCAATGGTAACGAAATCTCTATGTTTTTCAAGCTTAAAAATTGAAAGTATTTTAATTCCATTACATAAAGTTCAGTCGAGAGCTGCTTCTATGAGATACCCGTTACTGTGTTAACCAAATTAAAAACAAGAGGAAACGCTATAGTCGAGTGCAGCGACTATAAGATACCCGTTACTGTTTTACACAATTTTAAAATATTAATTTTGCTAGTTAAAATTCCCCAAGCGCCACCTATTGTCGGAGAAAGAATGTTGAGGAACTGATAGTGACGTCACTGCCCATGTGAAGCCTTACAACTTAAATTTCTTCATAAATAGCGGAATAATGTTCCGATTTAAAAATTTTGGGCAAATCGATAGATATTAACAAAAATAAGTTATACAATAGACTATGGTTATAGACGCCACCCTTAAAAGTATATATATTCTTGATCAGGATCAATAGCGAATTCGATTGTGCCATGTCCTTCCGTCCGTCCGTATGAACGCTGAGATCTCCGGAACTATAATAGATTCAAAGTTGGGATTAAGCATGAAGATTCTTGAGGTCCCTACTTAGCGCAAGTTTATTTCAGCATCCTGCCAGGCCCACTCTTACGCACACCAAGCTCATAAGACGGTTTTCGGATTTTCTAGAAAAGCTGATATCTCGGTAACTAAAGTGCTAGAAAGTTCGGAGTAAACATGTAGATTTTTATGATGCCTCTTATCCGAATTGTTTTTCCCGATCAAGCCACGCCCACCCTAACAACTATAAAAGCTAGAAAGGTGTGCTTAAAAATACGTATTTAGAAGATGCAACTTCCCACTGGTTTTTATTCGGCAACGCCCACTCTAACGCCCACAAATCACGGAAAACGGTGGCGTCTATAATATTATTATGAATGCCTTCGTTTGACCTTGTACGAGTATAAGATATTTCTGTTAATATCTATGTATCTATTTACCAAAGACTTTTGGAAATCGGAACATTATTTCGCTATTAATTTACTGCCTCACATGGGCAGTGACGTCACTATCAGGTACTCAACATGCTTTCTCCGACAATAGGTGGCGCCTTGTGAATTTCCACTAGCAAGATTAATATTTTAAAATTGTGTAAAACAGTAACGGGTATCTTAGCGTTAGAGTAGGCGTGGCTAGATGTGAAAAAATTAGTTTGCAAATGGGGCATCATCAAAACCTATATGCTTAATCCGAACTTTCTATCTCTTATAGTTAACGAGAAATCTGCTTTCCTAGAAAATGCGAAAACCGTCTTTTGAGCCTTGTGGGCGTATGGGTGGGTGTGTTCGAATAGTACCACTATAAGATGCGCTGGCATCTAAAGGTTATACATTGTGAATTTCAACTTTCTAGCTCTAATAGTTCCTGAGATTTCAACGTTTTAGTTTTTTGCGATTTGTGGGCGTGGCAGGATGCTGTAATAAACTTGCGCTGCGAAGGGACCTCAAGAATCTTCATGGTTAATCTCAACTTTGTATCTCTTATACATATGTAGTTCCTGAGATCTCAGCGTTTATACGGAAAGACGAAAAGACGGACAGACAGATGGACATGGCTCAATCGTCTTCGCTATTCGTCCTGATCAAGAATATATGTATTTACTTTTTAGGATCGGAAACGCTTCCTTCTACCTGTAACATACTTTTCAACGAATCTAATATACCCTTTTACTCTACGAGTAACGGGTATAAATATATTTTATAGCAATGCTTGGGGTCTGATTCGAGTAACCTATCGATACACAAGAAAAAACGCTATAGTCGAATGCCGCGACTGTACGATACCCGTTATTGACTTATCGAATTTAAAAATAATTTTGTTTGCAGAAATTGACGCAGGGAATAATTTTACTACCGCCACTTTTTGTCTCCAAAAAGCAAGTTTAATATCTGATGCTGACGACACTGCTAATGTGATGCCTAATAACTTATATTTGTTAATAAATCCCGAAATAATGTTCCAATTTGGAACATTTTTAGAAATTCGGTAGTTAATGACAAAAAGGCTTTTACCATGTCAAGAAAAACACCACAGTTTCCCGCGGTTTGTGGGCGTTATAGTGGACATGGCCGGATGAAATAAAACACCATGATCATACCGACATCTGAGAGCTCCTAAGATAGCGGAATTTATCTAGGTTTGTGGGCGCAAGAGTTTGTGGAAACCAGGAAACCATTAACCCTGAAACTTCAAGATTAAACATGTTTAATCCCAACTTTCTAGCTCTAGATTCATAGTTCCTGAGATCTCACCGATTTTAGTGAGTTAAACGCGTTAGAGTGGGCGGAATCTTATTTTGTCAAGACTTATTTCCTATGAAAAATGTTTAACATTCTTCTATTCTTCTTGTATGGTAAGTCTTAGTGTGACAAACTTTTTGATTACACTAGCTTTGATCCAATAGCTTTTGGTCTTCGACAGAGCTAACTTATGGTAAGGTAACAAAAAGCTTGGCATATAAATGGGACCGTGATAAATTACTTCAGTTTCTTAAATATCATTATTAACTAGGATTTCCGAGGTCTGTTATTCTACCAATTAATCGTTTAAATATAATTGAATACTTTAATTTACTTTATTATAAGTTTCAATCTTCATTTTAAGACACTCGGATAAATGGGAATGCTTGGCCCAAAAGTCAAGGGTAGCTTTTCACTTTTGCGCGTTCAAAATTTACAAACATAAATGTTTTTAGCTATACATTTCTTTAACAGGATTGCCTAAAGCGAAATCGCTAATACAATATATTTTATGCTTTAAAGTTCAAATTAATAATACAGGATGTAAGAACATCCGGGGTAAAGAAACAATAACAAAACAAGTGAAACGTATAGATAATGATTACACGGTGACATCCATGGTGTTTTTAATTTCATTGCCCCACTCGCGGGCCATAATCATGATTTCGTTCATGCTTAGTTTGGGTCCGATCAGGGGATTCAGCTGCGTCATATAACAGCACAACCAGCTGCAATGAAAAACGTCATTAACAAGTCCTAAGATATGGAACAAGGATAGGTTACTTACAACAGCCAGCATGTTGCTGCGGTGAGCATCAGGCAGCATTGAGTTACCCTGAAAAATGTTATATTGGTGGCTGACTCTGAAAGTTAAGTAAACACCTTACCCCCTGTTGGGACCTCGGGCAAAGAAAGGACAGATGATGCCAATGAAGGCCCAAATGCTGGTGATAACGATCGGTGCCACCCACTCGGAAACCATTTTGCAGGCTGTAAGGATCGACGCAAAGTGTTTGGGCAAAATAAAAAATAAAAAGGTGGACAACGCGATCACGGAACTTTTTCTCGAGCAACGAATATCACATGACGGACTTGTCCCATGAAGCAGTGCGACCATTGGCGACTATCGCGGAAATCGATAGTCATGAAATGGTCACCCTGAACGTCTTGTCTCCACCATGTTTTTTTTATTTATTTTTATTTTGTAGCTAAAAACGGTTATGAATTCCTTCCTTGTAGAAATATTTCTTATCAGGAGCATGTTCATCAAATTGTTATGAAGCTGTTTTACAAGATATAAACTCATTCAAATGTTCAAAATTTTAAAACGCTGACAAATTTATTTAAACGCTAGAAAAAAATTTCGTAGAAATAATATTTTTCGTTTTTACTATTTATTGCTTTCTAAGTTATTGATTAAGAGTTTTTCTAAACTATATATTTATAAAAACTTTGATTGATATTGAAAAAACGAATGCCATTTGTTCATTTGTATATATTAATATATACATATATATGTACATATTTAATGTACATTGTATGTATGAACTGATCGGCCACAATAACTTTCATTGGTAGAATTGACTCACAATTATTCTAATAAATTCTTTGCAAATTATATTTTTGTGTTATTTGCCCTCATTAGCGAACAATCATTGATTATTATGTTACTACAACCTATGTGTACATATTTAAACAATCCAAACCAATATGCTTGATTTAATTGAGTGTCCAGGTATTTGAGTAAAATCTATAAGAACACTTATACTTTGTACTGTTTGATGTTTTATACTATATAAAACTGTGTATACTATATAAAATTAAAGTCAGCCTTAGCTTGATCATCTAAGATCCCTACAATTCTCGTAATCCGTTTTCTAGATATTTTATGAAAGCTTTTTAAGATCTGACGGAATTTTGCGGTAACCATAAATATGATTTGATATTTAAATAATATTTATTGTTTCACTTTTTGAATTAAAAAATAGATTTCAAACACTTTCAAGAATTCAAAAACGCAGTTCTTGAGTTCTTCGAGTACCTCGATATCATTTCGTGTCACGGAAGTTACACGGAAATTCGCAGCATAAGCTGACACATAGATCCGAGTGAATGACAAATCGTAAAGAAGAAGCATTCTAACCTTACAGCATTGATTTTCGCCAGCAAATTTTCCAAATAATATTGAAAAAATGTTCCAAAACAGTGCTGCTCGCCTCCTGGTCCCCGCTATCCGTAGCGCAATGCAAAGCCGATGCCAGTCGGTAGTTTCTGGACCACCAACTCAGCACGTATCCACCGCCGTAAGTTTCAGCTGGTTGCATAACGAGGATGTTAGGTCCCAATTAAAAATATCACAGTGCTAAATTTCAATTTAAATTACAGGAGAAGGTGATCCTTGGCGGCGGCATGTGCGCTGCCTCCCTGTTTATTCCCGCCTGGGTGCTCTACCACATCCGGGACTACAAGGGCGGAAAGTAATTTGGACTTGTTACCACATATAGATAATACCCCTGTAAAGTAAAGAGTGTCAATACATGAATGGTGGCCCTGCGATAGGGAAATAAACTATAATGCGTTGAGCTACAAATTGAATTTGTTATTTATCGTGCCTCAATTGCCTTACTAAGATCCTTAATCATTGATCGAACACGAAAAAAATGTTTAATACAACAATTTTTGTTATGTATGCTTAATTTATAGTCCCCAATCCATGTAACTTTTTAGACCTCGCAGAGCTATGTATATATAACAACAGTGGAAAGTTTGAGAACATTATCTGCTGGTGAATGATTTGAAACAGGATTCAAAGGATACTCTGTTACACAGAGTACGTACAAGTTTTAAAAGACCCGTGAGCTGTTATTTGTTATTTGTTTATATATTTTCACTTGAAGCATAATTTTAAAGAGGCTACAAATGATTTTAATGGGCATACAAATGCTTTAAATGAACTTATAAGATATAATTATAGGTGCGGATTACTTTTTCTGCGAGTCCTTGCCGTCGGTCTTTTTATCCTTGTCCTTGTTTAGCGAACCGACAGCGTCGCGCACTGCTTCCGACTGAGGATCAACCCCGGGTAGGTTTTCAAGCACGCTCTGCAAAAAGGCCGGGTCCCCGATCACCTCAGAGTAGTCCTCGTCCACTTCCATGGGAGCATTGGTCTCGTCCGTCTTGGGGCGCTTTGCTTGCTGAGTAACAGTGTCGTCGGAGGCATCCTGCATGGACATCTGCATGGCGAAAGCAATTTGTTCCTCCTCAGTCATGTTGGCAAAGTCAGGTAAGTTGTCCTCGGGTGTTTCAGTGGACAGAGCCAAGGCCCGCTGCAGCATGGCCTCCTCAGTGTTCGCCTCGTTGTCGGCTCCGACACTCTCTACGTTGCCAGGACCGGATCCCGAGGTACCGCCTGCGCCACTAGCGTCTCCGCCAGTAGGTGCAGCTCCATCTGTATTGGCGCGACGTTGCTCACTCTCTTGGCGCTGACGCTGCTCCTCCATAGACACACGCAAGGCGAGAGCCAGCTCGGGGTCCTCGTTGGGATCTACACCGAATTCGAAGACATTGCCGCCAAGGCCAGCTCCGCCCAAGCCGTCCTCGCCGAGGATGATTGGTGACGAAAGTAGCGCATCTGAAAGGGCGGATCCCCGAGGCACACTGACCAAATGGGAGCCAGTGCCGTCCTTGCCATTCAGCGCATTAATAAATGCAGTGAGCGTCTCGTTGTTGTTACCATGATCGCCGAAACTGACGATGTCGACATTGACCTTTTCTTTCTTAAGGCGCTTGGCCTGTTTCACCAGATCACCCTCTTCATGGTTGATAGGTGATCCCACAAAGACCACGATGCGCATCTTATGGTTTTTGCCTTGGCGATGCTTCAGCACCAGGTGAGCAATACGGATTCCAGTTAAGAGGTTTATCTCGCCCTTCGGCTGGATCAGATGCATCTTTGAGAAGATCCGACCTACATCGCTGGTGAGGGTGGCTAGAACTTCAACGGTACTAGAAGATAAAAAAGAAAAAAAAGGAGAATTTGGGATATGCCCCGGCAGCTTTACACTCACTTGGACAAAGTCATTAGACCAACATTGTTCTCCGGATTCGAACGCAGCTTTGTGAGGCAGACCAGATTGATGCCATCTTTCTGTACGTTCAGACGAGTCGGAAAGTAGTCTCCGTTTCGCTGGTAGTCGCTGTTATCAAAGCTAAAAAAATACGAGTTATGATTGCCGGACCATGCACCATTAGATAAACCGTCGAAATATGTTCTTATTGTCTGAAAAAACAATGATTTACCATATCATAGTACTCTCCAGAACCATTTTCGTATTTTTGCTTGTCACTTTGCCACTGAACTGTAATTTCCAAGGGTTGCCAGGTTGCGAAGTGTTTGCAATCGATATTATTATGCTAGGACGTGTATGACCGTTTTACGGGATTTTCAGTCAATTCCATTTTGTATAAAAGAAACAATTTAACTTTAAATTATAATAAACTCTTAAATTTAAATACTTACTTTTTTTCGTATCAAAATTTTTAAAATTAAACAATTTTTTTTATAAATATTTTAGAGTTTGTGGTATTTAAAGATAATTTAATTAAAACATTAAAAGAAGCAAACATGTTAAAATAAAAAATATTATATAAATTATCTCGGCTATGAAGATTACACTGAAACCAATCATTAAGCTCATTATACCACCAGTGAGGGCTAGAAATGATAAAAGACATATAATAGAAGAAAATAATGCAGATGGTAGATATCATACCCATATATTCAGTTGGTCCGGTATACGATGTCCTCACGCTGCTTCTAAAGTAGTTGTCAGTGTGAAAGAAATTTACTACCGCCAAATTTTTCCGTATGTAATCACTTGACAAATTCTTTAAATAATTGCTCTGCGCCTTAACGTATTTTTGGCTAAATGGTGTGGTAAATGCATCGGGAAAGAAAATTAAATCATGGCAACTGGTCAGGCACAACTCTTTGCACTGCGAACTCTGTGTGTCGAAAATCTGCGATTCTGCACTATTTAGACAATCAAAGTTAATCACATCGCATATCGAAGCGTTTGGATGAACCAGTGGTAAGTAATGGGGAATACAATTGCAAAGTCTCAAATAAAACATGGAATCGCACTCCGCTTCGCAATTTCGGCGGGTATAATACCGATAAAAGAGTAGTTCTTGTTCATCACTAAAAATACATTGCCTTTTTGTCTTGTGAATATTTCTTATAGAAGGTAGTGCTTCGAAACTTCTAGCTATGATGCGAAAACTTGTCTGATGCCCGATCATTATAGGTAATCCCGACTCCTTCATGCGCGGTTGGTCTATCGGATTGTACAGGAGGACCTTAAATATATGGTTGCAAAAATGGCTGATCAAAAAGTATAATATAACACAAACTTTAAATCCTTGGCCATTTGTGGAAGAACAATAATAATCGTTGACGTGGCCATTCAGGATAATCTGCAGGCCCATTGAAATACCAACACCTACTCCCGTACGGGGATAATAACTTGACGGCAATCTATGCGGATATCCAGAAATTGGATCCCAGTCAACGGCGATGTCAGCAAATCTATCCGATGAAGTATAGTCCCGAATATAAGGTGAGCTTTAAAATAAATTTTAAAATACTCGTTTTTTTTTTCTTTAAGAAAAGCCTCACTTGAATTTGTATAGATAATAAGGATGGAGAAAATTAAATATGCAGCACAAGCCCTCATCAACAAAAATTTCCCTGAAGATGTCGGTGCATGGAATTTTTTGCTGATGGAATGTACAAGAAACTATTATATCAGAGCACTTTTCCGAAATATCCAATATGAATTTTGGAAATGTTTCATTTCTGTGTTGCATATCCATATATTGCGAGTAGTTGGTTTCCTTATAACAGGTTTTTTGGAGCATGGCGTATCCCAACGAGCCTCTAAGAAAGGTTTAAAAAAAGAATTATGAACTTCTATACTCGAAATTAACTTACGGCTTCAATTGCGCTACTTTCGATTTCTTGGCCTGGTTCATATTACATATCGTTATTGCCGGAAACGGAATTTTATTTATGGGAGTCATTGTAGAACTAACTTTAACAGAACATAATCAATGTTTTGAAAACAACAAAGAACTAAATCTGTATTTACTTCCAATGATCACTGGTGTGCTGTCCCATTTGTTATAAATTCCAACAGCCAAATTTATGGCCACAAACACAAGAAAAGTGAAAATCACGGCGAAGTAAAGCTTTATCCATAACGGTAATTTATTATCGGTGATAACGTATTTAAGCACTTCCATCGATGTATTTCGTAGAAATCCTTTTCCCCTTTTTTCGCCAGTGTTCCATATTTGCCAATGTATGTTTTTTAAAAAACTCATCTTTTTTCTTCAGTCCTGGTTATCTTTTGTTAAAGTTTAACGAGTACTATTAAGCCCCTTCAAACTCCTGGTTCCTCCAATTCATTTTATTTGAGGGCACTATAAATCAAAAAGGGATTGGTGCTGTCATTAACGTTGCGTCATTAGTAAAAGTAATTAAATGTAACCCTTATTAAGTCCCTGAACCCAATAATTAAAAGAAACCTATGGTTGATTCTTTTTATTATTAAATTGCATCTTAAGTTTTCTTTCATATTCCTTTCTTATATTTAATTGCGATTAATCAATTTGGCAATAACTCAAACTTTTTAAATTATTGAATAATTTCGATTAGTTTTTAATTGTAACGGTTTGATAACTTTGTTCACTCTGCTATTCTCATGACACCTTTGAGACTATTGATTTGTTATTTTAAACTAAAGGTAAATATGACCGCAATTATATAGTCCCAGCTTTTTAAACTATTGAAGATAGGTTCAGGCAAATACCATCTCATAATATCGATTACTATAGGCCCGATAGTTCAGAGAAATATTTTCTCCGAATATCGAAGTACTATGCCGTCCGGCCCGATTTGTTCAAACAAATAACGCCTCCTAATATCGATAATCCAAGGTGCATAAAACGACAAAGTAAAAAATTTTAAGTTCTCTAGGCGTTAAAGAGCTTAGATTTTAGGAACTCGCGGAGCCGTTAGGCCATCAGGTAATATTGAACAGCTTACAATCAGCGATGAAAGTGTTTGATTTAATATCCAACAACAAAACTGCTTAAATACGTCTATAGGAATTCACATACATATGTACATGCGTACTTACATTGCATATTTTACTGATGCTAAGGGAATTATACAAATGCATTTCTCGTCACGCTTGCATTTCTGTTAAATTTCCGCTGAAAATAGCGAAGAATTGAAAATAACGTGGTGTTACAATCCGCACAGACGGTATTTGATATCATCCGCGTATGTACGCAGTTGTTGTTTCTGTAGGTATGCGCATTCGGGGGTAAGAACGTGAAAGCTCGACACTTTGGAACACATCTTGAATGTCAATTTGAAGTGTCAATAGCTAAGCCTTCGCTTTTCCTTTCAGGTCATCGTACGGAATTGTCAGTGATTTGTAAACCCAAAAGCCTTTTGCAATCGTCATAGCGAAATGAGTGCCGTCGCCAGCAGCGATCCAGCCCTCAGCGGTATGTCCCTTGGCCGGAGCCAAACCATCTGCCGCTATTACGTGCGCGGAATCTGTCGCTTCGGGGAGCTCTGCCGCTTCTCCCATGACCTGACCCGCGGTCGCCCAGAGTGCGAGCAGGAGACGGCCACCGAGGTGCTGCCGAAGCCCAGTACGAGCAGCAGCAACAACGCCAGCGTTTCCAGCCAGCAGAGGAACTGGGTAAACGCACCGGTGTTTGTGCCCAGTCAGAAGCGCAATCCTGCCCTGGAGGAAAGCGTGGTTGAGACCTCAATGGGTTCGGAGGTGGAAGATGGCGCGAGCTATGCAGTTTTCCAGCCTGGCGTATCCTGGGCTGAAGTTGTGGGTGGGCCTTCCTCAGTGAATAACAAAGGGGACAACAGCGGACCCATGAATCCCGCTTCGCTTGATGAGGTCTGTCCGTACGAGAGTCCCTGCGCTTGGGGAGAACTCTGCCCCTATCGCATTCACATGGAGCTGTGCGAAATGTGCGACCAGTTTTGCCTGCATCCTACAGATCAAGCACAGCGTAAAAAGCACAATCGCGAGTGCCTGCAGCAGCACGAGCAGGCCATGGAGCTATCCTTTGCCATCGCCAGATCCAAGGACAAGACGTGCGGCATCTGCTTCGACACGATCATGGAAAAGGCGGGGCGTGAAAAGCGTTTCGGCATCCTGCCCAATTGCAACCACATATTCTGCTTGGAGTGTATTCGTACATGGCGTCAGGCCAAACAGTTTGAGCATAAAATAACGCGGTAAGTAGGGCTTACCACTGATTCAGTGATCGATTTCCCTTTGTACAATTTTCGTTGTTAAATCTTGTATAGTTACTATTCAAATTATGAAAAGTTTCAGCACATACTCGTACACTAAGCTAAAATGTATAGATTTTTATAAAGGGGGATCGTATTATTCTCTTGATTCTTATATAAAGAAAACATCTAAATGACGAGACTTTTGACGGAAATATGATTATTTTATTTGATTCTAATTATTTTCTGAATTTTGCAGAGCTTGCCCCGAATGTCGCGTGTGCTCAGACTTTGTCTGCCCCAGTGCGTTTTGGGTAGAGACGAAGGAGGAAAAGGACAAATTGCTCAATGACTACCGCTCAGCGTTGGGAGCTAAGGACTGCAAGTACTTCAAAAAGGGCGAGGGCAAGTGTCCGTTTGGAAACAAATGTTTTTACAAGCACGCCCTGCCCAATGGAAATATTGTCGATGTGGGACTACCGAAACGAACACGAAAGTTACAGAGCCAAACTGAAATAATCGATTTACTTGATGTAAGTGCAATATATCAATCTGTGTTAGGGCATCTTTTTTTTTATTTAATTTTTGGAAGGTCGAAAAATGATGTCTACAAAAAATTGTGATAATTCTTCAACATACTTAATATTCCGTATTTTATAGATATATCTATGGGACTATGTAGATCGACGAGATTATCATTGGCTGGAGATATTTTCGACTGATGTTAGCGAAAGTTCCGATTTTTCGGATGAGGAGTAGGCTTCTTGAGCAGAAGGGATACAAAAAAAAAGGAACAACAGCCCAAAAGTATACAAATTTGGATATACAGTCCCAGAAAAACGTAATCAATATTCAAACGATATATATAAATGATACTGAACCAAATATCGAATGCGAAATTAAACAAAAAACTGTATTTGGGTACCAAATTTAGGTTACATAATATTTATTCTCCACTTAATGCAACGAAATTCAGCAACTTTTCCGTACTTGTATTAAATTAAATTATATTTAATACCATTAACAAGTGGTTCAACTTAAACCTAAAGGAACATTGATATATCATTAAATATGAATACACAATTTTAGAGATAAACAATTTTCGTAAACAGTACATTTTGAAAATAGGTGATATAAAATGTGTAAACTATGCCTTTCAGACTGAATTGTAAAGATAAAAATACATACATTCTTTAATCGGTTTTCTACTCATTTTTTGAAGTTTAACGACTACAACTAAGTGAAACGCACATAGCAAACCACATAAGCACGCCGATCTGGATAATTGCATACATTCAACCTCGAATGAGTCAGTGTATCATAACCGAGCAGAAACTATTCCCATTCGTCGATAAATGAAATTTTTGTTATTGTTATGAGACTTTATGTTAGAGTATTACTGTTGCATACCTATAATTCAGTATATTTGTAATCGTTGGCCACAAGCGTAATACCCAAACCACTACATATTATATGTAAAACATCTATATTGTATATTGCTTTTAAGTTTATACTTTCGAAATGTACCTCTTTGAAATGTTTGTTTTTACTGATACAAATGTAATGTTTTGTCCATAAGAAATCGACAATTAAACAACCTAAGGTAACTAACATATAAACCGAACATGTTCAAAATCTAAAACCTAAATCAATGTAACAATTACATGAAAAATCTCAATATTGCATAAAATCGGGTTCGGCGATTCTAACCCATTTATATGTGATTCATAGTTGACAAACAAAAAATATCTTATGAATAATTGGTAATAAGTACGTAGTTTTAAAAACATGAATATGGTCGTTGAGATATGATATAGAATGAACAATTCAGTTTAACAAATACATGCTATCGCAAAAGCTGCAACGCAATGCCTTTGTTCTACCTTTTTTTCCGTCAATCTCATGTACCACAAGGAACACTATGAAGGACCCTCGTAGAAAATAGCTGGTTAAGAGGTTAACCTCATTGCATAAGGAGGAGGCGTAATTTTAGTTAAGTGTATTAATTACAAATACTTTCTATGAAGTTATGAGTTTGTCCAATACGATTTCCAAAATAGCTAAACCTATCCAGAAGTGATATTTTTCTTTAATTTTTGAACTGGATTACAAAAGAAGAAACTGAACGGAATAAACTTGTAAATCAAAATACATTTTGAAGTTACTAACTAATAATTGTAAGCAAACATTCGGGGTCCGTTCCAATAAATTATAAATATCTTTTAAAACGGATTTATAACATGAGCCTTGAATCGAATACTAATTGTGCCATTTCCCTTTTTAAAATTGTTCAAAACAAAAATAACCAATCTGGCTGAAGTTGTACCTAGATTAGATTAAAAATAAAATTTGTAACATTATGTTGATAATAAAACGCAGGAATGAATTAAATAAAAGATTAAACCTAACCTAACACGGATAAATAGTGTATAGATAGTTAGTTAAATCAAACCTTTTCTTCCTAAGGGTATAAATATTTCTCTAAGAAGTTAAGGAGTTGGAACCCCACAACCTTTAATGCTCTATGTTCTCTTGATTAGCATCATCAGCGGAGAACAGTGTACTTAAGTGACAATTATTTGGGAACATTTTATAGATTCTTTGTGTCGCACAAATGTTTTTGTTACAAATTAATTTCATATTATATTGATGATATGGGAAGGAAAAAGATATGTTTTTAATAGTTACATATATTAGGATCGGAATTTTAATTAGAATATTGACATACATTTTATTTTGTTTCATTCCTGGTGCATAGATAAAGTTTGTTTTTTATTTCGACTTAATGTCAACTTTGGCTTTCCGAATTTCGGAGTTGTTTTCAAAAGAATCGCTTTCCTTGCTCATAATCTATTTAGTAAAATTTGTACCCCGTAAATAGTGTGTCGGAACATATTTTTTATTCCCATTTAAAGCAGTGGATATCTTTCTGAGAAATTTCGAATCCAATCCCATGTTTGTACAAAATGAGAATTATTAAAATCCAATATTTTGGCTTTATTAGTAAGTAAATAGATATTTCACTTTAAAGGAAAATTGTTCTTTGTGTTTTTATAGCTATTTGTTTTTAATATATATTTTTTTTTTATGTTGTTTGACGTACATATGGAAACTACGAGTAGAATACATAATATACAAGTTTTAAAAAATTACTAAATTTCTTATTAAATAAAGATAAAATATAAAACCATTTCTTTTTAAGGATATTGTTTGATAGTATTTAAAAATTTGGTAAGATCAAAAAAGTGCATAGTGTGTATTTTTGAGTTCTTTACAAACGTTCAAGGGAGTGTATTAGGACCAGTCCTTTACACCCTATACACGGCAGATATGCCAGTAACAAATAATTGCACCATTGCAACATATGCTGACGATACATCTATCCTGGCAACAAGTTCATGTCGAGACGAAGCTTCTCAACTGTTGCAAAGTGAGCTCAATATTATTGCATCCTGGTTTCTTCGCTGGAAAATTAAAATCAACTCCCTGAAGTCTGTCCAAATAACATTTGCATTAAGACCAGGAAACTGCCCAAACGTGACACTTTACGGCTCAGCCATTCCACAAGATTCATGTGTGAAGTATCTTGGCATGCACCTCGACCGCAGACTAACATGGAAACCCCACATAAAAGCGAAATGTCAACAGCTCAGAATAAAAACACTGAAAATGTCCTGGCTACTTAATAAAAAATCTACAGCCTCTTTGGAAAATAAAATTCTCCTCTACAAAACCATTCTGAAGCCTGTTTGGACCTACGCTATCCAGCTCTGGGGAACAGCTAGCAACTCAAATATTGATATACTTCAGCGCTACCAGTCGAAAACATTGCGAAAAATTGTCGATGCTCCATTTTATGTAAGCAATGCAAACATCCACAGAGACCTAAACATTCCAACAATAAAAGAAGAAATTAACAAATACAGTAGGAAATATACAGACAGACTTCACAATCATACGAATAATTTAGCCCTAGGCCTAGTAGACAATAGTTCAACATATAGAAGACTTAAAAGATTTCATGTTCTTGATCTCCCTGATAGGCTAATTTAAGTAAACAAGATGTTATATTTAATAGCAGGTTTCACTGGAAGTCTGCTACTCCTGTCCTGTAAAATATTAGTTATAAAATTTACTTATTGTCACAAGACAGATTGTAAATAAATATTGAATTAAAAAAAAAAAAAAAAAAAATAATCTATTTAGTAAAATTTGTACCCCGTAAATAGTGTGTCGGAACATATTTTTTATTCCCATTTAAAGCAGTGGATATCTTTCTGAGAAATTTCGAATCCAATCCCATGTTTGTACAAAATGAGAATTATTAAAATCCAATATTTTGGCTTTATTAGTAAGTAAATAGATATTTCACTTTAAAGGAAAATTGTTCTTTGTGTTTTTATAGCTATTTGTTTTTAATATTTTTTTTTTTTTATGTTGTTTGACGTACATATGGAAACTACGAGTAGAATACATAATATACAAGTTTTAAAAAATTACTAAATTTCTTATTAAATAAAGATAAAATATAAAACCATTTCTTTTTAAGGATATTGTTTGATAGTATTTAAAAATTTGGTAAGATCAAAAAAGTGCATTGTGTGTATTTTTGAGTTCTTTACAAACGGTATTACTAATCAGCTGATGGTAGAAATGTTTGTTTATATGGCACCATAACAAGTCATTTTATATAAAATGACGGAAAAAAAACGGTTTGTTTGCGTTAATTGTGGGCACAGAGTCAAAGAATTATTCAAGAAATACAGCAATACTCTGAAAACTACTCATTGCGTAAGTCAATAAAACATTAATTAATCATTGATTCTAATTTAACATAGTATCGCAGGATAAATGTCACCAAATCACTGATAAATACATAGAGTTCGAGGAGTTCATCATATTAATAGATGCACTTTTATTAGATTCCTGCGCCTTTCGACACATAATTTATAATGGAGATTTTAAGGTGAGGACCTTTAAAATTAGGAAGCTGATACTGCATAAAGCTCTGAAATGTATGCTATTATAGCTGTATTGGAAGATTTCTTTGGTGGTGCTGCTCCTGGAATCCTTTGCGCTGTGCCGACAGAAACTAACTGACCCTTCCAATGCTTCTTTACACGTCCATGAAAAGGGGTTTTATACATATACGCTTCAAAATATGGGAGGTATTGAACAACGGAATTGGAAGCACAGCAATAACTTTCTTTAATTATTTTATAAATTTTCAGATTACCTTTTTATGACGTTGTTGCTGCTAATAATTACAGCTACTCTTAGTATTGATTGGATCCAGAAAATGGGTCTACGCAGTTTTACTTTAATTATATTCAAAGTGGTGCTGATTTCGAACCTATCCAAGTTCTTCCTTCTGCCTATATTAGTATGGCGTAATAATACGACCATGTTTGGAAGAAGTTTGCACCATATTTTGGTCATGGGCCATCACCTTTGCTCTTTGGTACTCGCCTACGAGGCAGTAGGAGCTACTAAAAAGAAGCTTCGCTGGTGGTCTCTAGCACTTGTAGTACTGGCATTCTCCTTTAAGTTAACAGCGAGGCAGTTCGTTTCACTTGTGGTGGAAGAGCATTTTACTTAAGGAAAACCTTTTAATTTTATATAAAAGGCTGATAATAAAAAACCATTCAAATTAATGCATATGAATTTAAAACGTCTATTTGCTGGACCGTCTTGGTTTTTGGGCCTGGCTTTGGAAAAGCCAGTACTTTCTTATCTTAAAGTTCCCACTTAAACCATTTGGCCGAAAAACTGACCAGTTATTCAAACAACCATAGTTAATTTTCACTCAAATTTTATTGATTGTTTAAGACCCAGGATAATCGAAAGGAAACATCGACATTTTAAAAACATATATAGTACTATTTTTATTGTGTCTGTTGGTTATGAAATACGTCAAATCGTGTTACATACTAAATGTCGGAAACTGCATAGAACAAATCAAATGGCAATAATTAGTTTATAATTTGAAGACAAAGCAGGTCGATTTTACTTTTGATAAATGAAAAGGTCGAGAAGATTCGCTTATATAGACCGAGAAAATTACTTTGCATTTCCATATACATACATAAAAAAGAAATCTGAGAACAAATTGATTTCTTGTTATAGCATAGTAGATATGATGTTATGCCTCTCCTTTCGTATGAATGTACTTAAGTAATTAATGCTAATCGTAAGTCATGCTGCTCATACATATTGTTGTAATGGCAGTTTGTAGCAACGACGACACCGACGCGCAATTAGAACGAGATGCATTCTGCATTTATATCGAAATCAAGGCGCACTATAACTAAATCAGCATCCAATATCTACCCCACGAACATTCTTTTGCTACGGCCCACGATCTTAAGTCATATTCCACGAGGATGAAGACGAGCTAGAAGAGCAGTCGTCACTCTCAGTCGTTGCGCTGCTGCCGTTTGGCTTTGGTCCCCAGATCCTCACGGTAGCGTCGTCGCTGGCGCTGGCCAGCAGGGACGGGTACACGGGGTTCCAGGAGACGCAGTTGACCGTCTTGGTATGCCCGGCCAACTTGGCTAGAGGCTCCTCGCGCTTGATGTGCCAAATGTAGACAACCTTGTCCTCACTGCCGCTAGCCACGAAGCTCTCGTTGACGCCGCCAAAGCAAGAGTGAATGGCAAAATTGCTTTGTCGAATTCCCTGGAAACGACGCACCAGGCACTTGTCCTCAATGTCCCAGAGATGAAGGCCTTGGTTGGAGACGTTCAGCAGAGCCAAGCGATCGGCCGAGTTAATGCTGAAGGTCATAATGGGATGTGGTTCCCTCAGAATATCAAAATCTGAACGTGGACTATCAAAGTTGTACCTGAAAGAAAATATGAAGAAGAAAAATAAGTCACAGGTTCTGGTTAAAAACAGTTTTTAAGTTGTTGCATCCTGTCAAAAATTATTAAGGATAAATTCAGTGAAAATTTTATTTTACAATGAATAAATGAAATCCCATCTTTCTATACTATATATCTTCTAAACGGTTAAAATTTTATCATATTGAGTTATGAATGTCATGTTCGTTCTATAATCTGACTAGATATGGCAAACAATCTGCAATCTTACTTACCCTCTGATACGGTAGTGATTATCGGCCGCTAAGATAGTTTTGTTGTCCGCCCGAAAAGCTATACTGTTGACGCGCACTCCCTCCCAGGAGTCCACAATGGTTCCATTGAGGTCGCACAAATAAAGCTGACCCTTCTGTCCGCCGCAGACAAAGCGAGAACCATCTCGACTGAAAGCTCCGCAGGCAAGGCTGTCTTCCAGCGACTGCGAAAACTTCACTACGAGCTTGCCGTCATCCACGTTCCAGATGTATAGCTCGTGGGAATCCTCGGTGCCGCCGACAAGGATGAGCTTGGAGTCGGGGCTCCAGCTGACAAAGCTTACGCTAAGCTGAGCCTGGCCGTCAAGAACACGGCGGTGTTTAAGAGTAAGCTTGTACGGATCAACATCCCAGATAATCACAGTGGAGTCCTTGCTTCCTGTAGCTAATTTAAGGCCGTCGGGCGAGAACTTGCAGAACCAGACTTCGTCACAGTGGTCGGTTAGGACCTGGATGGTCTGCATGGGAAATCCGTCCGTGGTGCAACAGTGGTCGGTGAGCAGAGATACTGTCCTCAGGTTCGTTTCCCACGCCATGTCGTGACAGGGGCAGTGCTGGCTCTGTAGCTCTACGGCCTGCTGCAGCAAGGTTCGCAGGCGTCGCGGCGACATCATTACCGACGGGGGCATAAATTTCTGCAGGCGTTCCATGACCAAAGCCCGCGACAAGATGCCCTTACCTTCCCACTTGGCACGCTGGTAAAGGTCTTGATTGGTGGAACACATCATGTACGAGGAAAGTTGGTGCACACGCGATATGTTGTGCTGCAGGGGCGTTAGCTCGCTGCGAAGGACGTGCAGGGCGTCCAAAGGATTGCCATCATCCAAATGCTCTAAATACTTTTGCTCCAGCAATATGAACTTCATTTCGGTGATCGTTGCCAATTTACCATTATCGATTAATGGCTCTAAGTCCTGCAATATCAAAGAGGGATGTGGGTTAAGTTCTAATTCTACATCACTTTTCGAGCTTTTCCAAAACATCGAATACATTTTTTTATTTTATAATTTTTTGTAAATAATTCAGTCAAAATTTGATTAATAAAAACTTGTTTAGACAAAAATTTTGTCCATAAAAAATGTTATACCTCTTTTATTATTTTAAGGGTTCCTGCGGATATATCTCGATTTTTTATCTTCTTGGTTTAGTTATAAATTTGCCCAACAAACACATGTGCAAAAATTTTTATAACTAGATTTCTACTTCCATTAAAAATTAATTAAAATTACTTTAAATTAATAAGACTTTTAGGATCCTACAAATACCGAGTACAACATATATCAAAAATAAATACCTTAAGGTCTGAATCAGCCTTTGACCAGTCACCCATATGAACATGTTCTCTAAATTTGGTGGCTGAGGGATGTTCCAAGTAGCACCCCGACTCAACCATGAGCGTCTGGACCGACTTGTCGAGGCCCACGTCGTGCAGAAACTGCCCAATCAATCGAATGATCTCCTGGTTGGACTTGTCAAGCTGCACGCCGCTATAGCTGGAGTTTTCCCGATTGTTTTCACCGTCGACGACGCGACTGCTGCTTCCGTTGTTATTGACGACAAAGCCATTGTGCTTAGAGTCGTGTCCATTGGTGGCTGCGCTGCTACCCGAGGGATTCTCATCCCCGATACCAACGCTGTCTTCGCCACTACCGGCGCCTTCGCGTGTTACGTTCTCAGCACTGCCGCCAGAATTGAGTTCGGAACTCTCCAGAGGTCTGGAGCAGGAGCCGCTCGATGTGGAAGTGGTGCTCTGCATGTTTGCTTCGGAGCCTGGTGTATTGCTGTTGCTGTGATCCCGTGGTCTCTTGTTGCTGTCTATCGATTTTCTCTGACCTCTGCTTTGATTTCCTGATATTTCCGTGCTAGTGCCTGTCGAAGAAGAGGTGTTCAATTGGTTCTGTAACTGCTGGGCTGCTCGTGACGTAGATGCGGCATCTATTGCTCCTGATGCAGCGGATACGGCAGATGACGATGTGGAGCCTGAGCCTCCTGAGCGACGACCCTTTTTGCGCGGCGGCTGGTCCTCGGAAGAGGCACCAGTTGCAGCAACCTTTTTGTTGTTTCTATCAATTTTGAGTCCTTTGCGAACGCGGCAGCAACAAGGAGGCTCTGCCTCAGGCTCAGCCTATCTTCCGGACCCGAATCCCGATATCGAGCAAGTGCCTCCAACCTGGTCCGCTCCGATGGGCCTACGCGGCCTAAGTCGACGATTGCACAAGGGCTGACAGTGTGATTGTGGCTCCGTTTCTGGCAGTTGATAGCACTTGCTGATAGCAGTTCGATCTACGACCTGCGGAGAAGGTATAGTACATTAAATTCCATCTACTTTGTAAGAGTGCAGTTCATAATCTTTCTATTGATTGGGACCGATCCGAAAAACCGCCTAGGCCTAGCCACGTAAGGAACCCAACTGTTGTTAATAAAAATTTTATATTTATTTATAACCTACTACCTTGTAACGTGCAGAATGTAATCTTATATTTAATTTGCGTACCTTAAAAAACTTACTGCCGAATAAAATGTAAAAACACCCATTAAATTTTCTCAATTCCTCCAATAATTAAAACAGTCCCAGTCAAATCAATTAATACAGAAATCAAGGGTATCTGCATTCGGCTTTTTTACTTCCTACACATTACATTTATCGGTACATATGTATGTGCAATGTACATGGATTTTACTTACATATGTACATCCCTAGATGTTGGCTGCACAGTCGCGGGCAAAAATGTTGGTAATACTTCTTACAATTCCAAGTCTATTGCTTTTAAAATTAGCCAAATTACCAAATCTTTTACATATGTTATTTTAAAATTATAGTTGTTCATTGTATAAAATTGTGTTTGAATGAAGGAAATATTTGAACGTGCTTAGGGTATACAAGATTTTCTTGTGTACTTTTGAGTTTTCTTTTTGGGAAAGTAAAATTACATAGCTCTATGAACAAAAACTGGTTCACCCACACCACTAGGAAAAATGCACCCCCATATAATAATACTCAAACAATGGGTTCGTTGTAGAATAGTACGCAATTCCAATTTATCCCCTATTTCAATCAAACTAATTTTAAACATATCTATTTTAAAAGGTCAAAGATATATAATAAACAGTCTTTAAGAAAAAACAACAATGAGTAACCCAGTTTTCAAAACAACCAGAAATTTACTACGTCGTAAAAGATAACAGCAAAATTTTAAAGATAACTGAATTTCGGGGCACTTAAGAAATAATTTAATGAATCTGAATTAGCCAATACTTCCGCCCCCGACTGTGTAGGCTCGTATTAATCAACTTTGCTTTGTTTTCGGTACAAAGGAATGAGAAAATACATCTATTTACATACACGCACACATTGTTTTCCTCACTTTCTTTTCAAAATGTCTGGACCAAAATTCCGTCCCCAGGGATCTATAAAAAGGTTAATTTGTGCATCCACTCAACTCAGCTGGCTAAGGTTCGCTAATACACTCCACTTTCCACTGCATTTCTCTTTTGGCCTTCCAGGTGCATCGTAATAATCAGGTATACAAACATACTCGCCCCCACAGATGCAACCTTTCCCATTGTTTATGCTTCTAACTCTGCCCATCCAGAAGGCCTATCCCGAGTTTTAGTTATTTCGATTAGTTAGACACACACCGTAGAACAATTTCTTAATTGACGGACGTGCAATTAAAAAACAAAGGCGAACTGACACAATATACATACAAATCTGATGATGAAACGCACTTATATATATGCTGCACTTAGTGGGACCTCTCAAAAATACCAGACTATTTCGTGGCTCAAGCAAAAGATACTACCCTTTTTCTTTTTGAGTGACCGTATTGCGCAAATTTTTTTAATTTTACCTTTTTTAGAAAATTTTTTGAATTTCCTAAATATACTCAGAAAATTTGTATATCAGTGCATATCTTAAGTTCTATCAGCAACTGTCGGATTACAGCATGAATCGCCATTCTTTATTATTTTTTTAAATGCATTATTTTTGTTTTAGTTATCCGAACCTATATATTAGAAATACGAGTATACATAATGAATTATAATTGTAAACCAAAAAAAGAAAAAGATTTTTCTAAAAAATGATAAGTTTTTATTTTCAAAATAAGAGTTTTGTTTACTAAAAAAACAAATCATTTGACTCCGTCTCATTTAGTTGTGTTGACTCAACAAAATAAATAGTTGTAGCTCTTATAAATTGGCTATGAATCGGGAATCGGGAGAAGAAAGCAAATTTTTAGGATAGATATCTATGAATCATTTCTTTTTTGTTATTTTTCTAATAAACTTTATAAGAAATACATTAAAAATGCATTAACCCAGTTTTTTAAAATAATTCGAGGAAGCGATGTAGCTTAAGTTAAAGTACACATTTTATATTTCACTTTTATTAAGATAGGGTTTGCTGTACCAAAAATTAATTTAGTCGATTTGATTTGCGTTTTTAGATATTACTTTTGATGATCTTCTGTAATGGCAGAAGTATTCAACCTATTTACATAATTTGGAGTGAATCGGTTTCAGTCTCACGCACATCATGCAAAGTAATTCTGATGCTGTGTGCGCTCAAACATCATATTAAAATATAAACTTATCAAATGCCTGCATATGGGTAAATTAGTACATATTTACTTGATAAATTCATTTATAATTTACATATTTCTTAAACTAAACTTAAAAATAAACTAAACTAGTCAATACACTATCTGTAATCTATTATTATTTAACAATTTATTTATAATTAAAATGCTAATCTTTAACTGCTTCACTATATACGTTTATTTCGTAGCTTTGAAACACGGTCACTTACAAATCGCCTTTGATTATACGAATACGTACTGAGTTACTAGTTTACAATTTCGTTAAGCGAACTGTACATTCATGTTCATGCACGATGTCTTCCGATTGCCAATATAAGATTCCAAAATTAAAAATACTATAGCATAGCAAACTAAATTGAATATATAAAACCATGATCTCTTAAAAATGTATCTTTGCGAATATTTATATAACAATTCGTTTATACAGCGATTGATTAAATTTGCCCAACATATAAAGTAATTTATAAATGTAGCCAAGACTTTATTGAAGCTGTCATAAATTCGACAGCGGCTAGAGCAAGTCCATGTCAACCTATTCTGGCCCTGTACAAGAATAACAGAGCCCCATTATTGGTTACGTTATTGCTAGTTACGGCTAGTTGCTAGTTCCACCAGGAACACTCTTCGCCATCACGCTGCTTGTAGTTCTCTCTTACATTGAGAAGCGAAGCAAACAGCAAATGCTAAGCATCCCCCACCATGGCAGCTCCATGCTGTTGGTATTTGGTCGAGGCTATCACCGTGGGCGGCAGAGACTCCTGTTGTTCTCGCATCTGCCGACGGCGCTTCTTACTCCAAAGCTCGTGACAGTCCTGCCATGTAGGCAACTGTGGCGTTGGCATTCTTTAAAGATACAAAAAAAGTAAGTTGATTGCTTGCTATATCCACAGGAAATAACATCTGGTTTTGAATTACTTACTCGTCGGGGTTGATTTTCTTCAGCCACGGTGACCGGAGCGCATCTTCGGCTGTTATGCGCTTGTCCGGGTCCAAGTCCAACATTTTGTCCAGTAGATCAAGTGCATTGGGTGGCATAAACTCAAAGTCTTCCCGTAGGCGACGGCGATGCGTCTTCTTTTGCTTGAGCGTGTGGAACAGAGGCAACTTAATTACATTAGGCCACACGGCAGGAACCGGTGACCCACAGATCTTTGATATCGTTTCAAGCTGAGCCATCTCCGCATTGGCTTGAAACAGTGGGCGCTTAACAAAAAGCTCCCCAAGGATGCAGCCGCAGGACCACACGTCTATCGATGGACCGTATCGCTCCTCTCCCAGCAAAAGTTCCGGTGGTCGATACCATAATGTAATCACTTTGTTCGTGTACGGACGCTCCCGATCGTCCGCATTGTACAGTCTTGCCAGCCCAAAGTCCGCAAGTTTCACCTTACCTCTGCAAACGGCATACAATTGTTGACAATGATTAGAATATCGAATTAATCTTAATGGTATAAGGTGATAGTGGAATTGCTGGTGTAGGTTTTGATCCGTAAGAAAAAAAATTAAATTTTTCTAAGGCTAAGCAAGGAAAATTACACAAATATTTTCTCGACTATGTAAAGGGTTATTTTTAAGTCCAACCAAAAGTTAAATCTCCCCACCTGTTGTTCATTAAAATGTTCGAACACTTAATATCTCGATGCAGAAAATTCTTTTTGTGGCAGTAGTTGAGACCATCTAAGAGCTGCTTCATAATGCTAGCGTTGTTCTCCTCATTAAAGTCGACCATTCCAGATTCAAGCAGGCCCATCAAGTCATGATCCATATACTCAAATACCAGGTAAAATGACCCCTTGTCTTTACGAAACTCCACGGCATCTTGCTTGTCCGTCACAATTTCATGCAAGTTGACTATATTGCGATGGTTCAATTGCCTCAATATTTTTATTTCACGAACAGCTGTGATCGGAAATCCCTCTTTTTCGTGCTCGAGCCGAACCTTTTTCAGAGCTACCATATCATTGGTATGATGATCCCGCGCCTTGTAGACCTAAAAGATTGAATGATAAACCATTAGGCATCGCCTAAAAATTCATTATATATTCAATATTTACCTGCCCGTAAGTTCCTTCGCCTATTTGCGCAATCATTTCGAAAACATCGACACAGCGCTCCCCCCAATCGCGGACGTTGTTTCGCGAGTCTCGACGGTTTAGTATTACTGGGCGCCGACGGGTAGTTCCTTGGCCAACAACTTGACCAGGCACATTGCCACCAGTTGGAGCATCGAAGTCTTCGGGACTGTCGATAACATCATCGTCACCACTTAGTTCTTCGCTGCCTGGAATTACCGGTGGCATAGGAAGATTAAGCACGCTTTTGTTAGCGCTGACGCTAGAATTTGCGTTCTTTTCATCAGGTTCCTTTTTCTGAGCTGGTGAAGGAGATCTAGCATTGACCAGGTCAAGGGCATTCATCCCAGGTGGCAACGGCAAGGACGTCAGACTCTTTGGCTTGACGTTGTTTTTACTGGCCGAGGTGGGTGGAACCAACAAAGGTTGCTTCAAAGGCGTAGAACTGTCCGGAACGTCGGCGTTAGCACCTGGATTCGGAACCAGAATCTCGTTTTCCTTGTTTGGCATGGGAATGTTGTTGAGGTCCAGATCTGATTTGCTTCCCAGAACTTCCAGCCCATTGGATGTCGTCGACGCCACTGCGGGTGTTCCACTTCCAGGGCCAGATCGAGAATCACCAGTGATTGGCGTATTGCCGTCTACAGAGGAACTGTTGTCGTTTATGGTCAGTGCACCGTTGCTGTTACTATTGCTATTGCTATTCTCCTCCTGCCGCTCGATGATTTCCTTTAGCGCCTTTTGTCTTTTGTGCCGGTCCTTAACCAATTCAGCAAAAAGGCTCGTCTCGCTGATCTTTTTGATATACTCTTCCCGTTTGTGTTTAAGATCTCTTGACGTGGGCGATCTACTGCGCGAAGCGGAGCTGCCGCTGCTGATCGAACTGGGCGACCGGCGTCGGCTGCCTCCTCTGGTCCTCTGGCGCATCCTTGGCGACCGGCGGTGGTGATGGTGATGCGAACTGGAAGCTCCGACTGGCGACGGAGGTGAGGCGTCCAAGTATCGTGAACTCGTTCTAGGCGACCTTGAGTAGCGATCACCAGAGGTACCAGTTCCAGAAGCGCGCTTGGATGACCTCGCTGTATGGAGAGTTGGAGAGCTAGCCGTCGTTCCATACTTGTGTTTGTGACTGCTACTATGCCGGAACGCATTGGAACTAGCTCCACTTGACGACAAGCCACCGACAGGTGATTGTCGACTTCGGGAGTGCTGAACACTGGGGCTTCTGGAAAAGTTTTAAACAAATATTAGATTCTTGGCTACTATTTAGTTAAAGCAGATAGTGATATTTCTAAACCTATAAAAAAGGAAACGTTATATCGAAAAATACTTTACCTTGATGACCGCCTAGAATATCGATCTCTACTGTAGCTATCGTACTTTCCCGAGTGGTGCCTACTGTGGTCAAAGTTTCCAAGGCTCACATCCCTGCCATCGCTATACTTCCGTCGCTTGTGAGGCGGCGTGCTTGGCGGGTGATTGTAGCGGTCCAGCTCTGTAACAATTTTCCAAAGTAAGTAAAAGCACTTTATCGGAAATTAAGGCAAACCTACCAGGTGTCAATCGCTTCATTTTTCTGGCATCATGGCTGCTGGAACCGGCACCTGAGTAACGACTCTGATAGCCGTGATCGTGGCTGGACCGGTGATGTCCACTCACATCCTCCTTGTGAGGACTATTTACATAGCGGGAGCTTCGTGAATCGCGCGATACTGGGCCACTACCCCCGCCACCGCCGGAGGAAGTGTAGTGCGAGGGCGGAGGAGTACGGGGAGAGTTTCCAAACCTCGGCCCATTGCCACTTGAGCGGGTGGAAGGAGGAGGAGAACGGTGTCGACTGGTGTTGGTCTTCTTGTTCGTCACAGTAACCTGCAGGTTGCTGCCTAGGGCAGTATTGGCCGTATCCACGGAAGGTTCACCGTAGTAGGTGCTACCTGTATTGGGGCGTCGCACCGGCGGCGGGGTGGCCGGTGAACTGCTTTCCTTGAGGTTATGTGGGGTGAAAGTGGACGGCGCTGCGCTGACAGTCCGATCGTTACTTTTGTTCGGAGCTGTCGGCGGGGTGTATCGCCGATCCAGTAAGGCATTGATGTCGTTGTCAGACATCGAATCGATGCTAGAGTATGACTTGGCCCGCTTCTTCTTGCGCTTCTTTGACTTTTTCTTGGACTTGTGTTTGTGCTTGTCCTTCTTTTGCTTCTTGCGCTTTTGCCGCTTCATCTCCGCCTCGAGCTCGTCGGTGTCGATAGAGTCGCTAGACATGTAGATATCCCTACCCCACAGCTCCTCCTTCGAGGTGTTAGATGCCTGCGAGGGATCCTCCCGAGGATTGGTGGCCTCGCTGCTCGACGTTTGCCTAGATACGGCCGCAGCCGGAGCGGTTGAGTCTTTTGTACGTCTATTTCTGCAAAGGAGGTATGATATGTTACCTTCCCTTTTAAATAAACGTGCAAGCTACTTACCTGTAGTTATCATAACCCTTCTTATCGGCCTTGGCACCGGGTCGACCTTTGGGAAACTGATTATCCGTAGCTGGCTTTGGTTTTTTGATATTTCCGACTCCCTTGCCGGCATCTGCGTCCAAGTCGCCGGCCTCCGGGTCCGAGAAGTCCTCCGAGCTGACGTCTGAGTACTCCACAAGTGCGGTGGCCGCCGCAGAGGATGCATGCATCGTAGCGCCTCGACGATTGGGATCGGAGCGCTTGCAAGATCCGCAGACACCAGGCTCAGTTCTCTACGTTTCGTGCTGGAAATTCGTCGTCTGAATCGCTATATTTTCTTGTTTTGCAAGTAACACTACGACGTCCGAGTTTTTGTAATATTGCGATCAGATTTTCCTCGGGATCAGCTTTAATTTTATTTACATCGCTGCCTCTCAGCACAAGCACATATTCGTGTGACGTTTTCTTTACATGATTATCATGGGGATATGTGCTATTTCACAGCGCCGTAGTCACGCAGACAATCGGAAGGGTTCGGCACTTCACTGCACAGTATTTCAAAGTCGGTTTGGCTTTCGGTTTCCACTAAAATTAACATTAAAAAAAATTATAACTTGTCATTTTAAGGTTATAATGAAGTGACGAGTGTGACCAAACACAATAAGTGGGCGAATAGCGAAAGAACGCGTGTAGGTGCCACTGACATTTTAGCGATTAATATCGCATCTTGGTCTACAGACAGTTTCGGAGAAAGAACAATAATTTGGTTTATATCCTTAATTTCAAACTTCATGTTCATGCTTATTTTGGACACTTACCAGCTGAATAAGACCCTATAATAGACAGTTCGGAGTCTGCCGGAATATCTGAAAATGCAATTAAAACCAGTGAATAATAATTTTTCAGACATTCCGATATTTTCAAAATTTTTAGGTTTCCCGAGGTCATTTTTCAACACTGTATCAACACTGTTGCTCGTGACGTAGTGTGCAAGTCCAAGGCGGTGTGCGTGCCTATATGTATGAGATTCACCGCCGCACATACGTACGAATGTAAGTATGTGGGTCATTTATTTTCTTTTTCTGCGAACTTACCAGTTTTTTGATGTAAATTATGCAAACACCACACTTCAAAAATTGTATTTCCCTTACAATTGGTTGGATTTGCGTTTCTTTGTTTTGCCTGTCCGCGAACGCACTGACTGTTGCTCTTAAATTATTAAATAACACGGCAGACTCGTATTCCGACGTTGTTTATGCTTTCGAATTGAATTCTTACGCGAAATTTGCTTTAGATTGTTTCAATATTGTTACATATATAAGATAGTTTTATCAAGCAAGTTACATGTCTCATTAAGCATAGTTTCGGCAGTACAACCATTAGAATAATTTTGCCATGGTTTTGAGCATTTTCAATGGCTAGGCAATATTCTCGGCGATTAATCACCAGGGCTGCAACGTTTTTGGTTCGGTGTGAACGCGCTGTGATGGTAAGGTTTGGCCTCAGTTAAAAATATGAAAATCTTTTAAAGCTTGATTAAAAGGAGAAGAGAAGAGAAAGTCAGTTAGGTTATGCTTATTTTTAATTAAATAACACCAATTTTAAGAGTTGTTGGGTCGGAGTTTTATCTTAATTAGGTCTGGTCATACTGCTATATATTTTAATGATTGATTTATATTTTATATCGATATATAAGCAGAGGTACAGTTGTAAAAGTAAATATCGAAAATCCAGCCTTTGCTGGTGTTGGTAAATTAATTCCTGGTTTTAAAGATTCCCAACACTTACGGTGGCGTTTAAATTTTTGTTGGCTTGTTTGTTTACATGGCTTTTTGATTAAAAATAATAATATAAAGTAATTGGCTCAGTAAGTCTTTTAACTATGTATTCAAATCGGACATTTGGAGAAGCAATTGAGGTGGGTGCATTGAAAGCCAAGTAATTTTAAGGAATCTTCGAGCGTTTGCCTTTGCAGGATTATGAAGTACAGCACTTGTTGGGCAAAGGTGGTTTTGCGAGTGTCTACAAGGCGCGATGCCTGCACACTCACCAGGATGTGGCCATTAAAATGGTAAGAAACCGTTTAATATTTAAAAACCTTACATTTATTATTATTTTGCCTTCAGATCGACAAGAAACTGATTCAAGGTACTGGGCTTACCAACCGCGTACGTCAGGAGGTTGAAATTCACTCCCGCCTCAAGCATCCTTCTGTGCTCCAGTTGTACACTTTTTTCCAGGACTCCAACTATGTGTACTTGGTGTTAGAGTTGGCGCACAATGGAGAACTTAATCGCTACATGAAGCATATCTCCAGACCATTTACAGAGGTGGAAGCTGCATCAATCCTTAAGCAGGTGGTTGCAGGTCTTCTGTACCTCCACTCGCACAACATCATGCACCGGGATATATCGCTATCCAACCTACTCCTTAGCCAAGAAATGCATGTAAAGATCGCTGACTTCGGACTGGCTACTCAGCTGAAGCGACCGGATGAGCGCCATATTACAATGTGTGGGACCCCCAATTATATTTCGCCTGAGGTGGTTTCACGAGTGTCCCACGGTCTACCGGCGGATGTCTGGAGCGTGGGCTGTATGCTTTACACTCTGCTGGTGGGACGACCACCATTTGAAACTGATGCCGTGCAGTCAACCCTTAACAAAGTGGTAATGTCTGAATACCTAATGCCGTCTTACTTGTCTTACGAGGCACAGGACTTAATAAATAAGTTGCTTAAGAAACTCCCTCACGAACGAATTACCCTTGAAGCGGTCCTTTGCCATCCATTTATGTTAAAAAAATTGGATAATAGCTCAAATGCTGGACATTCCACGCCGGGAGCGTTGAATGTTTTCAGCCAGAGCCTGGAAAGCACCGATAGTGGAATCATAACATTTGCTAGCAGTGAGTTATTTAAAAATATGTTTATTTTATTTTCTTACCAAACATTTTAATTTTAGGTGACTCTAGGAACTCTCAGCGGATTCGTTCTGTGGACAACTCAGGTCCACAGCAAGTGCTTCCCCAAATACGAGAGGAATTCGAGGATCTTCACCGTTTACCTTATGAGCAGCCTGGTTTATTTCGGCAAACTTCAGCTGGTATGGGAGAGCCCAATCGGCCAGGAACAGCCAAGATTCAACCTTTGCGCATGGACATAGTATCAAATTGTAGACCAGCACCTTTGACGGAAGAACGCATTTCTGTGCCGCCATTGAACACAATCAGATTGTTACCGACGCGTTATAGGACAAAGAATGTTGTAATGAGTATTTTGCAAAATGGTGAGGTGGTCCTGGAGTTCCTAAAGTTTCGGCCGAAGTATAATGAAGATCGCATTACCGACATTTGCCGAATATCGGATGACGGGCAACGTATCATAGTTTATCAGCCAGATCCTGGGCGGTAAGTCAAGTTGTATGATGAATGTCTAAAAATGTATGTTAATATGTTCTAAAATTTTAGTGGTCTAGCAGTGAGAGATCAGCCACCGGATCTTCAAATACCAAGCGGAGACTGCGTCTATAGCTACGAAAATTTGCCAAGCAAACATTGGAAAAAATATATATACGGAGCTCGATTTGTGGGCCTGGTCAAGACGAAAACACCGAAAGTCACTTACTTCAGTGGCCTCGGCAAATGTCAATTGATGGAGACCATGAATGACTTTGAGATTCGTTTTTATTCGGGTGCCAAGCTGCTGAAGTCGCCTTCCGATGGTCTTAAAGTGTACGATGCAAATGGTATGCTGCTGTCGGATCATTCCTGTCCGGAGCCCCGATCTTTAATAGAGCATGGAAACGAGTGTTTCACCCACTGTGTTAACATCAGTAATGCCTTGGAAATTGCTCAGACAAAAGACAATACATGTTTTCCAGTCACAATAGGGCGAAGACCTGTACCAGATGTACAGTCAGCTCAGAGATTAGACGGTCTTAGGGATACCACAAACTTTGCGTTTTCTACACCGAAATCTAATCAGGTAAATGCATATAAGAATCTTATATTATTTGGGTTAAATTACTATTTCAATATATTCCCTCAGGGTTCAATTAACTTTTCCGTGAGCACTATTTCGTCAACTCGAAATACCACAGATTTCGAAACAAATAGTTCCAGGTCCAACATGCTAGCCGCCCATCAAAATATTCCTATCAAACGCATCAACGTTCCTGATATTGGAATCGCTACTGAGGTTAGTTAATGATTTTATGTATATTTCAGACATCTTAACTGATAATTCTTTTCTCTGTCCTAGCTTTCCCATGGAGTTATTCAAGTGCAATTTTATGATGGATCCGTGATCTCTGTTATTCCAAACATTCAAGGGGGTGGTATAACCTTCACCCAAGCCAATGGAAACTCAACCCACTTTGGCAAAGACGACGACTTGCCATTCGCGGTCAGAGATAGAATCAGTCAGATACCAGCCATTCAGATTAAGTTAAAGACCGCTCCGTTGTTGGGAAGCGGCAGGAAGATTGACTATAACAATGCAATGACACCTAAAACGACAACGCCTTGCTATAATCGCATGCTTTTATAATTCTAAAAGATCAGCTTATTAAGCCTTTAAAGTTTATGAATGTAATTGTATTGTAAATTTAAGGTAAATATATTTTTTAAGTTTTCCCTGTGCTTATTATAATGAGTAACTCAGTTTGATTTAAAAGTATTAAATGTAAAAATAAATTTTTTCAAAAATTCAATATAAATATGTTTTTTTCTTAAATATGAATACATATTCTACGTTTTCAAGAAAATCTCTTTTCAGAAATTATTATTAATTCAGAGTTTTCCTTAAGTGCGCTTTAAGTCCACCCAGTTAAGTTTTAAAAGTTTGGACCATTGATTTAACTCAAATATTTTATTCATTGTTTAAAAGTTTATGTGTAAACACTCTTATGATATCCTACCCTTTTGTATAAGTGTGAGGTTAGAAAATTGTAGTATAAAATATATTATTATTATTACGTCGGTGTATATATTAAATACAAGATGCTTAGTCGAATCTTTAGATTAACGTTGCCTTACAAAACTGATGCTACCGCATTTACAAAATACTACGGCAGGATTCGTATTGCTTTCAAGTTTTAGATGCAATAGTTAATATACACATGTTGAAGTAATGACATGTACAGATCTGAAAGGTAAATCATGCACGGATGGATTACACTATATAATGATAAGTTGCGATTAACTAACGTATTGGTATTTTAATAAAATGCATTCGGCAATTCAGAAGAATCAATTTGAGCATAAGCATTTGTCGTTTATGTGGATTTACCTGTATGGATTAATTCTAGCAGGGTTATGACAAACAGAAACAAAGTGACAAAAGTAAGCTTAAGTAACTTAATATAATGGACGGAAAATAATGTTAGTAAAAGAGTGCATAATATAAAAAGCAGCATGTCAGTGGGATCTTTTCATTTGGCAGATTTCGCTAGATAGAACTGCTTACTTATATGGAAATTTTTAAACATAAAATATAGTTGCAGCCACTAACTCATTGAATGAACATGCTAAACTTCAAAATCAACTTTAATCTTAGGTCTAAACAAAAAGTCTTAACTATAGCTTGTGTGGTTTCGTTGGAATTTTGTTCGCTGTTCGTTGTATGGTGAATTAATCGCTCAAATAGCGGTGGACTTCTCTTTAAGCTCAAATTGAATCTTCTGAAATATGTCCTAGAACCGGTCCTTCGAAGTAGCACTGTACTCCAGTTCGTTTAGGTTTTGAATTTCCTGCAGCTCCTGGAATTTCTCGTGATCCCTAATATGGGCATAGTTGGCAGACAGGCACATCAGATAGTGAACCAGGCTGAGCAGCACCAACAGGGTGGATAGCGTGGCCAAAATAAACATGACCTCAGCGTTTTCCACTCCGTCTTTGCAAAAAGCCTTTATCTCGTACTTCTCGCAGACCTTCATATCCTCGAGTTTCGTGTTTGGCGGAAACATGAAATCTGTAAGATCGGTTAATCTTTAGAAAACTTCTTAGGTGAAATAATATTATTAAGGACTTACGGAATTGTGTCAAATCAATGCAGCTCTGAGAGTGCTCCACACTAGAGCACATGTTCCAGAACATCGTATAAATAAAAGTCACGACTACCAGGAAGCACAGGATCAGGCTCCAGACGAAGTTTAGCAGGTAGGTTATTCCCATAAGAACGGCGCACGAGATCCGTCCACCCACTCGCGACCGCCACGCCCTGTAAACCTTGTATCTTGTGGCACCGGTGGCCAAGAATCCGACGAAGAGAATCATAAATCCGAGGGCCGCCATGCCAGCTCCAATTATTACAAATATCATCTGTACCGCCTCGATCCTAAATAAATTAGATTGCTCTGGTAAATCATTTTTGTTGCAATGCTAATATATTACTCACCATATCAGTCGCAGGTGGAAGACCTGGTCAAACATGATGATCGTGAGAGAAGCTCCTCGGTACATGGTGAAGCAGAAGATTCCCACTCCCAGAAGGCACATGAGAGTCGCTATCAGGGTGGCGTAGGGAATACGCGCCATGCATGATTGGCAGCATTCTCCTAGAAAGACAAATATGGCTTATGAGAAATAAATCTAATGAACGGCTTATAAAATTTAGTTGGTTAGCGATGAGAAATGTTTATTTGCTTATAACGGGAAAGCGTCATGATAAATACGTAATGTTCGGAACATAATATAAGCAATTGTCTTAAAAATTAAACTTTTTATTAAAAATCGGAAATATAGTTATTTTGATGGAATAGGAAATAATAATTTTATCCCCGAATTAATTCTTTTCTATGTACGTTCAATAAAATTTGGTTTGTAAATATAAATGTAAAAAAGAAAGTATGCGGAAACCAAATTAGCTTTAAATATCTTATATCATAAAGCGATGCAAAAATCGTTTCGCTGTCAAGATCTTATAAAAAATGTATAATCTAAAAATTTAGCAAACCGGAAGAACTTAAAAAATTTTCTTTTTGCATATTTTTTTAACAGCAATTAAAGTCCGGAAAAGCAGAATTGTGCGTATCCATTTTTTATACATATATACTTTTAATTTAAGAAAGAGAGAGAATATCAGATCACTACCCAGAGTAGAAAATAAAGTATAACAGAGAATTGGGTTTAAAGTGAGCTAAATAAAGGAAAAGGTTAGTGTTTTAAAAACATATGTGCTAGGTAGATTTTAGACGAGTACAAGACGAGTAGACATACACAAACACGAGTTGCTTGTGCGAGCATAAATGAAAAAAGACAGTGATAAGATAACAGGTGAACCAGCGACTGGCGGCTACAGGTTGTCCAGTGATTCACGTGAAGCAAAATAAGCACAAGGTGTACACACAATACTGTGAAATGGAATTCGTTTTACTGCACATATTGGAGTGCATCTGGTGCTCCGGAAATATCCCGGAATCCAGATCGTACCTTCGCCTCCGCGCTCTGTGTACCTGTCCAAGGAGTGATCCGAGCGGTACGAGTTGCGCCTTCGGTTCTGGATGGACGGATTGTACGGATTCCCGTTGTAGGCACGCGTCAGCACTCCGCCATCGTCCTCAAAGTTCGTCTCGAGCAGAATCTCCTCGCGGGGATCCCTTATGCGATCGCGGTTGTTACCCTTGCCCGGCATACTGCACAGTGCTTTGCGAAAGGGGGAATCGTGAGTTATAGAGAGGTTTTAGTTTAGACTCTGCCTATGAGAAGATAGCTAGCTGAAAGTGATCAGCACACAATGAATCACACGCGCACCACCGTCATCCAATCAAGAGTCCCAATAATTATAATTAGTCTTTATAGTAATGACAACGAATAGCGACTGTCGCTCCCGTAGAAAAAAAATGAAATCTCTGAATGGGCCGCGTTCGACATCGAATGTGTTCTCAGTTGCTCGAAAGAGAATTATCTGATAACTGTCTCTTTCAACTGCTCTTATAATGAGCATAGTGCTCCCTTGCCGACATTTTTTACACATACAAAAATTATATAGAAATTAGTGTTGATATAAAGATTTTACCAGAAAATTCCGATAAGTTTAAAGAATTTTTCAGTTTTAAAATAAAAATAAATAAATGTTGTAAAGCAGCCAAATATATGATATTTAAATAGTTTTAAGGAATTTTATCTTTAAAAAAGGTCGTAAGCCTACTTCCGACAACTAAAAAGGTTCTTATATTTTCCAATCTACCTACTCCATTGCATAAAATAACAATAGTATTGAACATTTCACTGTATTCATTCGACTTTATTAATACTAACGCAATTTAATATTTATTTTAAAAGTACTTTTTGTCTTTAATAAAATTATCGTTATTTTTTCGTGTGCATGAAAGGCGTGTTGCTGCAATTAATGAGACAATTAGTTCGAAATTGCTGGGAGAAGTTCACTGCTTCGACCAGTTCAAAAAGTCATATTAAAAAGGAAATAAGATACAAATATAACAATTAAGTTTTACTTTTAAAATTTGTGGCATACATGTAATAAGTATTACCGTCTATCAACTTTCCTAACTAAAAATTTCTTGCCTATCTAGAATATATATATTCATTGGGCGTTAACTGTTAATTTTGCCTTTTACAGGAGTAAACAAGAGGAAACGCTATAGTCGAGTGCCGCGACTATAAGATACCCGTTACTGTTTTACTGATTTTTAAAATATTTATTTTGCTAGTGGAAATTCCCAAAGCGCCACCTATTGTCGGAGAAAGCATGTTGAGTAACTGATAGTGACGTCACTGCCCATGTGAGGCCTTATAACTTAATTTTAAATTAATAGCGAAATAATGTTCCGATTTCCAAAAGTCTTTGGTAAATAGATAAATAGATATTAACAGAAATATCTTATACAAGGTCAAACGAAGGCATTCATAATAATATTATAGACGCCACCGTTTTCCGCGGTTTGTGGGCGTTAGAGTGGGCGTGGCCGGATAAAAACTCGTGGGATGTTGCGGTGGCATCTTCTAAATACGTATTTTTAAGCACACCTTTCTAGCTTTTATAGGTTCCAAAATTTTCGCATTTTTTGTTTTTCGGGTTTTGTGGGCGTTAGGGTGGGAGTAGCTTGATCGGAAAAAAAACTCCGAGCTTTCTAGCACTTATAGTTACCGAAAAACGTGCGAGCTTTGAGCTTGGTGGGCGTAAGAGTGGGCGTGGCAGGATGCTGAAATAAACTTGCGCTGAGTAGGGACCTCAAGAATCTTCATGCTTAATCCCAACCTTGAATCTGTTATAGTTTCAGAGATCTCAGCGTTCATACGGACGGACGGAGGGACGGACAGACGGACATGGCTCAATCGAAATCGCTATTTATCCTGATCAAGAATATATATACTTTATAGGGTCCTTCTATCTGTTACATACTTTTCAACGAATCTAGTATACCGTTTTACTCTACGAGTAACGGGTATAAAAGACTATAAAGTATAAATATAAAAAGGCTTATTTTAATATTTTGTACACTTATTTTCAACAACGCTTCTTTGAAATGTAACTAAGCTAATTATGAGCATAGTGGCAGCTTTAAGCCTAGCTAAGGCAGACGGGACAACGACCTGAGAAAAGCAAATGAAACATCCAGATGACATCCTGCCAGCGAAGCGAGTGAAGAGCCCGAGCCTTTTAAATGCATCCGCTTTTGAGAGATTCTCACCGGATGTCCCGCAGTGTCTGTGCAGACGCAATGAGAATTGCCACTGCAACTTTGGGCCAGATGCCTTACTTCAGATGCCAAATGCTGGATGCCAATGACACCAAGACACGAGCACAATCTCGGCATTAGAGCAAACCATTAATTCCGGTAGCGAGCAATGACTCTTGGCGAAACGGAATAAAGACGGCTGCCAGAGCGTGAATGTTATAATTCAGGAAGTCTGGGCGAAAACTTTAATGGTCTTGGCAAAATTTGGCAAGATAGAGCCAGTCCTGAGATGGCTTATCCAATAATTTGAAATAGTTGTGGAATAACAAAATATGACATTTCAAACGGACATATGAAGAAAAGAAGAAATTAAAACTTAAATATATATATATTATATATAAAAAGAAATATATAACAGGATGAATGCATTCTTAAATAGAATAGTTACATTTTGAAATATAATATTTGTTTGATAATTATTTGAAGACCAGAAGGAAAGATTAAAATTGTTGTTTTGATAAAAAAGAGTACGATCGAACGAAGGTTTTCATTATTTCATCCAAAATATTAAAACTCCTACCACTTCTCACTGTATTTACAAAATAAATTAACGTATAAAATTGTAACTGTAAACATATGCTAACATTTTTTACGCCAACTGCTAGTAGCTGGCCACAATCATTGAATTTATCATCAAATTATATTATATAGTTTACTATTTACACACTTTTAAAATGAATCTAACTAATTATATACATAACAATGCTTACAAAAACTTTACATCCTTCAAATAGACGATGCATATATTAAAATTTATGAAGTAAAATCAGCTTAAAAGAGATACCAATAAAATCTAATTGGACTATCGTTTCTTTTAAAAATATTATTTTAAATTAAGGCAGGAAATCACCTAAATGGTTTATTCTATTGCATTTCCGATCTCTGACCAAAACAACAATATGCTTTCCAAAAGCGTAATTACGAAATGCAAGCAAGTCTCAGTCCAATCAGAATATAGTGTTTCAAGTGACACGTAAATGTCCAATTGGAATCGATAGTTTTTTAAACCTTCAGAGTTACAAAACTAGGCTAGTTATTTTTAATAATTTCTATAGGGTTGTTAAACTATTTGAGGTCTTATATATGTGTAAGCCCGAACTCTTTTCACCAACTTACCCATTTTGAATGGCTGTGATTTGTTATCAGTTTTGGCGATTAAATTATATCATTTAAATATCTCAAACTAACAATGCAAGTGCTTCTGCAGTGCAATTTGTAAGTTGCGCTGGAATTTCTGAAGACTTTTACATATGTTTGTATGTATACACAAACGCACAAACACCTCGCTCTACTTGGTAAACTCAAAACAAGTTTTTAGGTGTGAGCTTCAAAAGGAAGGGGATACCACTCGCACTTAAATAGTTCAATTGTTATCAAATTGTTATTAAAAACCGAAAACCACAGGTGGTTATATCAATTCTTAATGAATTTATTCGCTTGCGTGAATTTATTAACCTAGGCTTCCGAAGCGCACAACTTAAGTCGTCTAAAAACAGAGAGTATCTACACAATATTGAGTTTATCGGAGATGTTGAGAAACATATATCGATATCGTGGTAAGTATATGGATACGAAGATGTATCGAACGAAGTGAAATTATAAATACTGGAAGTTTTATGGTTCATTATTAATTATTTTATGTTTTGTATTCAGGGCGATTTCCCAATAGATACGCGTACTTTGAGAAAGTTAAATGTTTAAAGGTTTTAGTTGTTTAAATATGCGGAAACCAGCAAGATTAAAACAGTTACCTTTAATTTATAAAAGTATTATGTGTATTAAAAGGAATACGGCTTAAAAATCAATCTTCTTAAATTTAAAAATAAATAAATATCAACAAGCTGCGACTTGAAACTAAGGAACTGTCGAGTTGTTTCAATTTTAAATTTTTTTATTGTATTTATAATATTCTAATAAGAGAGTACTCACTTCAAACAATGGAAATCACTGTGCCGTTATCAAAACCCCTTTTGATACGCCCTTGATAATTATCGATATTCGGTTGTCGCTATCGATAATTTGCTGTGAAGACGATAGTTCTTTGGTCGCCTGTTGGTTCAGTGGATTTCTTGCAAATAGAATTGGAATTAACACTTTAAATGCCGCAATAGCAGCAGTTTTGGCTGTGGCAATACTCGAACCACAAATTAAGCAGCCGGAAAAGCTATCCAAGCAATGACCAGGACGTGAGAGCGGCGGAATAGCAAACCGGCCATTCATTTTCCACATACTTGTTGTTGCTGGGCTCTGCAGTGCCAATTTCGACGGAATATATTTGCTTTTTGCTGATGTATTTCTGCCAAAACCGGCGCATCGAATTGCCGCGTCGACTGCAAATATAGCCGCTCCATCAGCTTACGCAAGCAAAACGTCGTTGGAGTGTTTTTAATGACCGGCCACTGAGATTAAAGTCCTAAAGAACGGTCATATATAGAGAGAGAGGAAAACTACCCGACAAACATGCTGCACCTCCTAATTGTTTTCCTGATGGCCACGGCCGCCTCGGCCGGAGATTCCCTCCAGCGCTTCCGGCGAGCAGCCATTGACGCGGATAGCTCAAAAGAAATGCACAGCATCATCGACCTGCCCGAGTGTCATGACCTTAAAAAGCTTTGCACGCACTACAAGTCCACAGATAATCTCTCTATGCTGGAGTGCGCCCTTACCTTCAGCTCCAGCCAGTTGGAGGAGCTTCCAGAGAGCTGCCAACATGTTCTGTGGCTGCAGCAGCGCCAGTTGCAACTGCCCGCATGGATGGAGAGCAACTTCCTGCCCTCCTACTGTCCTGCCGAGCGGTCCAAGTTGGAAACCTGTCTGAACGCTGTACACCTGTGGAGCTGTTTGGAACAGCAGCGATTAAAGCTGCCGCAGAACAATGCCTGTCATCAGCATTTACGAAAGGCCTACGAGTCCTTGGGGCAGGATTACAGCGCTGTCGATGAGTTTTACACCGCATGCGGCACTCTCGTCGAGGAACACAAGTGTGGACGGTTGAACATCGACCATCTGCCCTCCGTGCTGTCGCAGTTAGGCACAGTGCAATGCCTCCAGGCGAGCGTCACTAAGCCTAACCTCGAGCCCAACTGCCAGGGCGCCATCAACTCCATTGAGCTGCAACGCGGAATGCTAGAGCTCTTTCGGGTCTGCCAGGAAGATCTCTCGTCTTTATGCGCGCAAGTGAGTGATATCTGTAAAAATATAAGCTAATGCTTTGAATAACTAAAAGTACTCTAAATGTGAAAAAAATAAGAGATAAGGCATTGAAAGCATTGCCCCAATGAATAGAACGAAGTCAAAAATTGAAAGACTGATTGAATTGGTTTAATATACAGATAAGATTAGAGTGTATAAATAACATATTATTTAAATTCCGCTATAAAACCCATCATTCTTTTATGTTAATTATACCCGTTACTCGTAGAGTAAAAGGGTATACTAGATTCGTTGAAAAGTATGTAACAGATAGAAGGAAGCTTTTGCGACCCTATAAAGTATATATATTCTTGATCTGGATCAATAGCGAAGTCGATTGAGCCATGTCCGTCTGTCCGTCCGTCCGTCCGTCCGTCCGTCCGTATGAACGCTGAGATCTCAGGAACTATAGCAGATACAAAGCTGAGATTAAGCATGAAGATTCTTGAGGTCCCGGGACAGCGCAAGTTTATTACAGCATCCTGCCACGCCCACTCTAACGCCCACAAATCGCAAAAAACTAAAATTGCTGAAATCTCAGGAACTATTGCAGATAGAAAGTTGAAATTCAGAAAGTATAATCTTTAGATGACAGCGCATCTTAAAGTGCTACTACTATCCGGCCACACCCACCCATACGCCCACAAGGCTCAAAAGACGGTTTTCGGATTTTCTAGAAAAGCTGATATCTCGGTAACTATAAGAGATAGAAAGTTCGGATCAAGCTTGTATGTTTCTATGATGCTCCCAATGCGAATTGTTTTTTTCCGATCACGCCACGCCCACTCTAACGCCCACAAAACCCGAAAAACCACAAATGCAAAAATCTCAAAAACTATAAAAGCTCCACAATTTTGCTTAGGAACACGTATTTAGAAGATGCCTCTGCAACTTGCTACGAAGTTGCATCCGGCCGCGCCCACTCTAACGCCCACAAACCGCGGAAAACTGTGGAGTCTATAATATTATAATGAATGCCTTCGTTTGACCTTGTGTAACTTATTTCTGTTAATATCTATCGATTTACAAAAGATTTTTGAAATCGGAACATTATTTCGCTATTTATGAAGAAATTAAGGTTATAAGGCTCCACATGGGCAGAGACGTCACTATAAGCATACTCAACATACTTCCTCTGACAATAGGTGGCGCCTTGTGAATTTCCACTAGCAAAGTTAATATTTTAAAATTGTGTAAAACAGTAACGGGTATCTTATAGTCGCGGCACTCGACTATAGCGTTTCATCTTGTTTTATGTAAAAACTGTATTATTCTCGTTTCAGGAAAAACCCGGCACTGCTGGCGGGTTTAAGTGCCTGGTCCGGCACAAGAACCACCCCTCGATGTCGCCCCAGTGTGCCACGCAAATTACTTTAAGGGACCAACAGATGGGCCGCGACTACCGTGTGTCCCACGGTCTGGCCAAGGCGTGTAAAGACGACATCAAGACGTACCACTGCAGGCGCGGGGTCTCCGAAGATAAGCACGTACGGTTGGCCCAGATCCTGCTCTGCCTGGAGTCAGTGTCCAAGAACGGTACCAAACTGGCGCCCGCTTGTCTTGTCGAGTTGACTGATCACCGTCGTATGCTGATGACAGACTACCAGCTCTCGCCAGAGCTCTTAAACGACTGTGCCGATGATATACCCAAATTCTGTCCGGACGAACACAAGGCACAGCTAGTGAATGGCATGACAAGTACGGGTGGTGAGATAATTCACTGCCTGCTGGAACATGTCAAGGCGAGGCGTCAGCAGAGACGGGTAACGGCGCAGTGCCAACGAGGATTAGAGACCTTGATTAAGGCCAGTGATGCTGGCGAAGATTGGCGCGTAGATCCTGTGCTGAGACGCGCATGCAAGCCAGTTGTTGATGTGGCCTGCAAGGATGTGCAGGGAGGAGACGCACGAGTCATGAGCTGTTTAGTAGAACATATTGGCACTCCAGTGATGCTACCCGAATGCGAGCAGGCGCTTCTCATTATAGAGTATTTTGTGGCCAGAGACTTTAAGTTGGATCCTCAGCTGTACAAACATTGTCGCGATGACGCAGTAAAATACTGCCGCGCAAAGAAACAATGGGATGATGCGCAAAACATCCAAATGGATCCAGAACGGGGACCCATGATCCTGCCCTGTTTGCATCGCATGGCCTTCAGCGAGGACGAGCATCAGACTTTAAGAAAGGACTGCTTCAAGGAGGTTAAGCGTGTAATGAGACAGCGCGCCATATCGATGGATTTGATTCCCGAGGTGGAGGACTATTGTCTAAACGATCTCTCCGCGTTCTGCTCTGACTGCACTGAAAAGGGCAGTGAAATGGAATGCTTGCAAAAGAACATGGACCAACTGCAGTCGGAGTGTAAAACGGTGGTTATCAAGTATACGGAGGAGGAGGCCGCTCACGTCGAACTCAATCCCGTGATTATGAACGTTTGCGCCGAGGCCATGCAGCAGCACTGCTCTGCGATCCTCAAGAGCGGAAAGGATAATGGTAATATGGTAACATATTTTCTATGAGAAATTTTTAAATTGGCTAAATATTTCCAGGAGACATGATGGACTGTCTTATAGCGCACAAAAACGACGCGGATCTGCGCAAGGATCTTCGTTGTCGGGCCGCCATCGAGCACTTCCAGATCATCTCACTTAAAAGCTTCCACTTCACAACCAAATTTAAAGAGGCATGCCGGCCCTATGTTCAACGATTCTGCTCCTCGAGTGCCACCAAAAACGAGGTGGTTGCTTGCCTTAGTGAAGTTATGCGCAACGACACGATTAAGGCGCAACGTCACCAGATCCCTAAGGAGTGTCGTCACCAGGTGAAAGCCCAACTCTACCAGCAGCGCGAGAGCATCCAGCTGGACCCAAAGTTGGCCAATGCATGTAAACGTGAGCTGGAGCAGTTTTGCGAGGAGGAAAAGGGTCCCGGTCAGGTGAATGAAAAAGCAAGTTATCTAACTCATCCTTAACCATTTTAACGCTTTAACAATTGGGATGGTAAATAATGATTTAGTTATTTAGACGTTAAAATATCTATAATTACGTTGTAAGTAATGAAAAACTACAATCATTATGGTTCCAGCTTATCACATTTCACACCCTTACTTAAATATCTTCCCCCACATAGCATATACTAACTTTTATGTTTTTTATGGATTACAGGCCCTGGAGTGCCTTATAAGGAAGACGCCTAGTCTAGGCAAGCCCTGCCATCATGCGATCTTCATGGTCAAGAAATCTGAATTGGGAGACAGCGGTACTGATTATACGCTTCTCACCACGTGCAAGGAGATGATCTACAAGTTCTGTCCTAGCACTGATTCATCCAAACTACTTGACTGCCTTAAGACCTACAAGGATGACAAGCAGTTCGACCAGCGGTGTCACCTAGTGGTGGTTAATCGGATGATCGAACAGAACACAGATTTCCGATTCAACCCATCGCTGCAAAGCGCCTGCGGTAAAAACATCGATCGGTATTGCTCCAACATTGTGGCCAGTGCTCTTCCTAACGAGGAGCTAAATGGAAAGGTAAGTGATTGCGGTAGTTCTAGTGCTGCTTTAGTTATAAGAAAAATACAGACTGAAGTATGTTTTAAACTTTAAACTATTTCCCTTTAATTTATATCTTAACCTTAAACAGCAAATATTTTTATTGTCTCAATTAGCTATCGAATGGCACACCACTAAAACTCCATATCTTCTCGCTGTAGTCTTCCATTTTCAGGATCGTCAATCGCGGACGTCAGGGTTTCCAACAAATCTTCTTCTTTAGTTATCTCCAAGTTAAGTTGATTGTAAGGTCCACTTGCACTAGTTAGTGGACTGAGTTCGCTAGGAATACCATCGATGGCAAACGATGTCCACACCTCAACCATTTTTTTAGACATCTGCATATCCTGTCCCTCCAGGGTATGGGTGGCAAACAGATAGATATTGTCGTTGGAGTGATGAACTCCGCCATTGAAAGGATAGTGCGAGTTGCCGAACTCATAGCCAAAGCGAGTGTATTTTCCCTCGTACTCAAAGCTGTAGAGATACACTGGCGTAGAAGGTTGAAGGGTATGGATTCTGGTGGCCAGGGTTATGACTGGGGATTTCATAAAGATTGTAGAAGTCAGCTGTAAGGAATATCATTAACCAAACAATCTAATTTTGGCAGGATATTCTTGAACTTACATCGAAGTATGAGGGAACTGCAGCAGAGTGATCATGACTGTTGAGAATCTCACGCTTAAAGAGCAATCGATTTAAAGTGTTACCCGTGAGTCCCGATGTGTCATTATTCAAATCGTAGATACCCTGGGAAAATTGCCGAACAGTCAACGAACTCACATTAGAAACTTTCGCAGCTAGAGCATCATAATAGCCTATAAAAATATATAAATATTTCAATCAAATTAAGACTTTACTTATATTTACTCACTTGCTAGAACGAAGGAGCCATCGTGTTGAGTGAATCCTGTCAGCAAGGGAATTTGTCTGCGGTAGCTCTTTACCAGTTCACTGGGTTGCTGTGGCAGGATGCCCTGTAAGTCTCCTACAATAGGCGAAAAAGACTCTGTTGTGGTGATCCTTAAAACATCTAGGACTTTTGCATTTCGCAAGCACTCCACAAGCTGATCCTCCTCATCGCAACGAGAACATCCCAGCTGAACACAGATTCGCATAGACTGTGCCCTTGGATCCTTATTAATAGCCCAGCTAGCGAAAATCGAACCCGACTGCACAATCGCTCGCTTGAACAGACTATCACCAGTTTGGGGGCTGAGTAGCAAAGAACTAGCTACCCCTGCTCCGGCACTCTGTCCAAAAATAGTCACTTTCTGGGGATCTCCCCCGAAGTGATTAATGTGGAGTTGCACCCATTCGAGAGCCATTAGGATATCCGCAATAGGAGCATTTCCGGGCAGCTCCTCAGTGTATGTCGACAGCCATCCGAGTGCTCCCACTCGGTACTGGGGTACAACTAGTACTACATCCTTCTCAAGGATATAGTTCGGAGGATGATCCTCAGCAGAGCCATTGTAGTAGCCTCCACCATAGATGTAAAACATTACAGGCTGGCTAGCAGTAAGCTAGAATAGGGAATTATTATGAGATTTCTGTTGTATGTTAGTTGTCAAAGCAATCTTGACCCATCGTCAAGCCTTTGGAACTCTACTTGCACTTTATGACTAACGTAATCTGTTTATGAGTGTAATCTTCATTAGTAAGACAAATTTTCACTCACGTTCTTTGTGTATACCGAAAGATTGAGACAATCTTCTAGTTCAGCATCAGACAACTGGCCATCCAGATTTGTTATCACGGGGCAGCGCTGTCCAAAGTTCAGTGCGTTGAGGGTGCCTGTCCATGGTGAACGCGCTACAGGTGGCTATCAGCCGAAATAAAAAAAAGAAAGCATTTGTGTTTCGTCATAAACCCGCTTATCATTTAAGGCAGCGCAGAACGTAAATGTCAATATAACTCAAAATCACAGAAAAATAAAAACGAAAAGCGTCTAGTTTCGAAGCTAGAATACTCTTTAAATTATGAATGTCAATAGCTTAGCTGAAAGTTGCTTCTTTGATCAGTGGATAGTGGTTTATCGGATTAGATAGATAATCGGATTCAGTAAAAGATTAAACGGCATTCATGACGATATTGCTTATATATCTTAGGCGAAATGGGAACATATGAAAGTCAAAAAGGAATTATCGTACTGATGTCAACATCTATTATATCCGATCCATTCCGTTATTCACATTTCAGTGCGTTTCTTAACTTTTAGTAATATTCCAATAAATTCACTTTTTTTAATTGCAAGGGTAGCTATAGTTCGTCTAGATTAGCTTCCTCTCTTCTTTTTGTATTAAATGGTTTCCTGGCGATTTATTCACCAGGTAATTTTATGATTGATATCTTAACGCCATCCAAATTGACTTACCCGAAAACGGAGCTCCGCCGTTGGTGGTTCAGCAAAGGGAATACCGCGAAACTGCATGAACATTTGATTCGTCCAAGCTGTGAATCCATAGTTTCCAAGGACTTCTCCCTGGCTATGGGACAGTTCCACCCTTACAGTTGGTGCGCCGGAAGCATTTGCTCCCTGGCCGCCGGTGAGGAATAACACAAGAAAAGCGATTAGAGCGGTGGTAAGAACACCGCACAGCGTCAGCATCACGTATACGCCGCGTCTACGCATCAGACCTGACAGACTTCGACTTTGAACGAGTACTGAATTGAGAATGAAACGGCTGTGATGGCTAACGTACTGCCAGCCACGATGAAAGGCATAGTCGTGCGGTGACGTACACAAGGAAATTTGTTCTATTTACTTATTTTTTACATCTGAAACGATCTCTTATCAATTAACTCCTTATCTGTTCACGGTATAGCAATCCCTGTCAATTTAACAAACATTTCAATTTAGTATTCATTAACGGGTCAAAAGATTTTTATTTAGAAGAATTTTCCCATGAAGATCTTTTATCTCTTATTTATTACAACATTCGAAAGGTCTAACGATTCGCCCAGCCCTATTATACTCTATTATTGGAATGTCTTTCAAACTGCAGTAAATATATATATGAGCAACTTTATCGCACAGCTGGTTTAGGATTAATTGGTTTAAATGAGTAAACTTTTGCTAGGCATAAAAGCTTTGACTGTCGAAATTAGTTTATAAAAATGCCACTTGCTAATCTAAGGGGTAAAGGTCTTTTGGTTGGTATGGTTAAATAGTTAAGTAAGACAATCGACGTTTCGGCGTTTAACTAGCATTGTTAAAAAGATATTATTCTGCAAAATGTATGCATAATTTTCGTCTTATCGATACTTTGGGTTGCTTTTAAATTTAAACCAATTTAACTATAAATTAAACACTTATTTATTCAATTTCATCTTAGGTGATTCATTGTCTTAAAGACAAGTTCCGCCAGTCCGCGCTGGACGAACAATGCGCTCAGGAGATGATCAAGATCCTGCAGGAGCAGGCCCTTAACTATAAGTTAAATCCCCTTCTGCAGGTGTTCTGCAAGTCGGAGATCCAGGAACTGTGCAAGGCAAACGTAGACTCCGACGAGCACGGCCAGTTGGCGGAGTGCTTGAAGACGGCCTTCCTTCAAAAGCAAATTATCAACAGGCAGTGCCAGATGGAGGTGGCCACTCTGATCGCCGAAGCCAAGGCAGATATTCACGTGGATCCCATTCTGGAAACAGCCTGTACCGTGGATTTGTTGCGATACTGTTCCAAGGTGTCATCCGGTAATGGACGCAGTGAGTTGACATTTTTATAGCTATAATATATAACATTTATAATCAAAATTAAACTTTTAGAACTAAATTGTCTGAGAACGCTGCTAAAGGATACGCCGAACTCTCTGGAAGCTGACTGTCGTGAAAAGCTGCAGCGGCGCATTGAGATGTTCCGGAACGCGGATGATACGCTAGCGCTGCCGCCCGAGGATGTGCAGCAGCTTGTGCAACAGGTGGTCGCCTCCCCGGCGCGCAAATTCTTCCTTGTGATACTGATGAGCGCGACTGGCCTGGTATTCCTCACCGGCATCTTCCTGGGAAGGGCCACAAAGCGTGCAATGGGCTTGAAGAATAAATAATTAAAATAGTAGACTGTAGTGTAGTGCTGTGTAGGCGGAGTGTTCATGTTTGTGAGCTTGTTGTTTTCCATTTCGTCTGACCCATGACCCGATTCCGATCCTTAATTTCTCTCACTTTCCACCTTGCCTGCCTTTTGGATATTTGTGTAAGCAATTTGTGGCTTAATCGTATGTAAGACCAAAAAAAAAGCAAAAAAGAGCAAACAATAAAATAGTCTAGTTCCATTCTTAGGGCCGTTTTTGTTATACCTTTTTTGTAACAATTTCATCTGTATATTAAATTGTATTTTTGTAATCGAAATATCTTCGCATTTTTAATAACCTATTTTATGGGCTCAACATGTGTTATTACAATGATTTCTCTTTCGAGAAATTCGAAATACATGGGAATATTTTTTTAAACGTTAAAATTGACTTACAAAAATTGTCAGAGTGTTCATTCTTTGGCATTTGCATTGCATTTATGCATTTTTATATCTTAAATATTCTTGATAAACCTTTTAGAATTAGTATGTAATTAGTTTGAATCGGTAAATATATATAATTATTTTCACGGTAACTTTTTAAGTAATAAAGAATATTAAATCCAAATAGAACTAAACATTTAAGCCTTGGCTTAAATTAAAAACTTTTTAGCTCCACAAGTGGTTTAGCATATTTTTGGTATATTTTAAAGAAAAGTTCTATTTTACGGTACATTGTGCCGGATAGTATGTTGCAATATCGCGTCTGCGGTCACACTGCTAACAAGCCAATTGGAACAAGGAGAGTTTTCTGCTGTAGAAATAGGTTCCAAAAAGGCCATAAGTGCCGGCATATAGTGAAATTGTAATCCGAATCACATAATAAAAACCAAGTGCCTAAAACAAGTGTTACTTTAAGAATACAAGAATGGTGATAGCAGTCGTCTAATAAGAATTTTCAAAGAGCCAAGTAAGCAAGACCACTTCATTCAAATCACACGCACCAACACTAATGCAATAGAAACGGGTTGTATTAAAATAGCTAACGTAGCAGCGCACCTACAGTTGGGTTCAACATAGTAGCAGTAATTATGGAATACTTGAATTTAAAAAACAACTAAAATTAGTTTTCAAAATCTTATTGATATCAATAATAATAAGAAAATTTATTATCCATAAATTATTATATAAACAATTAAATATTAGATTAAATCAGATCGTAGAAGATTATAAAATAAAAAAAAAATACATTTCTTGTTGGAAATCAAATTATAAAGTTAAACAAACATGTGCTTGTTAGTAATTTTTACAGCCGACGAGTATTATTTTGCCGGCTGCTGTAGTGACAATGGACGGCGTTAAGGTTGAGACGTTCATCAAAAGCGAAGGTGAGTCCAGTCACCCGAGTCATTGCACCTTGGAACCCGATCTAACCTTGCCATTGCCCTCTGACCCTGCAGAAAGCCGAGCGATGCCCTTGATTGGAGGCGGCGGAACGTCTGGAGGCACGTCTATCGCAGGAGGCGGCGTGGGAATGGGAGCCGGAGCATCCTCCACGTTGAGCGTGGAACTTTGCCTGGTTTGCGGCGATCGAGCCAGCGGGCGGCATTATGGGGCCATCAGTTGTGAGGGCTGCAAGGGCTTCTTCAAGAGATCGATAAGGAAGCAGCTGGGGTACCAGTGTCGCGGCACCATGAACTGCGAGGTGACCAAGCACCATAGGAATCGTTGCCAGTTCTGCCGGCTGCAGAAGTGCCTGGCCAGCGGCATGCGAAGTGATTGTAATTTTCGTTTAAGTCGTCGTCTCAAGCTATTACCAATCTTTGGCCTGGCCAGAGTCTACGTGCTCCAACAGGCTATAGAAACAGTCAATCTGATAATTCGGGGATATTCATTTAAAGGAAGCTAAATTAGCAGTATACATTTAGAGGTATTGGTTTTAAATACAGGAATATATTGTACTTTTTCATCATCTTATTATATATTCCCTCTCACTTCTCCCTAAGTGTAGCCTTTAAGGATGATCATAATATTTACACTATAAATATTTAGTGCAAGGTCGATATAATCATACCTTTATGAAATAACATGAAAGATTTTAAATTCATCTTAACTTTAGAATATATTATACAAATTTATTGAAATTTAAATACTTTTGAAAAATTAGATTAGATCTTTATTTTTTTATGAAGAAAAAAATAACTGTTGACAGTTACCTACATATGGTCCAGATTTGTCCAAATAGCAACATGCGAAGCTAATTGCTTCTTTTACATGAATATCCACTGCAATTAGTTGTTCACCATCAGAAACTTGCAGCTGCGGGGGCACAAAAGATTCCCAGCCAGCACACACACTAACCAACTCACCATCACCTCACCTGGAAAGTCATCAAACCGCATCGTAATCCCACTTCTTGCTCTACTTAATTACTCTCCGTTCTATGCTACTTCTCTCGCAGCTGTGCAGCACGAGAGGAAACCGATTGTGGACAGAAAGGAGGGCAACATCGCATCAGCCGGTGGTTCATCCACCTCCGTCGGAGCTGGCAGTTCCTCCACCTACCTTTCCGGCAAATCTGGCTATCAGCAGGGGCGTGGTAAGGGGCACAATGTCAGGGCTGAAGCCGCTTCCACGCCTCCAGTACATAGCACGCCAGCAACGCCCTTCAATTTGAATGATAATCTATTTCCCATGGGGCTGAATTTCGCAGAACTAACGCAGACATTAAGTAAGTTCATCTTGTTCTTTGAAGTTGCTTTTTAAACTCCATTATTATTAATATTTTGTAAGAAAATACTTGACATATAAAATCTAATGACAAATAATAAAATCTTAAATAATTTTTAAATTGATAACTAAATAGATTTCAAACTCAATATGCTGAAATTTACTTTCCAGTGCTAGCCACCCAACAGCAGCAGCAGCAGCAACAACAACAGCAACAGCAGAGTGGCAGCTATTCTCCAGTTATTCCCAAGGCTGATCCGGAAGATGACGATGACGACTCTATGGACAACAGCAGCACTCTATGCCTGCAGCTTTTGGCCAATAGCGCCAGCAACAACAATTCGCAGCACCTTAATTTCAATGCCGGAGAAGCACCCAACACCTCAACAATGGGCCTTATCCAAAACTCTTTGGACATGCGAGCAATTCATAAGGGACTGCAGATCCTCCAGTCCATTCAAAACCAGCTGGAGAGGAGTGGCAATCTTAGTGTGAAGCCAGAATGCGATTCCGAGGCGGAGGACAGTGGCACCGAGGATGCCGCCGATACGGAACTGGATCACATGGATCTAGACTTTGAGTGCGTTGGGAATCGAAGTGGCGGTGATTTCGTGGTCAACGAAGCAGTCTTTGAACAGGAGCTGCTCACCGACGTGCAGTGTGCCTTCCATGTTCAACCGCCGACCTTGGTCCACTCGTATTTGAATATCCACTACGTGTGTGAAACGGGGTCGAGAATCATCTTTCTCACCATACACACTCTTCGAAAGGTTCCCGTATTTGAGCAACTGGACGCTCATAGCCAAGTGAAGCTGCTGAAAGGAGCCTGGCCAGCACTGATGGTTATAGCATTGGCCCAATGTCAGGGACAGCTGTCGGTGCCCACTATAATCGGGCAATTCATACAGAGCACTCGTCAACTGGCGGATATCGATAAAATCGAACCGCTGAAGATTTCCAAAATGGCCAATCTCACCAGGACCCTCCACGACTTTGTCCAAGAGTTACAGTCGTTGGAGGTGACTGATCTGGAGTTTGGCCTACTTCGACTAATTCTTTTATTTAACCCCTCGCTCTTCCAACAGCGCAAAGAGCGGCCACTGCGAGGTTACATCCGAAGAGTCCAACTGCACGCTTTGTCAAGTTTGCGACGACAGGGAGGCGTCGGTGGGAGTGAAGAGCGTTTCAATGTGCTGGTGGCTCGACTTCTTCCACTTAGCAGCTTAGATGCGGAGGCCCTGGAGGAGTTGTTCTTTGCCAACTTGGTGGGGCAGATACAGATGGATTCCCTGATTCCGGTTATTCTGATGACCAGTAATACCAGTGGACTCTAGAAGGAAATGTGAAGAGAAGGGGCGCAGGCAACAAAGCTGTGCCGCCCAAAAGCAAGACTGAAGATGGACCAAGTGCGGGCAATATAAGTAGCAACTAGGAAAATCCCCAATAAATATATATTTAATATACATTATTTACTTTAGCAGACAATATTCGATCTTAAAACCTTGGGTTTTTTGTTGTTCTTGCATTAAATGGAATCGAAAGCCCAATAAATGCGAATGTTTTCAACCAGTTTTTAAATACTGTATTTGTAGATCTTACCGATCGTATAATAGTTTTACGAACTTTAGTTGTTTATGTTTTTATAATATTTTTTTTGTATTATCACAATACATTTTCTAAAAAGCCTTTTTAATTAAAAATTAAAAACCCGCAAACTTTCTCAACTTTTCTTTTTATCATACTCCTTTTTTTGTTTGTAAATATAATGCGTGGAATCAAATATTGTTGTCTTAAAAGACAAACTTTATTTATTTCAAACGTTAATCACGTTTTAATTAACATTTTCAAAATAAGCTGAAGGTCATAATTTTTTAAGCAAAATTTAAGAATCATACTTTATATTTTTATAAAAAGAATTTGATTGTTTACATTAGTTGCTAGACGAACATCATCTAAAAATGCATTTAGTCTTAACTTCTTATTCTATGCTAAGGCGAGAAACTATTGACCTTCCTCGGGGATCTTTCTGGCTGGCTTGTGTTTTCTGTACACCTCATCGTTGAATCCCTCCCGGTTCCGGGCAATCTCAATGGCCAAAAACTGGACTCTAAACACGAAGATCGAGTTGTCCGGGGAGAATTCCTTGCTGGCATCGGCGCGCATCAGTGTCCCATACGAATAATCATCCATTTTGTTGAACTTTTCGGCAAAGTGACGCCACTTGAGCTTCTCCGTGGCGGATTTGAGGATGTCATCGGTGAGCCGGCCCACCTGTAGATCGGGGAAATCCTGCCGGAAGGTGCTATATATCTGTTCGTCGTAGGGCGTGAGTTTCAGCTGGGAGGGATGTATGCTGGTAATAAGCTGTAGCAAGATGAATATACTTTCAATTTACATTTTAATTTGATATACAAAGAAAACTCACATTGAAGTGAACCTCGGCATGTTCTAGAGCTTTGGAGGCCCACATTTCCTCCACCAGGGAATCATTACCAAATTCATCAGCTGGCCGCGACAGCAGCGACGCTCCTTGCTGAAATAAGCATTAATTAGTTAAGGATTCTTTCATTTTGTGTATAACATACCAGCATCTCCATATTAGTAGTCAAAAACAGCTAATTTTATTACAAATTATTGAACTATAAAATCACGTTTCGGTCTTTGTTTAGCAGTGTGGCCAGTCCATAGTTAGTATATATAAATTTAATACCGAAAGCGATTTTTATTAACTGCCTGATACTGTTTAAAAATTCAGTTCAGATTCCTTATAAAACTAATAATCTAATAATTAAACTAAACTAATAATTATCTTTTAATAAAACTGTTGGATAAAGAAGAAAGTCTTAAAACAATATTTGAAGTTTAATTTTTCTTTTAAGGAATTATTTTAAAAACAAGAAACTATAAGATACCCGTTTCATTTTTCTAGTCACCACGTTTTGTCAAATAAGCATCTTAACTAATTGATGGTGACGTCGTTGTCCATGAGGGGCCTTATAACATAAATTTTTTAATAAATATCAAAATATGGTTCCGATTTGAATAATGCTTGGTAAATCGATAGATATTGACAATGTATATAATATCAAGCGATTATTGACTTTATAATATTATGGATGCCACAGTTTTTGCAGTTTGTGGGCGTTAAAGTGGGCGTGGTCGAATAAAAACTCGTGCCAAGCTGCAGGGACATATCTAACATAAGCATTTCTATGCCTAATTTTCTATCTTTTTCATTTTATGGTTTTCCGTGTTTTTTTGGGCGTTAGAGTGGGCGGGGCGCCATTAGAAACTACATACTTAATCCCAACATCTCTCACTTATAGTTACCGAGATATCAGCTTTTCTACAAAATGCGATGATCGTCTTTCGAGCTTGGTGGGCGTAAGAGAGGGCCGAATAATGGTACCACCATAAGATTCCCTGGCATCTAAAGATTATGCTTAGTTATTCTCAACTTTCTAACTCAAATAGTTCAGATTTCAGCTATTTTAGTTTTTCTGATTTGTGGGCGTTATAGTGGGCACGGCAAATTGCTGAAATAAACTTGCGCTGCATACGGACCTCATGAATCTGCCTGCTTAATCTCAACACTGTATCTGTTATAGTTCCTGAGATCTGACCGTTCATACGGACAAACGGATAGAGGGACAAGAATATGTAACGCTTGAAACGCTTCCTTTTACCTATAACATACTTTTCAACGAGTCTAATAACCCTTTTTCTCTGCGAGCAACGGGTATAAAAAGTACATTAAAAACCAAAAGAACAATAAAAAAATTGTGCCATTGTAGTACTCTATAACCTTAAATTATGATTAATAAACAGGGAAGAGACGCATTTGTAAGTAAAAGATAAAAAGATGGCTAAAATAAATTGCTTATAACGACCAAAAGAAAACACAGTAGGAATACTTTTATAGCTTTAAATGTCAATTTTTTCTAGTTATTCACTTTAAACTTTTTCCACACGAAATCCAACTGGCTCAATTTGTTGCTTTTATAACTACACATGTTATTAGCACACAACAAACATTTCGGGAATCATGTTCGAAAGCATAAGTTTCTTGTTCCTACTTGCCCTGGCCTTCGTTGCCTGGGTCCTGCTCTGCTTCCAGCATGTAGTGCAGATCCAACAACGTGGCTCCTCCGATTTTCGAGTGGAACTCTACACTGGTAAGATCGATTACTCCTGGAGTAGTTTTGTAAAATTAGTTTAATTTGGTGATGCATTGCATTAGTTAAATTTATTTAGGTTATTACCTAATCCAATCAGAAGAATGCATACAGGAAAGATAGATCTTTATATATTTGATCTTAAAAATAAAAATAATTTTTATGCCTTCCCTGCAGAGCGTCCCGGGATTACGTTTGAGCCGCAGATGTGCCACAGTCCCACAGAAGAGAATCCTTCTGGCAGCGCCTACGAATTCGCCGCAAGCTTTGGGGTGATCTTTGCCCTGACCTTTGTCATTTCTAAGCTGCTCCAACTGGCGGAGGTGCAGGCCAATAGCTACCTCAAGTGTTGCAACGTCCAGAAAACTACATCATCCGCCGAGGATATTCAACAACTGAACGATTTGAAACCCATTGAACCCATGATGGACCACAATGAGGAGTTGAAGGAGCAACTTAATATGCTGCACTCCCAGTGCCTGGAAATGCGTGAGCTGCTGCACGAGCTGCGAATCAGCAGCAGTTCAAGTAGCTATGGGAGTGCTCAACTCGCAAATGAGACATCTCAGGATTCCATAGTGGTGTGGCATCAATCGGACTTAATGACCGACGGTACATCGAACTCAATGAGGGCCACTCGATCGGACAGCTCCCAGAATATCTTCATCACTAACAGCCACATCCACATCAATGTGAACGTAGACCTCCGCCGACAGGCATCGAGGTACTCCCGGAAGCAGAGCGAGTTCTACCAGGTGTTTGGCAAGTATATCACGGAACCCAAGGAGAACCCTATGATAACGGGCATTCGATGCAACAATATCCTCATGTGAGGAGTGACCCAAATCCTTCATTATACTCTTAATAAACATATATACATAGTTCATATCATATAAACGATGCGTTAAGTAATTTCTAGTACAAACATTCTAATTAAATTCAAGATTATCAACTAAACTGAACCAGAAATACTTTTGAATATTTCGGTAGGGATAAGTACATGTTTCACAGAGATCCCTTTCAACATATTCCAACTGTAAATAAAATTCTGTGTAATAGAAACAGAAACAGAAAAATAATCTTTTATTTTTCTAAAGATTTTAGTTTCAAAATAAAATCTACAAAAACAAGAAGTGCCCGTTAATGTCTTATCCAATTTTAAAAATTAATTTGTTATCAGAAATTGACACAGTTAATAATATAAACTAGCGCCACTTTATCAGAAATCGGCTGCAGTAATATACGCTTGGTTTTCTTTACCATTACTACAACTTCGTCAAAACTAAGAGTAACGGTAACATAATCGGCTTATGTTAATTTTTCTCCTGAAAACCATGTTAGTGTGACCATAGGTGTTGAGTTGAAATATCTGAAAATAACATAAATGTTAAGAAATGTTGCTAAGAGTTGGAAACCCGACTGTCTGTGTGGTTGCATTCCCAACTTTTTTACTCTCTCTCGCTGCCGACGTCGACGTCGACGTCAAATAGCGAATTGAGAATACACAACCACACAGACAGTCGGTGACGGAAAACGGAAAACGCGGACGAAACTCGCGGTCAAGAAAGCGGTAAATTTGAAAAATCCGTTTCGAAAGAACAAATTGAAAAGTTTAGTGGTGGCGAATAAAATAAAACAATTTGAAAATATCAGTGACTGTGAATTAAATGATAACGAGTGTAATTGCGTTCTGAATTGTTTTTTCGGAAACCAAGGCACATACACAGACTCGCTTATAGCGGCACCCACATGATCGCATTGGCAAAAGTGCAGCAGTGATAAAACAAAAGCACAACAATAAAGGCAAAGTTTCACAATGCAAAGGCGGCCCATGCATAAAAATGTCCAATTTGGCGCTCTTTGCACTTGTCACGTCGTTGGAAAAACAACAACAGCAGAAACAACAAATATTTTTACTCTGCGCTTTGTTTTTGTTTGGACCGCCGCTCACGCACTTTTGTCGCTTCGCGCACACACTCGCAAACTTTTGCATTTGTTTTTGTCTCCCGGTGCATTATCACAACAATTGATCTCTCACCTCCTCCCACCTCTTTCGTTCTGTCTGCAGGGTTGCCATTTCTCCCCGTCAAAAGTTGCACTTGTGATTATAATTAGCCGCGGAATCCACTTTAAACGGTTTTATTTTGGCACTCTCTTTGTAATTATTTCGGTATTTGGGTAAATTGCCGCTTCGGGCGTGAAATGCCTAAAAATAGCAAGGCGATACTGATAAATAAGATCACTTTTACTATCTGCCGCACTCCTGCAAACATACAAACGTTCATTCGATTTGTTATTTTATTTTTTACGGGTGTGTGCAGCCAATTGAGTATTTATTACCTTTATATTCGAAGCAGTCTTATTGGAGCGGGCCTAAAGGGCAGATGGTAACTGTTAAGTTTGCATAATTTATCTACTTAATTAATTTTGTTGTACATTTAAAAACATTCAACACATTTTCATTAATTGATATAAAAGTGGAAAAGTTACTTTATCTCTTTTATATAGCTTAACCTTAACATGTAGTCGTAAACTAGAACAAAACTAAAAATGAATCAATATCTAATTTGTTTCTTCGATTAATGCACATTAATACGTTATAGGAATTTTAAGAACCGTAGAATTTTGTAATTGAGCTTATAATCATTTTTTTCCATTCTTTCTGCATTAAAATGTAGAAAATGTCCAGTTATTAACAACATCTAACTTATCCTTCGTCTACTTAGGTAAAAAAGCACTCTCAGAACTTTAAAATATTTAAAAAAATACATATTTTAGAAAAATCCAAATATATATATGCACCTTTATTTAAATTTGTTTCAACTCCCTTTAATCTTATCAGTTCCATGCAAATTTATCAGACCGATCCCAAAAGAAATTATTGCTGTATTTTTATATTGTTAGTCAGAAAAGAATTGGTTTATTTCAATTTATTGACGTACGTTTGAATTACGTATTGCAGTAATTGTAGCCTTCGTTACTTACACTTATCTGAAACTTGTGGCTTGTTCACGTTTGTCATTAAAAAAAAATTTCCTTTTTTCAATAAATCCCGAAATCCCTATTTTCTTAAGAAAGTAATAAATTATTTTCATTTAAGTTAATTATTTCTAAGATATTACTGGTTTTTAACATTTTTGACGTTTCAAATTTACTTGTGTTTCTGTGTTGCTAAAAGGCTTATTTAAAGAAAAGGTTCTGCAGTGAAATTCGTACATATATACCCTTTATAAACAAATGTTAAATATTTTTATAAATGTTTCGAAAAACTAGCAGTGAGATTTCAGATTCACATTCAATACACATCACGTATCCGCAGAATGTGTATGTATAGAGAAAATATTTTTCCGAACCATTCCTTGCCAGGAATTATATTTTGATTCGATTTTATTTCACAAAGAAAAATAATATATGGATGTGTAAGATTAAGTTGTTTGCAGGACTTTTTTTTTAAATACAATGCACTTTTATCCCACTGTGATATTGAGTCATCCAACAAGTTGTTGTTGCAGTCTTGGGCCGATTTTTCTATTACTTTTTCTGTTCGTTCTCATTCTCTTTGTCTTCCTGTTTCTGCTGCCTAATGCATAAATTACATTTTCTTTTGGACTTTGCCAGATTTGTTTAGCACCTTTTTAGCGAAAAGTTTCCAACGGAAATTGTCAACAGAAATTGAAAAACTCCCATGTAAATACTCCGCAGACGTACACACACGCACGGCCCAAGTGGGATACACACCAGCACGCATACAGGGGCAGCGCTTAATAAAGATTAACGCATTTCTTATCAAGCGGTGATAGCGAGCAAAGAAGATGGAGAGAGCCAGAGCGAGACGGAGCACTGCGACAGCATTTGAGCTTCGCTTTTGCTTTTCGCACACCGATAATAGAGCGAGAGAGAGGGTCAGAGATTGACACAGCGAAGAAGAGAGCAATGATATCTTTTCTCAGCCTGATTAGCAGCGTCTAGTTTTTCTCGTGTTATTTATTTGTTTTCTGGTCTCCGCTGCACTAATCCCCCTCACCCTTCTTCACAGCAGTCGTCTACAAACGTTGACGCTGCCTGCTTTATTTTCGCGCCGCTGCTGATAAAATAAAGAACAATATTAATTTAAGTTTAAAAATAGAATTCGCTGCAGATGCCCATTGCATAAATGTGTGCGAGCAAGAGCGAAAGAGGCATAGAGAGGGATCTCGAGAGAAGTGATCTCTCTCTCGGCCGCTCTCCCTCTCTCTCTCTCTCTTACGGCACACACATGTTGATCCGCAGCGGCAGCGTCAATTAGCGAGAGAGGGAGACTCCATATAAAAACCGACCATCTTTGAGAGCCGAATGGAGCATGCGAAGCAGTGATGCCACTGGGGAGAACAAATCTCTTGCTTACAATAATAAATCGCTAGCTTGTGGGGCAATAACCAACAAAGAGCGGTATCAATTGTTTAAAATCATCTAAAACTAAAGCCTTTAAATGTAATTATCAATTTTTAGTACAGAGATGGTTTAGCGAAAAACTAATAATAATATATGTATGTTTAAATAGCATATAAACCTTCTCCAGCATCTTTGTTTTCTCTAAACGAGCTACAAGTACCTGATTTGTTTGTTAAAAAAAAAGCTAGAGCCAGAAAAGGTCAAATTGGCATATCTGGGGAGCATGCGGTGTCGCTCGCCCGATTTTCGTTTGGGGCTTTCAGTATTATTCTATTCGCCTGCGCCTCAAGTTGTTTTTTCGGATCGCCAAAGCCGCGTGCGCCCCACTCAACTCTCGCACACACACGCATACATAGAAAACAATATTATGCATATGTATGTTTAATATATATTTTTCTGATTGGATTGGGGCAAAAACAAAACCCAAGGAGTGCGAAAAAGGTGAAAAAAAAAAAAAATAAAAAGCCGAATAGCATTTCGAATATTCTGTGCGGTTTGTGTTAATAATTATTGTTGAATAGAAAACAAATTCCGCCAAATGTGTTAACAAGAGTGTTCGCAGCCGCAGAGCCATAAAGTTTACAACAAAACCGAGAAAAAATCGAAAAAATAACGAAAACTGGAATTTGTGATAATTGCTTTTCGGGCGAGTGCGAGAGAGGGAGAGAAGTGCAAAGATAACAGATTTGTTTCGTGTCCCTGATAAGCGATTCCAGAGCGCATCTTTATCTCGTCCGTGGAATTTGCTGATACAGCAGGAAAAGTGTAATTTTGGGCAACTGAATATCGAATGTTGCTTAGTCGACTGTAAATTTCAATAATAATACTATATAAGCATGGTATATATGTACAAACATATGTACAAATTTTATATTTTAAAAATTTTGGTTCTGATCTATCGGAAGCCCATTGTTCTTCCAGATTCTTCGCTGCAATCTCTCTCTTTTCGACTTAAGAACACATTGCAATTCTCTTTCTCTCTTCCTTGCTCTCTCTCTTCGAATGCAATTCCCTTTTAGTGAATTATACCGCTACTATTTGTTCAGTTAGTTCTTCACTCTCTCCCACTCACTCTCTCCCCATGTGCAACAATAAAAACCACAAAAACAACAACGCGAAATCGAAACGTATGTATATTAACCACAATATTTTCCATATGAAGAGCGAACGCGAGTAAATAGCAACCAGAATAAAAAAAGCACAAAGTGAACAATCGTTAAACAACCAAAAAGCAAGCCAATTAGAAAAATAAACACAGTGCAAAAATCCAACAAAAAACAGGAGAATAGAAAAGAAAACGTCGAGATCGTGGAAAAACAAAAAGTTTATCTAACTGTAAATCCGACAGCCAACGTGGGAGGCATCCAAAGCGAAAACAGCGGATAAAAAGGCAGATAAAGAGATAGAGAAAGAAAGACAGAGAGAGAGGAAAACGATCTCTGGCAAAAGCTGATGACAAAACGAACAAGGGCAGTTCATGTAAGTAAACCTCATCTTTATCAAGAACCCCCTTTGATCTCCCTGAGCCGAGTGACTGCACGGTTAATACAAAATATTGTGTCTTGAAAACGTATAAATGAGTAAAAACAAACTAGCTTTTGTCCATTCTAAATTACATAACCCTATTTAAAATTGAAAGCCAAAATTAGAAAATCAATAAAATTTAAAATCAAATCTGACCATCTGATTGTCATAACTCTATTTTATGCTATTTGTTATTTAAATCTCAGGTTTAACTTTTATAGAGTTAAAACTTCCTACGCTCACAAAACTCACTATTTTTTAAAGTTTTCCCTTAAATTTTTTTCGCCAGAAACCAATACTTTTTGGTTATCTGAAAATCGAGCTATTTCCTATAGAAATAATTACACTGATGCGTATGTGGTGTCGGTGGAGGAGCCATGAAATAAAACCAAAATACTTGGGTTAACTCCGTTGGGACTCCGGCTCCTGCTATTCAAATTTTCCTGATTTTCCCATCCTCGCAGAGCACAGAACAGTTCGATAAAAGTTGGCCACTAAAATGCCGCCAATGAACCGCAACAAGTTGGCTTTTCCCATCATTCTGTGAGAGGTCGGCGAAGAAGTGCTCGAATTGCCAATGTAGCTTCTGGTGATTCCCTCCATCTCTTTCTGAACAATTTCATTTGCGTTTTCTGGTCAAATTAAATTTTTATGGTGTGGAAAAATTGAGAAAAAGTAAAATGTTTTGCTGCATTTTTTGGATTTTTGGTATGTTTACATTATTCTCGGTTTGCTAATGAAATTGAAATGTTCGATGTCTGAAAGCCTTCTATTAATAAGTTTGAGTATTTATAGTGAGGCGCTCGCTATTTGCACATGTGTGTGCGAGCTTGTGGGTGGTGGGTGGGGTATGGTGTGTGTGTAATTGACAGCTTCCTCGAGACCTTACAGAATATTATTTTTGGCAACTGGCAGGAACGCAAAATGTTCATAACTTGAACTTTGAATTCAATTTTTTGGGTATCTGTTCTGTGTCAACATTTGCCCAGAAATACAAATGGTTCCCCCATTTCCATGCTGTTTGCTTGCAAAATATTGAGTAATAAATATGTTCGACTCCTTACTCTGGCATCAAAGCCAACGATGCCGTCGCCTCTAGGAGTCAGATTGAACAGGTGTTTTTCCTTTTTATCTATTAAACAGCGTTAAAAGTTCCACACGACTTAATATTTTTGTATATTCTTTTTGAATATATATGTATAATGATTTTTATATTACTTTACCACAAATCGTTTATTATAATATTCCTAATTTGCGTTAGTAAACACTTCGGTTGTTTTTTTTTACGTAAAATTGTTTTCTCTTGGAAAGCGTATTTATTCGCATAATTTCCCTCGTGGCCGTCGTCACATCCCCAAAAAAAGTAAAGCAACCGAACCAAAAATATTTCAAGCAGCATTTGTTTAGTTTTTCCCTGGTCACTGTTGCCGCAGAGCCCTAAACTTAAAGTTTAAATATAGAATCGCCTGGAGAATCTCTGGAACAAACAATTTGTTTGTAATTAGTTTGAATTTACTTCTTGGGCATAACAAACTCTCGAAATGGAATTATGCTTCTTAATTAGGGGGAACACAGGAACAAAACTAAAGCAATTTGTACGAAAGTACCAAGTTTACGCGAAGTAATATTTTCCTGTGGTCAAAAGCTGTACTCATGATAAACAAAATAGGTATAAAAACAGAAGGTGCTGTTAAACATAAACTTTAAAAGTATACTTTTGTATGCCAAGCAACTGCAACGAATTTAGTATACTCTAGGTCCAGGTTTATTAACATAGATTGCAACGAGTCCAGAACCGCTCTAGAAACTTGTTCTGGTTAAAAAAGTATTCCGTTTTCTCTGTTTTTTTTTCGTATATTTATTTTGCGCTAAAACCGCAAAAAGTTTTGCGGTTCGGCCACGACGCAATCTTATCATCTAATGTTCTAAAAATAGAAACAACAACTACGGCGGAATGGATGGATCGCCAGTACCGTCCCTGAGCGGGCCTCTGGAACTTGGAGCGAAAATTGTCGCCCAACCTTTTTCAGCTCTATCTCGCTATCTATCTGTATCTCGGGCTGTATCTCTATCGTGTGTGTAGGTATAATATGTGACATGGGCGTATCTCTATCTGAGTATCTCAGTATCTAAGTATCTCTATTTGTATCTGTATCTGTATCTGTGCAGTTGGTCTATACAGCAGCATTGTATCTTTTTGCGAATTTCGCTAACAACAAAAATTGAATTCTCTTCTTCTTAGCTGTGAATTTTGTACTTTTCTTGTTTTCTTTTAGAGCGACCGTGTGATCATTTAGCGTCCTGCTAATTCAATTTGAGTCTTCTGTTCTTGGTTGGGATCTGTCTGTTTCTTAAAGTGTATGCGTGAGTGTTCTTAAAGTTTTCGAGTACCTAAAGATTTAGTTGGGCATGTAAAAGGTTTTCCTTAATTTGAAACAGATCAAGGTTATGAGTTCTAACGATTGCATTCGCTTGAAATAAAAGTTCAAAGTTGTCTCTTTGAAAATGTTGGTCTCTACCATGGTGAAGATATCACTTTCATAGAAAGCAGACAGCAGAAACATTTTAAAATAAAATGTCATTCCCAAAAAGAAATACATTAAAAAACTGTCAACTGACAACAAGAAATTTCACGCCTATAATTAAATTAGGAGTTATACACTAAATGAGCCTAATAAAATGTTGCCAACTTTTTGTGTTCTATAAATGTGGCAGAATCAGGCGATCGCCAGTGTCAGGCGAATTATTTTGTTAAACAGTGTACGGGGAAGAATATAATCGTAATAAAACACTGCGGCACCTGAAATACACTTTTAATTGCTATATAATATAAGTAGTTTTATTGACCAGGGCATCGTGTCTTCGTTCGTTCTCACCTCCGAATATTACTGTCACTTTGTTTGACCATCCATTTATGACAAACAAGCGAAGAAAAGGAAACACCAAATATTTTCTCTCGCAGTTTTCTTTGCTGTCAAGCCCGAAAAGTTTTTCGCGCGTTTCTCAAAAATAATAAACAGAAATATAAAAAAAGAAACAGCGCCAGAAACAAATATCAAATTGATTGAGAATGTGGCTGTTGTGTAAAAATTTCCACGGCTCGTATCGCTGTCTGTCGCTGGGAATAATAAAAATTCCGCAAGACTTAAGAAAATAAGACGCTGGCCCCCTTTTCTCTTATTTTGAAGAAAGAAAGGGACCTTATTTGACTAATCGGTTAACAGGGGATTGTGGTTTTTTAATAACTGCCTTGGCCAATTGGCCAAAAATGGTGTTTGCATATTTAAAATGTGCACGGGTACGGGATGTGTAGCAAAAATTCCACTATAAATAATTTGACACTTGAAAGTCGTTGGCACTGCATAAATTAGACATAGCATGGCAGACACCCGTTGACCATGGCCAAATCAATGCCAAAGTCTTGGCTTAGTTCCTTCTCATCAACTAAAGCAACAAAGGAAGACGCCAGCTGTCTGTAAGTTTCCTGAGAGGTCTCGATATCCTTGTGCTAGTAATTGGATTTGCATATATGCAAATTCACCAGAAGATAGCTCGAGATCCCTTGACTCCTTTCAGTAATTGGCGAACTAGGATGCAGGCTTCCTTCTTTGGCATTTGCTAATTGTTTAGAGTTTTGGTGGCTGCAGAATGATGGATTAGTGGGGATTATAAGCAGAGTGGCTGCAATTTGCAAAATATTCCACTCTGGTAGTTGGAATATAACTGGCACGTGTTGGTTTTTAATGGAAAGTCTAATTAGTTTAGTTTCGTGGTGCTTCTTCAGTAATGCCTTTATTAACCCAGAAAATATTCAGAAAGGAAGAAGATTTATTATGTTTAAACAGGTTTAGTTTTAATTTACTACTTTAAGTATTTCCTTCTTCTTTTAAACTGTTTAAATATCTGACATTCCCATAAGTTGGCATCGCTTTTTTGAATTAGCCTTCTTGAATGCATTATGATGTTAACAGGCACTGCAACAAAGGAGGCCACAGCCTCAGATGCAACCACATCGGGAATTACGTCAATGAGACCGACAAGTGCATAAGCCTCCTCCTTCTCTATTGACGGAGCGTGAAATGAGCGAACCCCGAAACCCAGCGATTCCGTTGCCCTGGCGACCAGTTTCCAAGGCTCCCTCTTGATTCCCAACTACTCTGTTCCGCGTTCCGACTATATCGTCCGCTTTGGAAGCCACTCATTCATACGACCGTGTTAATGCTCCCAGCCCCAAAAACCGCCCACAGATGAGGGCCTAAAAACGGATGGAGATCGATGAAACCCCAGATTCCGCGGAAGCGAGGGGCGAAACCAGTGAACTTCCTACTTCAAAGTGTAGCTATTTGAAAGCGATTTAAGTTCTACAATTAAACATGTTTTATTAGCCATATACTAGATAAAATAGCCGAAAAGTGAGAAGCTTAACATCCAGTCAAATTTCTTGTAATTTAATATTCAAGTTTCTGACCTATGGACTTATTCTGGTTTATAACTAAAACCTATATTTACTCATATTTATGTGTAAAAAAAACTGTGCAAATATTTCAGTGAAAGCCGGGAAAAAACTGACTATCTGACACTGAAATCCTTTCCGGAGTATGAATTATTTTACTTTATTTTTATTGTCTGTGGAAATTAGTTTCGTGTCGCAGCTTTATTTGACAATAAAAGGTGAGTGTGCTTATTGATTTTTAAGCTAAAAAATGGTTCTATTATTCAATTATATTTACGCATCGATGGGAAACTATTAAAAGAGCCCGAGTTGAGCATTCAATGTGAGTCGATACCGTACTTTAGCCTCTTTGTGTTCCACCAATTAGCAGAATACCATCGGGAAAATTCTGCTCTAAATATGTTCCAAAAATTTTAAATTCACCTTCCCTACACACAGGGAATTAGAGGGAAAATAGATGCTATCAATGTGCAGATTGTTGAATGTGTGGCATGTGGCATGCAAGAGCCAAATGAAAGAACGTTTTATGTTTTCCTGCCATTTCCTCATTCAAGCTCTGATTTTCCTCCCATACAGCTCCAAATTTCGAATTTCCAATGTCGGTGAAGCCATAATTCAAGACCGATGAATGGTGCGCAATCAAAAAGCCAAATGAATTTAGAGAAAGTAATTGATTAAGGCAATTACACTGTTGATTAAGTTAAAGGCTTTACAAAACTGCTGTGACAGATGCGGAAAATCATTTAGTTAATTACCATATTTGAATTTTGATCCATTATATGCGAATGTGTAATGTTGTTGTTAGATTATTCATTATAAAGAAACAAATTTACTATTCAGGGTTAGACATTTTTAGTATACATGAGCAAGCCAATTTGGATTTGACCAAGTTATTGAAGTGTAAACAATTGTGAAAAATCGTAACAGTTTGCCCAAATATAAAAATAGTGTTTTTAATGGCCAAAAAGGCAAACGCAAACCGAGCAACCGTACAGAAAGCGTTGACAAAAAAGAGTTACTCAAATGGAATCGAGAGTAAATTAATTTTGTACGCATTTCTGTGGGCTCCCAAAAGTTGGGAGTAATTTAGTTTGGCCAATGGAAAAGCTTTTTTGCAACTGCCACTGCCTCTCCTCTGGTTTCATGGCATTATTCCTGTGGGACATGACATGTGACAAGTGTCAGAGGAGAACGCAGACAAAAGACCATTGAAACACAATCAGTCCATCTCGGACTTAGTGCAAGAAGGCCTTTCGATGGCATTATGTATAATTGTTAGTTGTTCGTCTGTTTGTTTGTTTGTTTACGCCCAATTATGCTGGAAATTTCCAAGTCGGGCCTTTGAGATTATTCAAGCGGAATAGCAGTGTGATATCTGCTTTAATTTTTGCCTGACAGCTTAGCATAACTAAATTTCCGATCAAAGAAATCCGAAACGAAGAAAGGCATGCTTTATTTTCATATTAAAATATTTGCAATAAAATGATAAATACCTCATCGGCAATTAAGCTTGCTGCTGGCCTTTGGCCAAGTTTATTCAACTTTTCCACGGTCAAAAGTTGCCCGGAAAAGTTTCTACTGAAAGTCGGCAAAAAAGGCAGAATAAATACACCGATGTCGAGGCAGAATCAAGGTCAGTGCACTTCATTGCCTAAGTTCGGAATCTGTGATCTGTCTGGTCTGCAATTGTTGGTTAAGTTCCTTGAGTTCGTGTAACGAGTTGCGGTAATGCAAAAGTCAGTAAATTCTTCAAAATAAAATTAAATGAAAATGGTAATCTGACTTAGATATCTCGAATATTCCATTAACCTAAATTAATTTGATCCCAGCTTGCTCTGCTAAATGAACTTAAGATGTTGTTTTATCCTATTATTTACAAAGTTCACAGGCATATTTGTTGACACTTCCCTCGAACAGTTTTCCTCTGGCAATTACGCAGTGTTTATCCTAAATCACGAGGCTTAAACGGCTAAGGGTGCGTTGAGATTCCTGGAAATCCGCAAATAATAAACATAAGACTTGACTCGCCCGAAACTAAATTTACATAATTGTAATCTCTACCCACAACAAGGCTGCTAATCTATTCGCCGATTTGGGCAACATTGTTGCCACCTCACCTCTGGCCAAGTTGGACAAGTTGGCCAAGTAGGAAGCAATTTAAGGGGCCTTTCAACGCTTTTGTCGTTCAGTTCGCTTTGCCAGGGAATTGTTTATGTTTGGGCCCAAAGGCCCGGCACTAAATTATGTTGTTTTAACTTGGCATTAATGGCCCTTTCCGACTTGCTGTTTCTGGGCGCTGCCGCCACAAGACGGTGTCGATTTGACCGGAGGCGCTGTTTTCCCTCGCCTCCTCCACCTGCTCCCTCAACCCGGAAAGCGTCGATAGCCAGTTCCTGTCTTGTAGTACCCTCTGCCACTTCCTCTGGCTCGCGCCGGCTCATCCCAACCCCCGCGCATGCATAAATTAAGTTTCTCAATATGCCGAAAGCAACAGATAAGCGAAAATGTGGTGGCTGGTTCACTAGTTCGACATTTAAGCTGAAATAAATTTGATTGATTCATAAAAATAGTAAATATGTTTTCTCTTTAGTATTTCTTACTGCCTTTTTGGTATCTTAAACAGCTACTGAAATGCGTTTTAAGAAAAAAATGAATTCTTTTGCATCATTTTTAGGAAATCTAACTTACTTCTCAAGAAAGTTGTGCCTAGAAATTAAGTTTTTCATGATTATGTTTATGAAACCCCAAATGGGCGAGTTTAATTTGTTGGGTTTTTAAGTTCTAAAGTAGAAAGCTCTAATTAAAGGATGCATTTAAAGAGTTTCGATCTATTTAGCTGGCCTGTACCGTTCCTTGCACACATTCTGTTATTGCAAAGGCGACCCTCGCCCTCTTTTAAGTTATTTTTGAGCGAAGGAAAACAGTTTGGCAAATATGTCGCGATTCCACCGCCCACTCGCCAATTTGCCCATGGGCCTCGACTGCCAGCGACACATGAAGCGAAACAATTTTCCATGAAAATATGCGGAGGAAACCGCCCCTATCAGTGTCCGCCTACCTGTAGGGCAGTTTTCCTTGCCGACTGATTTTTCCGCTTTTCTTTTCGCAGCTTTTCGGCATGGGCAATATATGGGCTTGCCTTTGGCCGCAATTTGAATGTTTTTGTTTAATAAACAAATAAGTAAGTAAAGTAGATTGAAGAAAACGACGCCAGCAAGTCGGTGGAAAGTCCACAAAGGGTTTTCCCCCCTTGCCTTTCTTGGTGCGTTTGTTTGCCATAATTTTTGGGCGGGGCCCTTCTATTAGCATTTAATCGCCATCGGGAAAAGTGCGATGGAACTGCGATGTCCGAGTCAATATGCATACCTTCTGTGGATATCCACACCAAAGTCCCATATATACTAGCACGCCACCTCTCCCTCCCCAAACATCTTCCATAAATTTACGACTCTTGGAGCTTTTAACAACTGTTTGTCCTGCAATTTCCCACAAACGAGAGAGAAGGAAAATTTATTATTATTTTTATGGGCTCTGCGAATTCGCTCTCGCCACCAATTTAGTTGCAGGAAACAGTCAGGGGAGTGGGGGTATCTACTTGCGAAGAAAAACCTGGGATACTGGCACAAAAGTTTTTTAATAACTTTGCTTTTTCTCTCATTTTTCTGGAAAACTGAAATGCTCAAGTTTGCTTAGCATACTTTTCAGAGTAGGCACTGTATGAAGGCAATTAACTCTGCTCCACTCGCCGACTTAATTTGCATCTATATATCTGCCATGCTAGGCGTGCTCCTGCCCCCTTTTCTGCACGCATGCTGCCCGCGAAAAAAAGGCCAGCCCCATAGCTTAAACTCAATTTGTCACCGAGCTATATGGCGTTCTATGTGTGACAGTGGTCGGTGGCAGTGGGCTGGGTGTAGGTTTGGCTAACATGAATTGATTGTGAATGTCAAAGGGGCTCATCGCACGGTGGCCGCCAGGAGTCACATCCCCGTCGGACAGGAGCAGGAGCAACAGATGAAAAAACTGTCCACATATTTGGAGCAGATTGAAAAATATTTTAAAGGTTTTAGAAAGTGTTAAGAAGTATGGTTGGAGCTACGCTTTAAGCTTCCGCATTAAAGGACTTACATCTGCTAGGCTTACAATACGCTTACTCTTAAGATTTTAAGACATTAACTAGCTTCCCTCTTCTCTACTTTTGTTTCTGAAGTTCTTTTCAGAATTTCTCTTATTAAAATATATCTCTCCGTTTCGCGGCGAAATAAGTTTGCCTTTTCCGGAGCCTTGAATTAAGTCTGTTTCTGGCTTGAAGATGCATTTCCCAACTTGACTGGCACTTTGCTCTCTCGCACCCAATTTCAAAGATATATTTTACTCATTTATTTTGCATTCGCAATTCAGCCTTAATCGGTGGCTCGTTTATATGGGCCCCTTAACTGCTGGCCATAATAATCCATGAGGATCTCCGAAGGGCGCCACTCTGCAAGGATGCTGCGTTGGCGTTTTCTGAATAAAAGCTTGAAAATCATTTTTAGTTACACTTTTTGCTCTTAATATTTTTAGCTTTCTGCCATGTTGATTCAGGCTAATTTGTTGCCACAGCAAACAGTCTCTTAATTGCCATCGTTACGTTAGGGAGGCTGCTGGGTTTACTATAAAAATAAGCAAAGGGCAATTTTAAATGACAAATTAATGAAAGCTTCGAAGAATTTAAATAACAATATTAACATTTTTCCCTTCTCTGCATTAAAGTATTTTAATTAAATTCATTATATTTCCAACTGCATTGCCTACAAAGAAGGACATAGCAGTGTGGGCAACTGCAATGTGGATGCAACTGGGAAATGTGTGGCAGAAATGGAACAACAGCTTGTGCTTGGGAAAAATGGCCATTGAGCAAAGTAAAGATAGATGCGAGAGGAAGTGCTTCTTCATCAACAGCTGTTTAATTGCTTACCTTCCGGCTCCATAATGATTCAGTGGCAAACATTAAACATTTCATATCAATTAATTCAGCCGACCAAATGCCCCGCAGACATCAAATTTAGCATATAAATTTAATTTACCTTGTACATGTTACTTAACCGCAACCGCATTTTATAAACACAAACAAAAAGGGAAACATTCGTAATTTTGTTTGCATAATTAAAATGATTAGCTTTATAGGCTTAGTTTTCCCACAAATAAGTACAAAATTCTGTTAGGATTAACTAAACTAGGTTTTAAAGCCTTAAAGCTGTTTAATTTGTAGGCTTATAAAAAAAGCTTTGGTTAAAGAAATCCCCTTGAAATGTGGGCAAACATATTATGTAAAAATCGGCCAACTCCGTTCGGTTCAACAACTTTAGCCTTTCGCAAATTGCCGGTTTTTCCGGCCATCAGTTTAAGTATTTAAATGACCTTTTTTGCGTTTCCCCCCTCGATGTTTGCACACAATTTTTAATTCATGAAAAAATATTGTGAAAATGAATTTTGTATTTTTTCAGATCCCCAGTTCAATGTAAACATTAATAACACCATCAGCAAGAACGACTGAAATCGATTACTAGTAACTTATGATTCAGCCTGATACAGCATCCACATATACCCACTATCGATATAGCCTCTTCCGACAGAAGTAGCAGGAATTATTCAACGGAAATCAACTTTCGAGTCCTTGGAGCTGTTCTTGTGGCCACACCAACAATTGCAGCACAAACTTACCAACTATACAACAACAATATCGCGTGAGTTTAAATCTTTTCGTTATTTAAGTTTAAGTTGCACAAATATTTCGGTATTCAGTTTGTTTTAGTTTGTTCTACTCATTTTCCTATAAAGAAAAGGAAAAGAAAGCCAAACTAAGAGGATTGGTGGTTATTATTTTCTTTCAAAAAGTTAGAATTTTTAAATATATATAATTTGTTGTTCTCCATATCTTATCACTCCATCGAACGTATCTCATTAACAATGTACAACATTTAACTTGCAATTTACTCGAAATGTGCTAATTGCTTATTTAATCACAAATGAAAAACGAACATGTGCAAATTTTGTGCAATGATTACAGCCCGACTTTCTTATACAATATCTCGCACATGAATGTACAGACATATATATCGGAGATATACATATGTGCCAGTATATAAGTTTCAGCGTTATTTCTCGATTTTCAACGTCAAAGTCTGATTCAGCGGCTGACCAAACTCGCTCGAATTTCTGCTGCTGCTTTCCACACGCAGCTTCGTAGAGCCGAAAGCGTTTTGGCAATTTAGTTTAAAAACTCGGTTCGATATGCAAATGCGAAACTATTGGCTATTTCATGGTTACAGCTCTATGTCTTTTTTCCAGTCTATAGTCTGTAGTTTATAGTTTACAGTTTATAGTTCCTTACGAGCGTGCGACAAGACAAGAAAGTCGGTGCAACAAACTTGTTGCAAACTCAATTAAAACTTGAATGAAATTAAAGGCTTCTGGGGGTATAGCTTGTCAAGGCACTGGAGATAAGGTCAGGCTACGGTTTTACGTAAATGTAAATCGAAATCGCAGATGTTCAGAGATGTTTCCAATAATAGAATCTTTCTGGGGGGGAATGCGGAAATCTTAAAGCTTTTCTAGCTGAACTCGGGCTGAGAAGCCTTCAGCGGCCGCCTCCCTCTGTAAACGTTTATTTATTAGCAACTGTTATAGTAATTTACACATTTCATTCTCGGCTCTCATTTTCTCATTTTCTCATTTCCTCAGTTTTCTCAGAGCCTTGTCGGGTGTGATAGCATACAGCATGATATCTGTAAGCCAGTCGCTCGTGGAGACAGGCCAATATGCTGACATGGAGAACCACACATTTTATTAAGCACGATAAATTAATGATAATTTAAAGATAACTTTTATATAAACAATAAATTCAGTTCTCTCTGAATTTGCGCGATCTAAAAATAGCCACCGAGCAGTTACAAAGAACCGCGATTAGTAATGTGATACGTCGGCTGGTCGGGGCTCCATTGATACAGCGACTCTATATAGTCGTACATACATATGTATTTATATCGAAGCATTATTATGAAAACAGGAAAAAATTCGTTGTTTATTCATTAGGCTTGGCGGCGTGTGTGGGGGATAAAGCTGGAAACACAGACGTTTTTAGCCGATTAAGCCAAAGGTGTTAGCAGACCTCTGCCTCTGGGATTAGTCTAGGCAAACAGTCAAATCCGAACGGCCCAAAAATAGCCGGGATCTTTGTACAATATTTAATTAATTTTAGCCTGCTGCGACATCTGGTCAATATTTAAATTGTGTTTAATGGTCTTAGACTATTTGATTTATCAGTTTGATTCGAGAACGAGTTTGCCAGTTTTCTAATTATAGCTTTTATTTCTGGTTAAGAGCTTATAGATATAAATATTGATCAACTGCTATAAGAGCCGGTGTTTGTATTTGATTAATAAATAGAGTGGTTATAAAAAGCCATGTTCTTGACACTTTATAAGCTTTAATTTTGACTTTTGTCTTGTCAATTCAATCAGAAGCCAAAATCTGAATAGGAAGCTGCTGAACTCGAGCCAATAGCTTTAGTTCCTCCCCAGCTCCTCAGCTTCTCAGCTCCTCCCAACTATTCACTTTCATCGTAACACGGAAGTCACCCAAGGGCACCCAATTTCCATACAGCCGGCAGTCGCTGAAAGAGCTACAAAAACACGCAAAAAAAATAACAAACAAAAGTCATTCTTCTCGATATCGTCTACCGTTTCGATTCGGCTTGGATTCTCGTACAAAAAACCGAAATCTCTTGAAATGTATACAAGCCTTAGCTGTCATTATTCACGGGGCCAAGACGAAAGCAAAACAAAGCGCTGCGAGAATGAATTTGTTAAGCGGCAATTAAACGTCAATGGCAGCACTTGAAATGCGATTCAAAGACGATGGATCGCTTTTTTGTTGCTTTTGTTGTCGCCGTATTGGTATAGAGTGGTCTTATATCTGACATTTTCAAGTGATTATATTGCTCAAATCGATTTCGTTTCGCCCTCCGTCAGCTATTTGGGTTTGTTTGTCGACAAAATCATTTGGTTATCTTGAGCTCTTATCAAGTGTTTCGCCTCTACTTACCTACGTAGATGATTGTATGACAAGTAATTCTTTACGATTCCCGCTTTTCGTTTTTCGCCATCGAATCCACGAAACCGTTTACGTGTGTGATAGCACTTTGATTGGGAGTCGGAGGCGCCGGGTAATTAGCTTAAAAATATGTGTAAGCCCCCACTCGGAGTCATGAATGGAGATTCGAGTGTGGAGAAGGCGGAGGCGGAGGAGCCGCCGAGTCCATCAATCAATGGCAGTGGAACGGAGGCGACGACTTGGCTGCTCCGGCGGAACGTCGAAAACGTAACTTAACTGACTTTGATTGGCGGCGGAAGGGGCCTCTGGGGGTTACAAGTTCAATGGGGCCTATCAGTCAATGGGCTACTGGAGTCGACTCGAGTCAGCCCGCAATTAAATTAGCACAAGAAAAGTCAATTGCTGGTGGGCCGGGATAACGATCGTTCTTCGGACGAGGGCCTCTAATTACGGGGGTTTCAAGGCGAAGCAGAGCAAATATAGTTACCATTTGCGACAATTCAATGAGCCGACATATTTGTGCTAATTAAGGACTTATCAATATAGAATTTAAAGAAGTCTTGGTCTAGATAATTTATATAGATAATATTCAGTCTATTTAAATGATTTGTTGCTGATTATTGGCTGATGAGCTGGAATGTGTTAGGTGGGACTAGAAGAAGAACTTTCAGTTAGTAATCAAGGGATGTGATGTAATGCCGCTTTCGAAAAAGTTCCCCCAACTCTAGATCCGACTCTGTGTGATTCCCAAGTCTTTTATGGTCTGAATGAGTTTGGCTTGTAAAGGCATCGAGATTCTAAGAAATGTTATTCAAAAATTTTGTTAAGGAAGTTCTTAACCCACTTACCTTTATGACTAAATCTCTTATTGTTGAATAAAATATAATAGTATTAAGGGAGATTAAAGTGCAAATTACCAAAGCAGAATCCTCTTTAAAAGAACAAACCGCACTTGATCATTTCTAAGACAAAAGATCGCCACTTAAGTGTAATCGAAGTCTGTTAGAAAAGCCGACACAAATCCAATTAGGCTTAAAGAGTATTTGATTGGCCGTCATCATCGGTTAATTTGAGTAAATTCCAATTAATTGAATCTGGCAGAAAGGAAAAGCGAAGACAAAACAAATTGAAAACGACCACATCCAGTTTGGTCAGGTAGCATGGCTGGGGGCATCAATAAAAGTTGGCAGCTGAAAAAGCAGAAAACCATTTATCATGTAGTGTCAAATTTGAGGTTTGGAGTTTCGGCTTTGCTATCTTGTGACCTGGAAGTCAATGGCTATTGGTGGCTAGGTAGATTGGAAGGCCATAACGACGGAGCAGGGAGTAGGGAGAGAGGTGCCGCCAGCTGGGCTGGGCACGTTTCGAGATGTGCCTCTTTTCTAGGGAATTTTTTATGCGGCGATGGTAATCTTGGAAGACCTTAACTGCTTAATTAATGCGTTTTCGCTTTCTACTTTTCGGCTGTCGCGTGGCCAGACAATGACTAACCACAAAATAGAAATAGGTTTTTGTCTTCGCCCGCCCCTCTCAGCTCAGCTTATTGTGTTTTTTCTTCTTTTATTTCCATTTTTTGCCCGGCAATTCTTCTTGGGGGGTTAATTGAGAGAGACCGCCTGACTCGCTGGCTCGAGCTTGGCCGAGTTAGGCTGAGTAAACAAATTGCATTAATTTGTGTCTTATTATTTAATAACAAAATAAATAGACAACGAATGGCTAGAGTGCTGGCGAGTCTTGGGGTCTGGGGTCTCGGGTCTGGGGGGTATGTATTTAGCACTTTGCCGGCGCCGGTTGACGACCAATTATTTTAATTCCAATCAATTAGGGATCAAACGAGTTGCCTGGCGCCAAACCAGGATGAACCATCTTTTTGCGTTTACTCCTTAAATCCTCTACTTTTTTCCCAAAACCGCAGCTTGCTTGGCCAAAACTATTTGCCACTAAACGGTTTTCCCTTTTGAGTTGGCATTTTTCTGTCGTTGACATTTTTCAACGAATGCTGGGTTTTGAAGGTCCTTAAAGGAGGGACCTTAAAAGCAGCTTATGGATTTTGTTCTAGAAAATTTTAATTGCGGTTTCCCCGACTGTCAAGTGGTGATTATAGCCAGTGTTGTATTAAGAATCGAAAAAATTCCCTTTAAATTCCGAACGAATGACTGTCAAGGACTTGACAAGGATTTTCCAGATTTTTCCAGCTCATGGAATTCAATCGATAATTCAGGAATTAATTGCGCTTTTCCCTCTGTCAAGAGGTGATTATTATTTTTCAGATTCAGATATTGCCGGATTATTTTTGCAAAATTTCCCTAGGTAAATTATTGGAAAATAACCACAGACATCGGCTGTGGAAATCGGGCATAGACTCTCCCATGGCCTACCATTTTTCTACACATTTCAAATGTCATACTGACTGTGCAGTTTTTTTTTTTGTTTTTTTCCTTTTTGCATTTTCCCCACCCTACTTTTTTTTGCAAAACAAATTTGCTGTTCATTTATCGAAATATTTTCATTCGAAGTTCGATTGAGATTTTCATACGCAGTCGACGACTCAACTGTTGCTCGATAATATTATTCGGCAAACCATAAAACCATAAATTTCCTATTTATTAATGTGCACACACGTGTGTGTTAG